GGGACAGGGCTTGTTCTTCATTTTCCTTTATGCGTTAGTGTGAATCACCAGAGGAACAGAGGGAGAAGAGGCCAGTGCCTCTGACTAACTAGTCAGGTATTGCGTGTGTTAAAAATTCTTGCGGCACACCGGTTGAAAATCGCCGTTCTAAGAACTAACATCTAACACATCACTTACTCTTTACAACAACTCATGACGTATCGTTATCCTGGTTTTACAGATGAACAAACCTAGGTGATGAGAAGTACTTCCACATGGTCACACAGCTTTGGTGGCAGCCCTGTGACCTGAATAGAGCTCTGACCTGAGAGCCTGCCTTGCACACACTGTCCCTCGATTTCTTAAGATATCGCCACATGCATCCCCTTCTTCTATGTAAATCACCTTTGGAGATACAGAGTGAGGAGAAGGGAGCACTGCGTGTCCATTGGGAATAGGGTTACAGACAGCAAACCACGCAGAAGGAACGCAGCGACCCAGTTCTGCCAGCACGAGGGGTCAGGCTTGTGCAGCTCTAGGTCAGAAATGGCCCATCGTCCTCTTGAAACATCACACATCTCCATCTAACCAAGAGCTTGGTTCAGAATGGGCTCTGAATGTTGGTCCCATCACAAGCACAATCATGGGCAACATTAAAAATGACAACAGCCAACACAACAGTAGCTGTCCGGTGTGAATGAAAGTGATACCTATTTTTTTTTTGGTCAAAATGGCAAAATATGTATTTTTTTGGTGTGCCACAGAATTTTAGTAATTAGTTTATGTGTGCTGTGAGATAAAAAAGCGTGAAAATCACCTGGCATTAGTGTTCAATAAATGTTAGTTTCTTGACTGTAACACCGTTGACCTTTTGGGCCAGATAATTTTTTGTTGTAGGGGCTATCCTGTGCGCATTGTAGGATGTGTAGCATCCTCCATGGTATGTAGCCAATAGCAATCCTCCAAGTTGTGACACCCTAAAATGTCTCCAGACATTGCCAGATGTCCCCCTGGTGAGAACTACTATAAATGTAGTACTTACCAGCTATTATATGACCCTTGCAAATCGCTGCCCTCCTAAGGTCTGGCTGGCCTTTGAAAGTTCTGTTCCCATCGGACACGCTTCTTTTTGTCTTTTGGGGCTTGTCTGAGTTGATTCACTAGCTGGATGGTAAAGTTAGTTCCTCCATTCTGGATTAGTATCTCAACTTGGTTGAGAGTCATGGAGTTAGAGTCATGGGACCTGCTCCTAGGCAAGCCAGCTGCCCCTGGGAGCCAGCCTGCAAGATCATCTTGTGACTCCCCAGCAGATTCTTTTTGTGATTCTCCTTTGAAAAGCCTAACCTCCCTCTGAACCCCCACAAAAGCTCCAACTTTTAATCCCACGTGAACGACGTAACTTTTTGTTCTATTTTTTTCTTAGCTGTGGGGGTTCTTACATCAGCCCTCTTCTCATTCTGTTTTATTTGGCTCCGTGGCCATAAGATAATTTTGTATAATTTAAATTGCTTCCGTTTTATAGAATAATCATACACTAAATTTACAGTAATAACAGGGTTGCTTTTTCATAATGTCAGTTGTAACCACTTAAAAACAAGTTTATGAACCTGCTTCATTGCTTCTCAGGGGACTCTTCAGAGGCAGTGTGGCACAATGGGTAAAGCTCCTAAAAGCTGACCACCTGGGTTCAAATTCTGACTCCACCACCTGGAGCAGGTAGCTTCATCTTTTTATGCTTCTGTTTCAACTCCGTTTCCTCTCAGTAGGTAGAGCTGTTGTGAGCAGCAGCCGGATTAAGGCGCACAGAGCACAGTCTTGGTTTATAATAAGCTTAGCCACTAAGTATTGAATATTGTGAGGTTGCCAGTTTGATTTAGCTTGAAGGAAAGAGAAACTTCACTGAAGGAGAGGCATGTGGTGTAGCAAACAAGTCCACATAGGTTTTGGATTCAGACAGATTTGGACTTGAATCCTAGCTCTACAGCCTGTTAGCTGGATCCTGGCGCAGATGGGTGATTTTATCTTTCTACGTTTTTCTGGAATAAGATGGGTGTTCTGACTAGCGGACCATGTTTTGGGTCTCCAGGGATTAGCATCAGTTCAGAGCTAGTGCCCAGTAACTCTTGGAAGGATTAGGAATTTCCCATTTCCCAGTGGATGGTCACCCTTGTGAATGGATGCAGGTCTCTCTGGAGGAAGGGAGGTCTGGAGAGAGATTGATGGGATCCATTGTGGCCCTGCAGAGGGTCACAGTGATCTTATATTTATTCTAACATTCTCAGGTCTAACATCCTTTGAAAGTTCTTCCATATGTGCTTCCTCAGATTCCTGCTGGTAAAAATTGTTAAGATTCTGCAAACTTCCTATATAATAAAAGCCTAATATGCAAATTGTCCCCTCGACCTGGAGTTTGAACAGGAGTTCGACCAGGGGAAGGGAGGGCCCTCATCTTCCCCCCTTCCCCGGCCGCAGCAGCGGCAGGGGCGGCAGGCGGTCAGGGGAAGGGAGGTCCCTTGGCTGGCAGCCCGCAGCCACTAGAGATCCCACCTGTGCACAAATTTCGTGCACTGGGCCTCTGGTTTTAGTATAAAGGCATCTCCTTTCAGAGTAGGCGCTGAACTTCTTTCTGAGTTCTGTTGGGCTCTACCTACCATTTTGAGGCTGTGAGGGGTGATGGGAGTAGGTAGTGAGGAGACTTGGCATCCCCGTGTAAAACAACTTGGAAGGGTTTATGTAGGGCAGGGCTTGGGAGCCTGAGACTCCCGAGAGAGGTGTAGTTGCTGCTTTCAGTAGGGATGTTCATCTGAGTATGGAGTTCAACATTCTTAGCCTCATTGTGTTTGCCCAAGTGCCTGCATCTTTGATTCAGGATCATTTTCCTTTCCAGCCAGTGCCCATGTGTCAGCATGAGAGACTTTCCAGGTTTGCTTGTTTAATTGGCTCTGCAACACTTAACCATCAAGTGTTTGATCCTTAGTCCTATCAGCTTAGCAGCTATAAGACAAAAAAAAATCTAACAGCCATAGATTTCCCACCCACCTATGTGGGAATTCATGACTTTCAATTTGCCATCTTTGTGCTTATTCTCAAAGACAACCAGAAGCAGCCCAGCCCAGGTCACAGGCTTTGAAATAGCATTTCCATCATCCATGTGGCCTTCCAGCACCTTGCCCACCCCTATATTCCGTCCTGTGACACCGTGGAAGGCAATTTGAGTGATGCCATCTCTGTGTGCCCAGGGACTAGTTCCCTACACCCCGCCCCCCCTCGCCCACCCCTTCCACCGGAAAGTGATCAGGGCATTCATCAAACATGCATCCCATTTTTGAGGGTCTGTTTCCTAGGGTCATCCTTGGTCCCAGTTACTGCATCAGTCACATGACACTCAAAAGTAATAGAAGGAGTTATGGAGTCTCTAATTTAGACAAATGCTGCTTTTATGGGGTTATAGGGTGAACTAACATAGACAAATGCTGCACCCCAAGCTTAAGAGGGGGCCAGTTACATTTCCATGTTTTCTAACAACGAATTCGACTACATATAAATCCTCCTGACTGCATTTCCAGCAGCAAATCCAACAAAATAGGTTTTATGTGTTTTTTTAATTTTTTGGCTGTTTTTGGGTTTTTTTGTTGTTAATCCTCACCCGAGCTATTTTTGCATTGATTTTAGAGAGAGTGGAGGAAACGAGGAGAGGCAGAGAGAAACATCGATTGGTTGCCTCCTGCATGGGCCCTGACTGGGTGAGCCTGCAACCGAGGTACATGCCCTTGACCAGAATCAAACCTGGGACCCTTCAGTCCTTGGGCTGACGCTCTGTCCACTGAGCGTCAAACCGGCTAGGGCCAAAGTAGGTACTAAGTGATCTTAAAGGAAGCCCCCTTCTGATCAGTTAAAATTCATTATACCTGAATATTCCATGCCTGCAGATAGATACTTGAAATCATTACTTGAATGTAATTTATTTACAATGATCACATCTGTCAGAGTGACTTCCTGAAATTAATCGCGGAGAGGGACTGGCAGACTAACCCTTTAAGGCAGCGGTTCTCAACCTGTGGGTCGCGACTCCCTTGGGGGTCAACAACCCTTTCACAGGGGTCACTTAAGACCATCGGAAAACACATATAATTACATATTGTTTTTGTGATTAATCACTATGCTTTAATTATGTTCAATTTGTAACAATGAAAATACATCCTGCATATCAGATATTTACATTACGATTCATAACAGTAGCAAAATTACAGTTATGAAGTAGCAACGAAAATAATTTTATGGTTGGGGGTGACCACAACATGAGGAACTGTATTAAAGGGTCGCAGCATTAGGAAGGTTGAGAACCACTGCTTTAAGGGGTACTATTTCGTGTCAGTGGTGAGTATGGGCTGCTGTGTGTAGCAAAGGTGATATCAATGTGACATCTTGAGTCTTTTGTCCATAGGTGGAATGATAATATTAGTATAATTGTGCTTTTTTCTGAATTAAGATCTATTGTAACATCTCTAATCAGGGGTCCAGTGCATCAAAATGATCCACAGTTGTTAAAATGCAGCATAGCACAGTGGTTAAGAGTCAGGTCTCTGGAGCCAGACAGCTGGGGTTCAAATGCTGGATAGGCGAGTTATTTAACTTCTCTGTGTCTTAGTTGCCTCATTTGTAAAATGGGCAGAAATGGTTACCTACTAAATAGGATCCCAATCTGAAGCAAGCTTCATCTGTTTGACCTGATGCTAAAAGTCTGAAAACCATACCTGGAAAAACCCATCAAACTAGGGATCTTTTAGGTGAGAGGTAGCCTTTAGTCCACATGAACTGTGGTATAGAAGCTTCCAGAATTTCTTAGCAGTAAGAAAGGTGGATGGGATGCAAATGTTTGATTGTGGTTTATCTCTTGAAATGGACATAACAGGAATTAAATCTCTTAACCTGGACCGAGACTTAACGATCAAAAGTAAATTAATGGTATTTTAAAGATTGTTTTGCTAATCAGTTTTGTTTGTTTTTTTCTGTCGGTTAAGGTTGCACGATGGAATTTGAACATTACCTCAAGAGGTTTTATGTTTTGGAGTAGCTGATTGTGTTTGTCCTCTGCTGACCATTGCTTCGGACTCATTTTCTGGTGTCCTTTTGAGGCCTTAAACCCAAAGGGATTATACCATGGACTACAAGGAAAGCTGCCCAAGTGTAAGCATTCCCAGCTCTGATGAACATAGAGAGAAAAAGAAGAGATTCACTGTAAGTATTCAGGGTAAAGCATATGGGGAAAAAATGGAATATAGAGAATATTTCCATTTCTGCTTTTCTTTCTTAATCTAGAATGTCCTCTGCCAATGTCCACAAATCCAGATTTTACGTATTTTTCCAATGCTGTATTCCATTACAGTACACAGGGACGACTTTTTCAGTGCAGATTTTTGCCTGTTTACCTAACCCTTGGAGAAACTTATGACACTTTCTGACAGACCCTCTTACCAGGAAGTGTGCATGCCTGTGGATATAATTTTATGTGCACTGTCGGGGGGTTAATGGACCCAGAAGTCATTGGTCCCATATTAAGAACCACTATCTAGAAATTTCCGTAGTGTCTTTCTCAAAATTTCCATAGTATCTTTTTTTTTATAGTATCTTTCTTTCTTTTTTCTCATAGTATCCTTATGACGTTTATTATTTTCTACCTCAATTTAAAAAATATGTCATCCAGTCATTTATCTCTTTTTTTACCTTAGAGGCAAAGCCCATTTCTAATTTTACTTTTTACCACCATAGTATCTATTATAGGGATTTATAAAGAATAAACACAGTGAATATTTGTTGAATCAGTGTATCAGTGACTATTATTGGAGAACAGTCACTTTTCTAATTAGTGTACTGAAACATAGACTATTGCTGGCATCTGCAGTTGATGAACTGACTTGTCTGTTCTGCAGTTGGGTTGGCTCTCAAAGGCTATAGAGCCCACTGAGGCTCTGGCATGCCCTTTGCCTGCTCCTGAATCAAGTGATCTACCCCAGGCTCTGCCCAGGGGGTCACCTGGCCCTGCTAAAGATGCCCAGTGACAAGCGACTTTCAACTCAGTCCATTTCACAGGGGAGTTGAGGAAAGCTGAGGAGTTAAACTCTTTGACCACTCCACTCCGCCTTCTTAAATAAGTGGAGCTGGGACCCCCCCCCCCCCAATGGTGGTTTTCTCTCAAAATCCCAGATAAGGAGCTAGAAACAGCCCCTCTACCCTCTCTGCTCCCTCCCTTAACTCCTCCACACTCTGCACCAAAGCCCACAGCTGAGATACTATGATGTGTGTCTGTCAGTTTGCTCCCCCTCAGTCTCTGTGTTGGTAGTAATATCTTCTTTTTTTAAAAAAAAATATATTTTATTGATTTTTTACAGAGAGGAAAGGAGAGGGAAAGAGAGCCAGAAACATTGATGAGAGAGAAACATCGACCAGCTGCCTCCTGCACACCCCCCACTGGGGATGTGCCCGCAACCAAGGTACATGCCCTTGACCAGAATCGAGTCTGGGACCCTTGAGTCCGCAGGCTGACGCTCTATCCACTGAGCCACACCGGTCAGGGTGGTAGTAATATCTTAATAATCAGTGTACATTTATCCCACATTTGTATAAGCAAAATTTAGAAATAACACATTGATGGTAAGAGGTCAGTGTACCTTGGATGAAATAGTGAAATGTGTGCAAGTTTTCCTTCCTTCCCCATCCTTACTTTGACCTTTAGGCCATTCTCTCCTTCAAGGGCATAAGCTCTTGCCAAGTTTGAGGGAAGTTCATACTTCGCCAACATTGTCAGTAGGTTATCTCCGGTGTCCTCCTGTTTTTCATAGTTGAGGTAATGCTCACATGTCTTTATATAGCTCTGCACTATGAAGCTTCTAACAGAATTGCATCCTAGGATGTCTTGACTTAAACCAAGTCTAAATTATACTTTCATTTATCCACTCAACAAATAGTCATTGAGTTTCTTTGTTATGCCAAACACTGTTCTAGGCAACTGGGGTACAGCAGGTAGCAAAGATGACACAACCCTGGTTCTCAAGGAACTTACATTCTATGTTGAGACAAGACAGACAATAAAGAAGTATTTTTAAAATTCAATAAGATCATTTCATATTATAATAAATATTATACTGCTTTCTGTGTAATCTTGTGATTTTTTTGGTAAATTAAAGTATTTTTTAAAATTTGAAGTTTTTGTCTATTGATTTTTTAAATTAGAACTTACTCAATAAACCCTTGTTAATCAATCCTACTGCTAATTAATAATTCACAGAGCTTTATCTGAGCTCCTGTAAATATATTTGTAGCAGTACTGCTTCAGCCTGGAACCCAGGCTTGGGTTCTAGTTTGGCTGTACTTGGGTAGTGATGGGAAGCCAGCCGCCTTACAACACCAGGAATTGGCACAAGTTATTCAAGAAGCTTGAAACTGGAGAAACCTAAGTTTCCGATCCTTTTGTAGCAGTCCTGCACCAGGCCTATTCAGTCCTGAATGATGTATGAGGTAAATATGTAGTCTAGTCTTAGAAGCATGGCTCACCTTCACTGGCACCTTGATCAGGTTCTTGACCCTCTACTTCTGCACACTCTCCATGTGAGCAGTGTCATCTTGCAAACATTTCTGACATCTTACACTTAATAGCTTCCTCTAAGACAGCATGATACATACTTTCTTGGTTAGGACCAGAAGAGCCATATCACCACCCTATGGCTCCTGTAGGGTGCTCTTTTCTGTCAGTCTAGATCAGGGGAGGGGAATGTCCAGCCTGCAGGCCCTATAACAGTGATGGCGAACCTATGACACGCGTGTCAGAGGTGACACGCGAACTCATTTTTTTGGTTGATTTTTCATTGTTAAATGGCATTTAAATATATAAAATAAATATCAAAAATATAAGTCTTTGTTTTACTCTGGTTGCAAATATCAAAAAAATTCTATATGTGACACGGCACCAGAGTTAAGTTAGGGTTTTTCAAAATGCTGACATGCTGAGCTCAAAAGGTTCGCCATCACTGCTCTATAAGGTCCTCAAAATCATTTGGTCTGACCTTGCCAAGGCATTAGGGGTGAGTTACTTAAATGTTTGACTCAATATAGCAGGCTAATTTTTAAGTTGGTGGTTTTGTATGGCCTGCAAATGGTGTTACAAATATCCAAATGGCCGTTGGCAGAAAAAAGGTTCCCCACCCGGGTCTAGATGGTTCATCACTTAGGTGTCTGATACTAGTGACTGTTCCACTTTCCAGGTGAATACTTAACTCCTCCCACTGTTGGCCTATAAGTGTGATTATACCTTAAACGATACTACAGAATTCGTTCAGTACAATCACATACTTTTCAGGGAGTTCCTTTCCTTACAGTATCATCTAACTATGAACTTGTGAGTCTAGCTTACCAATCTTTCATAGGGAAGGATAGTTTATACATGTTTGCCCATCTTCCAGAATTAACCTGGTTTACTTTAACTTGTCTAACAGATTGTGGGAAATTGTATTATAAACCCCAAAGCTGCTACTATCTCTTTCCCCTAGTCTTATATACTGTAAAATGATGAGATTGGTAACACAAGCCATATATCAGTGTGTCTTTTCTCATAAGCCTGGATTCTTGATATTTTTCTCTTTAGAAATGATATAATATTTGGGGGCGTCCCAGTTTTCTTTACATTGGTATATTAAATTATAATGTGAGAGTATCTATGGGATGAATTGTGAGAGTGGATTCTATAATTTAACTGTTGATTTGATATTGATTCTGATGCACAGTGGGCATTAGAAGATTTAGATCTTATCTCACAAGTCTGTGTGCTTGGGCAAGTTGCTTAACTTTTTTTGGCCATTTACTCATATGTATAGTGGGGGCCGTAATATTTGTTCTGCTTACTTCATACGGTTGTTGACTATGATGATATGCAATTATGTATATATGAAAATATTAAGGTAGAGGAAATCTGAGGATAAATTCTTTGTTTGAAAACTACCATGTAAAAGATGACCTGGGAAAAGGAGAACTAATAATTGAGTATTTACTATGTGCCAGGCATCACTTTTGAAAATACTTTATAGTTTCAGGGTAGTGGTACTGCTGGAGAAGAATAGAGAATATCTTCAGTTGAATCTATAATGTCTTATTCTTGGCAGGAAAATCTGAAACAAGAATGGCAAAATAGGATTCATTTAAATAATGAGTACATGGTATTCACTGTGTTATTCTTTGAAAATTATAGACCTATTTCATAACATTTTTTAAAAATAAAAGGCCACCTTTCAACAAGATAAAATAAGTATTTCAGTTGGTATGCTTGTGTATCTTGGAGAATCGCATATAAACATTTATGTCTAATATTAGTTTCATGAGTATGAAAACATTCACATATTTAAATAGTTAATGTTTTTTTGCAATCAAATATTGTGTTATTTTTATTATTTTTTTGTTTTCACAGGTTTATAAAGTTCTGGTCTCAGTGGGCAGGAGTGAGTGGTTTGTCTTCAGAAGATATGCAGAATTTGATAAGCTTTATAATACTGTAAGTAATGGTCACTTTACGAGGTTTTTATTTAAAATAAGACACCTGAGAAAACTTAAAAATACGAGAGATTTTACTTGAGTGATTAAATAATATTCAGATATATCAGAGAAGCAGAAAGAGTAAGAGATTCTTCAAAAGCATTCTAACTTTGGAATTCTTATACAAAAGGGTGGAGAGGGGACCGTTGACAAGTTCCAAATAAAGTATTGAAAGTATGAAAACTAGATGTACAACTTAAAATATATTTTAATGTTACAGAAAATTAGAAATAAATCCTTTACATCTACCTCTCTAATAATTGCTAATCATCATGTTATTTCTGGTTAAATTTATTGTGTTTTCTTTTGTTACTTAGTTTTTCTTCAATGCATATGCAACTGAAACTTACTGTATATAGTTTTAAATATTGCTTAATCAATATTTAACATATTAATTAAGACAGTCATTTTTTTACTCTAAGTGAAGTCACATTTTTTAAACAAACTAATAGCCAGTAAGAATTTGTACATGAGAATATCTTCTGTAATTTTTTCCAGTGATTTAAAAAAAAATAGTTTATATTAGAGGCTGGGTGAGGGTTGAGTTGCTAGGTCTATTTGAAATTCTTGGATACCATTATGTATATGACTAGCATTTTTTTTTTAATGATTGTACAAATCTGACTGCGCCTATCCGGATAGCTGGGTTATACTCAGGTAGAAATAGCATGATGGTAACACGATACCCATGCACACTTGCACAGAGGGTTTATATGAACTTAGATGAAATTTTGTTCGGTGAACTACTAATAATTGAAAATTTGAGATTTCTTTATGTATTTTGCTTAAAAGATCTTATAGGCCAGACTCACCTTCTAAACATGTCTCCTTTAGTAGAATAGTAGGGAACATCATCCAAAAACTGACCAGTCAGGAGTCTGCCTGAGTTCAAAGCCTAGCATCCTTAGGATGGTTTCTTTTTAAATCGCTGGTGATTAATCAGGCGGAACGGTGATATTTGAGTATCTTTAAGGGTAAAGGTAAAGTAGGAATGTTTCTTTTGGGCATTTCCCCACCATGATCATGTTCTTTCTGTTTTTCCATCAAACATCCCATTTTAAGTATTTTTGCAGACAATTTTCTTAACATGTAGTTGGGTTTTTATTATCCATCTTCCTCATTTTTCCTGTATTTCTCTTTTTTTGTTCTGTTTTTTTTTCTTCTCGTTTCCTCGTTTTCTGTGACTGCCTTTCTCATTTTATATAACCCCTTTCAATTCTGCCTCCTGGGGTGAGGGGCAAAGACAAAAACAGTATTAATTGTGTTCTTTCAAACTATAGGAGTGAGTTTAAACTAAGCCTGATTTCCCTAAGTTTGAAAATACAAATTCTTATGCCTCTTTTACAATAAAAGACAAAAATATAATTTCCAATCTCTAAGCATTTTAATTATCGGTTACATGGGCTTTTATGACTGTTTACATTTTAAACTTTTTATTGTAGAAATTGCTTAATACCTACAGAGGTAGAATGACTAGTACAAACACAGAAAATAATATAATGTACCATCCAGCTTCAACAATTAAATGGCCATGCTTGTTTCATCTCTGGCCCTAGCCGGCCCCCTGTAATTCTGAAGCAAAATTCACTCATCGTATCATTTCATCTGTAAATATTTTAGTATCTTCTCTAAAAAAAGATAAAAGTCCTTAAAAACACACACACATAACATTATCACATCTAAAACTAAATGAATGATCATGTCTTACCATCAAATAATCACTCAGTGTTTATGTGACTGGTGGATAGGTCTATTAAGTGTCTTTTAATCTTCCAGCTCTCTTATCTTTCCTTTACAGCTTTTTGTGGAAAAAGCAGTGTCATTTGTCTACAGACTTTTCAGTCTGGATTTTGCTGATAGCATGCCAGTGGTGTAGAGTGATTAATACATTCTTCTGTTCTTTCTATTTCCTGTCAGTTGGTAGTTAGATCCATAGTTTCTGTGTGTGGGAGAGGGGGTAGGGAGGACTCTTACCTGAAGGTTATAATAAAAATAAGCATTAACCCTTATTTATGACTTTCCTGCTACAAACTTAAGTTCTTGAGGGCCTAGTTGTTCCTTCTCTGGGGATAAACAAATCTGATAAATGTTTTAGAATAGCAATAGGGGGAAGGCTGAAGTAGAGAATGTTAAAAGCAAAATTCATCAGCTTTCTTAGAAAACAATTGTCAATCTGTTCATATAGAGAGAACACAAAGATCACATCTTCCCCTGAGGTAATAAATGGTGAGTAATATGTATTCAAAATTTATATACTAGATTCTAGTCTAAGCACTTGACATAAATGGTTACCTTTAAGCCTCACAACAAGTCTGTAAGGTAAGTGCTAAAATTATCCCTATTTTGCAGGCAAGAAAACTGAGGTACAGAGATGTTAAGTAACTTATCAAGGTCACAAAGCTGCTAAGTGTTCTATTGGCACAAAATAAGGTGATTAGACAGTCTATGGTATTTTATTGGTATAACTCAATATTGTACATTTGATCGTGATATAGTTAAAAGTATGTCTTACAATGGATTTTCTTGCAAATAGATTGTATTTTATTTTGGTGCATGCATAACTAGAAAACTTATAAAAGTAAGTTCATATAATGTTACTTTTTAAAATTCTAGTTAAAGAAGCAATTTCCAACTATGGCCCTGAAGATTCCTGCCAAGCGAATATTTGGTGATAATTTTGATCCCGGTAAGCAGTAACTTCATAGACCCAGACATAAGTGATAGTTGAAGTTTGAAGACATAGTTAACTCATTCATTGTACTGTATACTAATACAAAAGTTTACAAAGTGCCCTAACCGGTTTGGCTCAGTGGATAGAGCGTCGGCCTGCGGACTGAAGGGTCCCAGGTTCAATTCCGGTCAAGGGCATGTGCCTTGGTTGCCGGCACATCCCCAGTAAGGGGTGTGTAGGAGACAGCTGATGGATGTTTCTCTCTCATCGATGTTTCTAACTCTCTATCCCTCTCCCTTCCTCTCTGTAAAAAATCAATAAAATATATTTTAAACAAAAAAAAAAAGTTTACAAAGCAAATTGATCTCATGCTTTCTGAAAATAATGTCTCAGGAAGGTGTTTATTGTGTACCCAGCATTGTTTTATACACGTCACATGTTGTAATTCATTGAGTCCTCACAAAACCCTTTGAGTTGGATATTATCATCATCACTATTTTATAGATAAGGAAACCGAAGCATAGTTAGCGCCACAGACATCTAGTAAATGTCAATTTTGGAAGTTAAATTTAAGCAGTCTGGTTTCAGATAAATTTTTTGTGTTATTAAGGATTATTTGGGGTACTTTGCTAACCATGAAGGACGTTCTTTGTTACATCGAGAAGCATTTACTGAAAGTGTACTCTGTACCAGCACCCTACAAGCCTCTGAATGGGATTGTAAAAAATGTCCTATTGCTCTCCCTCGGGGAGTGTAATGCCACAAAGGATCTCAGGAATCTGGAGCCCTTATGTCTGAAGCCCCAACCGGGAGGCTTTTCACTAGAATCCGAGAAATCAATCCAGGTCACAAATGGCTACTTAGAGAGAGACAGAAGTCTCCTTTTCTACCAGGCATCCTGTCAGAAAAGTCATCTGTCTGAGTAGTAGGTGAATCCTGACAGACCAGAGAGCCCTCCCTCCACACCATCTTACTTCCTGAATTCATTTGCTTCTAACCCTGTAAAACCCATGAAACCTGTGCTTCCCGACATGTCTGCTCTCTCTGGTCGCATTGCTCTCTAAGTAGCTCTTCCGTTGCTTATCTTTACTGCATTTTTTCCCATTCTTTCCCTCCAAACCTTTTCACTGTACTGTGTGGAGTTCTGCCCGCGATGAACAACCTTCTCTTTATCCTTCATCTTTTTCATATAACTCTCACTTTCCTACTGTAGTTAAAGCTTAGTTTCCTGAGGCTGCAGGATGACCCCGTGTAACCCTCTCAACTGGAAGCTCTTTATTTTTTTTTTTACACTTTATGAACCTCGGGATCGGTGAGGATTCTCACTTCCCCTAGTGTATGTAAAATTTTTATTCGCATTTGTAACTACATCATTCACAGGGAACTAGAGGCTGAGCCACTCTCCTAAGCCTCACAGCTAATATGTGGAGAATTACTCATCCAGGTTTGTCTCTCTCATTCCCTTACTCTACTCTCTGCTTAAAGCATGGTGCCTTTAGAAACAAAATTCATAAATTTCTGTGCATTTTCTTTAAAAATTGCTTGTTTGGAACATTACAGAACTCTGACCCTGTTTCCTGATCTGAAAGGCGTGGGTGAGGGATAAAGGATCTCCGTGGTCCCTGCGGGCTCTAAATATCCTTTGATCGCGAATATAATCAGGTCACTCTGACCACCAGTAGCCGTGTTAGGACAGAAAAACCTTCAGTCAAAATTTGATTTTTTTTTTACCCCTTGTCCTATAGTCTTGGAGATTGTCTCCTTTTGGATGATTTTTTTAGAAGCACTGAAATGACAAATCTTTATAGGTCAGTTTAATACCTATTCTGGAGACTAAAGCTTTCATTTTATGATCTAAGCACTATGTTCTTTTGGATCTCTAATTGAAAACTCTTTTGAATAACAGCAGATACATTCACATAAATTCTTTTTTTTAATAATTTAAATTTATTTTTAATAGAATATTATTAAATTTTATTTAAAATACATTTTATTTTACTCAATAGTATAAGAAAAAATACAGTAAAATTCTAAGTAATATACATAGTCACATAAATTCTTAATTGGAGAGATTTTAAAAATATCTCTAACTATTCTTCTTCTTTTTTTTTAATCCTCATTCAAGGATATGATTTTAGAGATAGAGGAAAGGAGAGAAAGAAACATTAATGTGAGAGAGAAACATCAATCAGTTGCCTCACATACACACCTCTACCGGGGGTTGAACCCGCAACCTTTTGGTGCATGGGACGACGCTCCAACCAACTGAGACACCTAGCCAGGGCTCCAACTATAATTGTTTTTTGGTTTTTTTTTATTGTTTCTATTTATTACTCTCTATACCCTTAACCTGAAGCCTGGATTCCCTAGTCCAGTGGTTCTCAACCTGTGGGTCGCGACCCCTTTGGGGGTCGAACGACCCTTTCACAGGGGTCGCCTAAGACCATCGGAAAACACATATATAATTACATATTGTTTTTGTGATTAATCACTATGCTTTAATTATGTTCAATTTGTAACAATGAAAATACATCCTGCATATAGATATTTACATTACGATTCATAACAGTATCAAAATTACAGTGATGAAGTAGCAACGAAAATAATTTTATGGTTGGGGGTCACCACAACATGAGGAACTGTATTAAAGGGTCGTGGCATTAGGAAGGTTGAGAACCACTGCCCTAGTCCATTGTTATCATCGCTCTCCCATCTACTAGGCCTGGCGATAGAGTAGTATACTTCTTCCTTTCTTCCAGAACATTCTCCTTCCTTTCCCTATAAAATGCCCCCAGCTTTTTTAAAAACTCAGAATTGCCCCTAAATTCTGACTACTACTGATCTTCTTTTTTCATTACTGACTTCTTTTATTTATCTTCTTTAGGGCTTTCCAAACTGTTTGAAGTCAGTAATGAAGTGGAAAGACAAGTAGCACTTAGTACAGCATGGGATACAGCTCCCTGAAGAAAGCAGATCACTCTCTCTTACCACAACCCGTCTCCCAGTATCAAATGTACATTCAGGAAAAATCCACAGAACAATTTAGAGATGTTTCCATGTGATCACTAGATTTTATTTAAATATCTCAAATATAGTCGTTCGTTTTAGTTCTTCTATGTTACTAAATCCAGTTCCTGGAAACGGATTGTCTTTCAAGTATAGTTTTTTTAATATATTTTTATTGATTTCAGAGAGGAAGGGAGAGGGGGGGAGAGAGAGAGAGAAACATCAGTGATGAGAATCATTGATTGGATTCCACACACCCCCCACTGGGGATCAAGCCCACAAGCTGGGCATGTGTCCTGACCAGGAATCGAACTGTGACCTCCTGGTTCATAGGTCGACTCTCAACCATTGAGCCACACCAGCTGGGCAAGTATAGTTTTTAGTGAAAACCTCACATGTGCTTTACTACTGTCTGGTGACATAAAGAATGCCCTTGGAAGAGTTTTACAAGATACCTTCCTGAAATTCTTCAAGAAATTCATAGTGGAACAAGAAAAAGCTGCCAAGTGCATCTGTATCTAAGAGACCAGATCTAATTTATATTTGTTCTTTTAAGAAATGGAAATAAAACCTACATGACTAGAAGCAACCCATAATTGGGGTGAAAAACACTATATTAAATGTTTGTTGAGTAGAAATTATTTTATTAAACCAAAACTCACTGTGAAGTTGAATGTTGTTTGTAGGTTTTTATGGAGACATTCGCTATTTTGAGATACTCTCTCAAGTCTCCTGTTTCTTCAGTTTTTAGAGTATTCAGGTACTCCTTGACTTACATTACATTCTGATAAACCCATCGTATGTTGATAATATCATAAATTGAAAATGCATTGAATGCACATATTGAATACATCATAGCTTAACCTAGCCTAGACCTTAAATGTGTTCAGAACACTAACATTGGCCTGTTGTTGGCAAAATCATCCTGTTACCATAAAGAATATCATACTGCATATTGATAGCCTGGGGAAAGATCAAAATTCAAAGTATGGTTTCTACTGAGTTCTTAGCTCTTTCACACCATTGTAAAGTTGAAAAATCCTAAGTCGGACCATTGTAAGTCAGGGACCATCTGCATTTCTTAAGAATTTAAGTTTAGGATGATGGCTTTTTGATGCAATAACAACAAAAATACTAATAGCTGAAGATTATGCTCTTTTCTACCAGGCGTTCTGTAAACTTATATACAATCACATTTAATCCTGTAACAACAGTATGAGGTATAAATATTGTTCTTGTTCCCATTTTACAAGTAAGGATTTAAATCTTAGAAAGGTTCAAGGTCAGTTAGCTAATAAGTAGCAGAGGCAAAATACTTGAATAAAGTTTTCAAATTCTAAGAAACCTTTGTGCTTAACTGCTGTTGCATGAACCTCAGTTATAAACAGTCAAAACACTTTGAAGATACTGGACAATTATTTGTTAGGAATGTTCCAGTGTATTTTTTTAAGAGTGGGTTTGTTTGTTTTTTAGCATCAGAGTTTTGATGAAACTCAAGTAACCAATTAATCATTCCCCAGTTGCAAGGATTTCCAGTAATTCTTGTTTTGTTTTGTTTTTAATTAGCATGATTTTTTTTTCAGTCACCAGTCTCATAGTGTTCATTTTTATTTCTTACTTGGTAGTGCAGGAGGAGTTGGACAAAGCTTCCAGTTTTTGTAGTGAATTTGTTTAGAACCTAAAATAGTCTCTCTTTTTGGAGAATTTTCTTTTGGGAGATACGCTATCTGCTTTATTTAATTTTTATAATCGTATTTATGGATTTTAAAATATATATTTCTAAGTATTTGTTTTTTTGTTGTAAATCAAGAAACAGTTAAGAAATGGCTCTTATCTATTCTTACATAACTGTATTGATAATTATGTAGTCTGACAAATAATTCTAATAGCTTATATCTCTCTTAACAGATTTTATCAAACAAAGAAGAGCAGGACTGAATGAATTTATTCAGAACTTAGTTAGGCATCCAGAGCTTTACAACCAGTAAGTAGTTTTCATTGTGTTCTGAAGAGGCACTGAAACCAAACCTAAGAATATTGAATAAGTTACTGATGCAGATTTTATATGTTCTGTGGAATGTCATTGTGCTACACATAATGTGTGTGTATATTTGTAAAATCTTCCTCAAGCATTTCCCCTTGGTCTTTTTTTTTTTTTTTTTTGTATTGTTAGTCCTCACCAAAGGATATTTTTCCATTGATTTTTAGAAAGAGTGGAAAGGAGAGATCAAGAGAGAGAGACATTGATGTGAGAGAGAAACATTGATTGGTTGCCTCCCGCATGCACAGCAACCAGAGCTGGAGATGGAACCTGCAACCAAGGTACATGCCCTTGACCGGAATCGAGCCTGGGACCCTTCAGTCCGCAGGCCAACGCTCTATCCACTGAGCCAAACGGGCTAGGGCTCCCCTGGTATTCTTAACTCGTTTTTTGACTATCAAGGTCCTAGTTATTTTCTTTCTGCCTTTTACACTTATATTGGTTTTGTAGATTAAACTTGAAAGGAATTTGTACAGTGCACAGTTAAAACAGTTGGCTAATTGTTCAATGTTACATTTATTCCTGCATTCAAATAGGATTTATTAACTACTTGTTGTGTGCGTTGGGAACATAAAGAGTGCCGAGTGTCATTCGTATGTTCCAGAGGCATAGGTTTCCAGTCTAGCAATGAAGCTAGGAAAGATTTATGATAGAGGTGTTAGAAGATAACAGAAAAATATGGCCAGCTCTTCTTGGAAAGGTCAAAGAAGGCTTCCTGGGACTGAAAGGAAGTGCAGTCATTCAGGAAGAAAACACAGAGAGAGCATTCCAGGCACAGGGAGCAGTGGGTGTACGAGTCTACAAAAAGCCTGAAATGTTCGGGACACTTAGGTATGACTGGAACACAGAGTAGATTTTCATTAAGGAGATAAGGCCTCTGAAGAAGTTGGCAAGGCTCAAGCCCAGGTGCCACCACTCTTGTTCTCTTCCATCGAGAGGCCTCCAGCCCTTCTCAGCACAGCGTTCCAGGCAGCCACTGACATGGTGCTCTCACAGCCTGTGTGTGTGTCTTGTGCTAATGAGTGCCAACTCCTTCTGTAGACCAGCAGCTGCCCATGGAGGCAGAAAGGGTGTGTCCTCTCAGAAACACCCAGGAACAGGGTTTGAGATACGTTTTCATTTTGATCCCGGTAATTTCTTCATGGGTATTCATCATGTTTATTGTGATTTGCAATTTACATATATGTCACTTTATATGTGTATGTGTAAAGTATTATATTCTAAGAAATAAAGAGAATAAATTATCTGTGGGGCTTTTTCACAGCTTACTTTTCTACGTAGATGTAACTAAGGGTTGTGTTAGGGACAGTGATGCAGACACCACACTCTTTAAGTCTTTTCAGATCACAGCACTGAAGGACTGTATTTTTAGCACTTGTTCTGAAAGCAATGATTTTTTTTTTTTTACATTACCTGTTGTAGAGTTCTTTACAGTTTACTGTAGGTTTCTGGTCAAGAGCACATACCTCGTTTGCAGGTTCCATCCCTGGCCCTAGTCCAGGAGCATGTAGGAGGCAACCAATCGATGTGTCTCTCTCACATCAATGTTTCTCTCTCTCTGTCTTTCCTCCTCCCTTCCACTCTTTCTAAAAATCAATGGAAAAATACTAGTATACTCAGGCAAGGATTAACAACAACAACAAAATGTTTCCCATGATAAAGGACAATAAATAAATATACTTAGCATGGAAATAGCTCATGCAGATAATTCACACTTAAGACACCAAAAAAAAAAAAATGGACAAAGCACTTTGATTTACAAAAGAGGAGCTACAAATGGCTGATTAATTACCCAAAAATAACTGAACATTTCCTTCCCTATTTATGAAATGCAAATGGAAGCAGAAAGACCTTATTTTAGCTTTATTATAGTATATAGCACATACAGGAAAGAGCAGAAATCATGACTGTACAGCTTACTAAATTATGTGAAAGTGAATACACCAGAATTGCCACCCCCAGGCCAAGCAATAGAACGTTACCAGCACCCCTGAAGCCCCTCACAATCTCCTCTCCTCTGTTCTAACCCAGAGGTAATCATTCTCCTGATTTTTTAGCAGCATAGATTAATGTGCTCTGTTTTTTAACGTTATACAAATGGGATCATACAATACATATTCCTTATTTGGCTTATTTTTAACAATGTGAGAGTCACTATGTTGTCACATATAGCTGTGGTTTGTTCTGTTTCCATAGCTGTGCATATCCCATTGTGTGAATAGACCATAGTTTATCCATTCTACCACTGATGGACATGTGAGTTGTTTCCGGTTTCTGGCTATGACAAATAATGTTGCCATTAACATATATTTTGGGGCACATGTGCAAGCGTTTCTGATGTATCTTGGAATAGAAACCCTGGGTTGTAGAGTATATACAGGGTTCAGCAAAAGTGGGTTTAATTCATAGGGAAAATAATACAATAATCCTACATAATAAAAGGCTAATATGCAAATTGTCCCCTCAGGAGTTTGATTGACTGGGAGTTCAACAGCTCACTGTGACGTGCGCTGACCACCAGGGGGCAGCACGGAACGAAGGAAGGCCCCGATCGGCCCTGATCGCTGGCCAGGCCTAGGGACCCTACCCGTGCACGAATTTTGTGCACTGGGCCTCTAGTTAATAAATAATAGTACAAGATTAAACTCTGTTCTGCATGTTCACAGCTGTAAGCCTACTTTTGCGCCGCCGTATTTAAACTTGCTAAGAGAGTAGATCTTAAAGGTTCTCATCACAAGAAAAAAAAATTGTAACTGTCTATGGTGATGGATGTTAATTAGATTTACTGTGATCATTTTACAATACTTACAAATATCAGGTATATCTCAAGAAGAAAAAAGAACATTTGGTAGACGGTACCTCTGATACAGAGGTAGAATCATTGCTCGGGATTCTCATTCGTCCATACAAAGCCCCTCTTTTGTTTTAGTCCATTTTTTTCTCTTCATCTTTGATCTTCACTCCCAATTCTTCATTCCACTATTGGTACCCACTTTAATGTGTTTGTTATATGTTTTTGGATACCTGTTTACCGATTGTTGCTTTGTGTTCCTAAGTATTTAATACACATATACACATAAATGGTATTGTGCTGTAGTTCCTTGTTTCTGCCTGCTGTAGGCGATTTCTCTGCTTGCCTACTCATTTCTCTAGTGGCAGGTGGTTGTTTTGCTTCTGATTCACTACTATAAGGAATGTTGCAGTGAGTATCCTAGTTACATGCCTTTCACTGAACCTGTGTATAATTTTTTTCTGTGGTTTGTTCCTAGAACTGGAATTTCGGGTCAGGGAAATGCATACACAGTCTCACCAAGTACTGCCAGATTGCTTTTTAGGAAACTTGCCTCATTTTACATTCTCACCAGTAATACATGAGGGTGTCTCTTTCCCTATATGCCTACCAACTTTTGATATTATCTGTCTTTCTAAATTTTGCCATTTAATGGACATAAAGTGGCATCTCATTATTATTTTAATTTGTATTTCTTATACTATTAGTGAAGTTAGGCATCTTGATAAATTTTCTTACCATTTGGGTTTTGTCTTCTATGAACTGACTATGCCTTTACCCATGTGGGATTCTCTATTTTTTTTAAAAAATAACTTGCTATTTGTTTTATAATAATCAATATTAATAGATTTTGTTTGGCTTCATTACTATAAATGGTATTATTTTTATTTTCATTTTAAAAGGGAGAAAAGCTGTAGAAATACTTTCAAAGTCATAATAAATTTAAATTTTGTTTTTAGTCCAGATGTCAGAGCGTTCCTTCAAATGGACAGTCCGAAACACCAGTCAGATCCATCTGAAGATGAGGATGAAAGAAGTACTGAGAAGGTAGTTAAAAGGGAATGTATTTTTTAACAGAAAAAATACCATTCCCCAAAGATGAAATTATTGGCAACTTTAGGACATATAGTTAAAACAAAGTCATTTTATCCATTGTAAATTTTCAGTTCTGTAGAATACATAAAAACAAATGTGTATACTTCTTACTGAGCACTATTATAAAATTTATAAATGAGCACATTTTATAATAAAAAGTAATACATGTTAATTAAACAGTTTTGAAAATAGTAAAAAGGGAAGTATTATCCATATTATCAGACCCAAGTAATTTTTAACATTTTAGTGATTTTTCTTTCTAATCTTCTCTTAACATATAGTGATTTTTCAAAATTATCTTAATTCTAATTATATAGTGTATACAGTTTTGTATTCCACTCTCTTCACTTTACATCTGATTTTTTTGGTCACTATTTGCCTGCTTCTTCATCACTATACTTGAATAGGATATTTTAATTTTTTATTTATTTTGATTTTATTTTTTAAATATATTTTTATTGATTTCAGAGAGGAAGGGAGAGGGAGAGAGAGATACAAACATCAATGATGAGAGAGAATCATTGATTGGCTGCCTCCTGCACACCCCCTACTGGATATTGGGCCCGAAACCCAGGCATGTGCCCTGACCAGGGATCAAACCATGACCTCCTGATTCATAGGTCAGTGCTCAATCGTTGAGCCATACCGGTTGGGCAGATATTTTTATTTTTTTAAATAAATTATGATAAATATAATAAGTTCATGCCTTATTACAAAGCTATTTTCTGCATTTACTTTAAAAATTATCTGGGAGGCAGCTCCGTGGAACCATAAAAGACACACTCAGGGGGAAGACTCAGTGAGCACCAAAGCCCCATCGAAGCAAGTCTACCCCCAGAGGGGTGTCTCCAGCACAGAAGTTCTCCCACTGCAGACACAGCTGATTCTCACAGCCAATTGGCCTGGAGGTCAATTCCTCACAGTGATAACTACAACAATCAAGGCTTAATTACAACAAGACTGTGCACAAAGCCCACAAGGGGGTGCACCAAGAGTGTCTACCTCAGGTAATTGGGACACTTAGCACAGAAAGGCAATCAATCGACACAGCGAAGCATAAAAAATGCCGAGACAAAGAAACAGGACACAAATGACAGAATGGGAGGAAAGCAAACTGCTGGATATAGAGTTCAAAACCACACTTTTAAGGTCTTTAAAGAACTGTCTAGAAGCCGCCGATAAACTTAATAAGGCCCTCGAAAAGACTGGTGAGACCACCGATAAATGTAGTGAGATCTTCAAGAAGACTGGTGAGACCGCTGATAAATGTAGTGAGATCCTCAAGAAATCTAATGAGACCCTCGATGTTGTGATAAAGGACCAACTAGACATTAAGCATACACTGACTGAAATAAAGAACATTATACAGACTCCCAATAGCAGACCAGAGGAGCGCAAGAATCAAGTCAAAGATTTGAAATACGAAGAAGCAAAAAACACCCAACCAGAAAAGCAAAATGAAAAAAGAATCCGAAAATACGAAGATAGTGTAAGGAGCCTCTGGGACAGCTTCAAGCGTACCAACATCCGAATTATAGGGGTGCCAGAAGAAGAGAGAGAGCAAGATATTGAAAACCTCTTTGAAGAAATAATGACAGAAAACTTCCCCTACCTGGTGAAAGAAATAGACTTCCAAGTCCAGGAAGCGCAGAGAACCCCAAACAAAAGGAATCCAAAGAGGACCACACCAAGACACATCATAATTAAAATGCCAAGAGCAAAAGACAAAGAGAGAATCCTAAAAGCAGCAAGAGAAAGAAAGTCAGTTACCTACAAGGAAGTACCCATACGACTGTCAGCTGATTTCTCAACAGAAACTTTGCAGGCCAGAAGAGAGTGGCAAGAAATATTCACAGTGATGAATACCAAGAACCTACAACCAAGATTACTTTATCCAGCAAAGCTATCATTCAGAATTGAAGGCCAGATAAAGAGCTTCACAGATAAGAAAAAGCTAAAGGAGTTCATCACCACCAAACCAGCATTATATGAAATGCTGAAAGGTATCCTTTAAGAAGAGGAAGAAGAAGAAAAAGGTAAAGATACAAATTATGAACAACAAATACACATCTATCAACAAGTGAATCTAAAAATCAGGGGAATAAATAATCTGATGAACAGTATGAACTGGCGATTGTAATAGAATCAGGAACATAGAAAGGGAATGGACTGACTATTCCTGGGGGGGAGGGGGAAAGGGTGTGGGGTAAGGGAAGAGATTGGACAATAATTGTGCACCTATGGATGAGGACAGTGGGTGGGGAGTGAGGGCGGAGGGTAGGATGGGAACTGGGCGGAGGGGAGTTATGGTGGGAAAAAAGAGTAACTAATGTAATAATCTGAACAATAAAGATTTAATTAAAAAAAATTATCTGGGAAAGGTAAATTATAATAATTTTACTTAATGGATTATTAGAAATTCAAGTTATAATTACAAGTGTTATAAATATGATAATACCTTTATAATTCAAGATTGTTTATTAAAATATATACATGCAAATCAGAGGTTTTGGGCTGGAGGGCATCTTTGTTTTTATAATTTCTTTTAATTATGTCATGGTTCTCTTTTTGTAACTTAAAAGATAATATTATGAGTTGGAACATGACTGTCCCACAGCTAGAACCTTCAATTGATAATAGATGTATTCCTTTTTTGAAACTGCTGGAAAGTAGTAATGTTTCTCTGAGACCCCAAGGGGATGCTCAGTTAAGAGAACAGGTTTTTTTCATCTGTGACATGGTTGCTCCTAGGACAACATAAAAGAATCTTTTTATCTTATACTTCTGCGACTAATCCAAAGAGTAACTGGAAAGCATTTGTAACTAATGAGGTAGTGTCTATATAAAAAGCACATATAAATGGATTTTTCAAAAGAATATTTAAGATCCCAGTAGATAAAAGAAAAAGGAACATGAAGAAATACTGTTTGTAAATAAATGTATGGGAAAATGTTCAGCCTTGATACCAATAGAAAAGTATTTTTAAATGAGATTTTTTTTCTCTCTATTAAGTTAACTAAAATGTAACGTAAATAAAATACTGTAGGACTGAGAAGGTAAGGTACAATGGGCACCCTTGGGCATTACTGGTGTCATTATAAATTTATGCAACTCTTTTGGAAAGCAATTTGGCAATATGAATCAGACATAAATATTCATGTCCTTTGGGAGTTGAGGCAAATGAAATAATCCTTCCTATGCAAAAAAGACAAAGATGTTTGGTTTAGTATGATTTATAATGAAAAAGTAAAATCAAGTTAAACATTCATCAATCAAATAGTATGTCTCTATACATTGTACATTTAAAAAATATTTTTGAAGATATATTTTACATTTTGACATACTATTAGATGAAATCAGGGTATAACATTTTGTATGCAGATTCACACAGTGTGATTATAGCCAGTTTTTAAAAGTTATGCAAAGACTACAGTATATGAAATTACTGTTAAAAATTTACAAAATTATCTGTTGGCAAAGTTATGGATTTTTTTTTAAAGAAGTCTTCCTAGTTTTTCCATATTTTCCAACTGTGAGTATATGATATTAATTGAAAAAGATGAAACTGTTGAAAAATAGTTTAAAGGACAAAAATCTATATAACCATGGTTTCCCATGTTTTACTTGCTAATCATGTTGAGAGTATGTAGGTTTAGGTCAATTAGAGAATGTCTTACCTTGCTATAAGAGACAGCTGGTTTTGAAAGAACCAAACTGAGCCCACGGTTGGTTTGGTGTTGTCCTGTGCACCGAAAGGTTGCTGGTTCGATTCCCTGTGAGGGCACATGTCTGGTTGTGGGCTGGGTCCCTGGTAGGGGCATGCAGAAGGCAGCTAGTCAGTGTTTTGCTCTCACATCAGTGTTTCTCTCTCCTTCTCCCTTTCTCTCTCTCTCTCTCTCTCTCTCTCTCTCTCTCTTAAAAAAAATAAATAAATAAAAGAAAGAACCAACTGAAAGATTCCTGGCTCCTGGCTTCTATTTTGTCACTATTAGCTTTAGATCTGAATTTTGTTTCTTTTTTCTTTTTTCATCCATAAAATCTGAAACTTAGACTAGGATATCTTGCAGTTTTAAAATACTGATAAAAAGAATCTCCTTTAAAAAGGAAACAAGCTATACTTGTCTTGTACTTGTAACTCCTTATTAATAGTTACAGGTTAGGACCTTTAAGTCGATAAGTTAATAGCCAGATAATATCTTAGAAGGCATATGGACCTACCCCTTATTTATAGAGAGAAAAATAGGGGTCAAGAGAAGTAAAGAAACATGTTCTTGATTAGAGCTCACTCTGTTAATAAATTATACCTCACCTTCAGTTTAGTGATTAGAAGTAATATTTAAAAATAGCTGGGCGGGGAGCTGGGGGATTGAGGAAAAAAGAAGAGAGAACTCATTTATGCGGACAACAGTGTGGTCATTTTGGAGAGGAGGGTGGTGGGTGGAGGTGGAGGAGGGCGTATGGGGATAAATGGTGTTGGTTAAAAATAAAAATACTAGGTAGAGTTAAAAGTTACCTAATTATACACTCCAGTAATTTTCATATTATTTCAAAAATGTGCTCCACTGGAAAAACTATTGCCAAATAATAAAATCTTACTACATGTTAATATAATTCAGAAGACAAGTTGTTCATGTTATTATTTAATCCACGCTTATTAAATCGCTTCCCTCATCTAAGAAAAATTTATTGAATGGAAACATGATCCAATTCTCTGCATATCATTAAAAGAATAAGTGTATTGAAATTACAATTTAGTTCGGAGTATGTTATCCTATTCTATGGGACACTATAATATGTAAACATAATCATAGTATTAAGTCGGGTTAATATGCTCTACACCTTAAACTAAATTTATACAGTGCTGCTTGTCAAGTATATCTCAATAAAACTGGGGGAGAGGGGTTACTCTATGTTATAATTATGCCACAATAAGGTAATTCTCATTTCATGAACCATTTTCTTTTGTCTTGTGCTTGACTGTTATGGTTCCTTATATTTTTGTGTTCTGGGGTTGACCTTTTTTTTCCCTCTTTTTTTGGGGGGATTGACCTTTTATTACAGAAAGATTTTTCACATAAAGGTATTGTTAGGAAATTAATTTGATTTGTAACTAAAAATTGGTGCCAGTGTTGTTGTTTCATAAGAAACATATTATTATACATCAGAACTTTTGTTCTTTATTTTTAAAATAGTTTATATTCTGGAGATTGTTCATAAGTTTCAAATGAATTTAAGTGAAATGTATATGATATTTGTCTCTAATATGAAATTGCTTAGATAAAATTCATTGGCTATAATTAACTTAAAGAAGTTTTTAGCCTAGCGGTTGAGCGTCGACTTATGAGCCAGGAGTTCAATTCCCGGTCAGGGCATATGCCTAGGTTGCGGGCTCCATCCCCGGTGTGGGGTGTGCAGGAAGCAGCCCATCGGTGATTCTCTCTCATCATTGGTGTTTCTGTCTCTCTGGCCCTCTCCCTTCTCTGAAATCAATAAAAATATTTTTTTTAAAAAAAAGAAGTTTTTAAAAGCTTATTTCATATCTATAGCTTATATGAAAAATCTTCTATAATAATAAAAGCATAATATGCTAATTAGGCCAGATGTCCTCCCAGACGACCTTCCGGACGAAGCCGGGGCTGCGAGGGAAGCCTGGTTCCTGGGTGCCAGAGGGAAGCCGGTGCCGGAAGCCGGGGAAGGAAGGCCTACTCTTGCATGAATTTCGTGCATCAGGCCTCTAGTAATTACATAAGGCTCTAGTAAAAGTATCCATCTTTATTGGAAAATTTGAAAACCAAAAGCCATTTTAATCAGGTTATTTTTTTGAATCTTTATTGTTGATAGTGTTACCGCTGTCCCCTTTGTTTTGTTTTCTTTTCCCCACTGACCTCCTCCACCTTGCACCCGCCCCTCCCAGGCCTTCACCGGACTCTTGTTTGTGTCCATGGCCTATGCATATATGCATGTAAGTTCCCCGGATAATCTCCTCCCCCACAACGAGGTCTTTAAATGTAGAAACGATCCTCCACGGAGCTTTCCCCAGTTTACTTCATTCATTTTCCACTTGGAGCTTGATTTCTGCCTTACCCTTTTCCTTATAACTGCTCTTGAAATACGTCATAAAAATGATTATGGATGTTTCCAAATAAGTCTATACGTTTATTTAGAATTAGGGCTTTAGCTTTCTCTCACGTGGCACCACATCAAACATCTGGTGAAGTTAGGAAAACATTCATTGACCGTGGAAGCTCCATGATGAACTTTAATGTGTGTTTTTTCCCACTTCAACAGCTACACTCTACCTCACAGAACATCAACCTGGGACCGTCTGGAAATCCTCAGTAGGTTTGATTTGTTTCCAACAATCCTTTAAGTTCTAGGAGGATCTTTTTTTTTTTTTTAATGTGAATGTTTAGATATAATTTGACCAGTTTAACTGGAAGGCTGTGAGATATAACCGTAGCTACAATGAATATAATACTGCCCTATGCTTGCCTAACTTATTGCTCTAGCTTTCCGTTGCTTTAGTAGAGCTCTGAGGCGTTTTTAACCCACAGATTATTGATCTGGTTCTATTTCACTTTTGTTACTTCCCTCTCCCTTTCCCTCTCTCTGTCTCTTTCTGCCTCTCTCTCTCTTTCTGTGCATGTGTATGTGTAAAATCAGTAGACTGTATTTCCCAGGGGACCATAAGTCCTGGGGGTACTTGGGAAGTGTTCCGCCCGAAGCATCCGTGCAGGCCTAATTGATACTCTCCTAGTACTCAGTGTCATTGGTGCAACCCTGGTTGGTAGCCAGCTTGCTCCAGAGTACTCATGACACATGTTAGTTTATTAAAGGCTGCCAACCATTCTTGATGCAGTGTCTCCCGTATGTAATTGACCCCGGGAGGAACATTTTGAGGAACACCAGGAGTGGTAAATATAGACGCTGCCTTGAGTGTCAACTGTAGCGATTCATTGGAAGGGAATGCCCAGAAACACCGAACACAAAGGATTCCGAGGCCACTTCCTGGCTTCGAGGAGTGCCCTGGACAGTTTAGTGATGTCTGCCTGGGTTAGAGAAGGACTGTTGCTGTCCTTTCTTACAATGATTTTCACAGCCTTATTGGACTCATTCTAAAGTATTCTATCTTTTATCCCAGGATACTACGCTTCCCTCACCCCTTTGGTCCTCTTAAACAGTGAGTATAGACAGATAAGAGGCATGGTCCAAGGATTGGGTCATGGGACACTTCGGCATTACAGGGAGGTCAGGGAGGAGCCAGGAAAGGACACTAAAGAAAGAGTAAGTGGTAAGGAAGGAGGAAAACAAGGAATGTAGTGTCACACAATCAGGTGAAGAACGTTTCTCGAGGAGGGAGGGAGTCATTGACTTAGTTAATATTGCTAATAGGGCAGGTAAGATGAAGATGGAGAATCGACCACCGGCTTCGATAAGTCCCTGGTGACTGTTACGAGCAGTGTGGTGGGTACAAAGACCCCGGCAGGAAAGGGTTCAAGACAGAGCTAGAGGACAGCAGGTATGGACAATGAGTTTAGACCACTTACTTGAGTTTTGCTGCAAAAGAAAGCACAGAAATGGGAGGGTAACTAGAAGAGGAAGTTTGGTTTTGAGCATTTTACTGCCATCATAGCACTGAGTTGGTCAGGCAGCACAAACACAGAAATTTGCTTTCAATTAGGGTTTATCACCAGCAGTTACCAGTGGGGCCTCAGGTAGTGTATTTAGCATGAGGAATAAGCATGTTTTTTCACTATTATATTTGTTTAAAAAATTATTTCAGTATCTCGGCATATCATTAAAGAACAAAATAACTAGTCCAAAGAGCACGTTCTTGAAGAAGAAAAACATCTAAGCTTAGTTAAGTATTTATTTCCCTAACCTTCACCTGTTATTATTTAACCTAGACTTGGTGTTGCTCTCATATTTGAATATACTATTTCTCTCAATGATGAACTGAAGGAAATTTAGACTCTAACTAGCGTCATTAACCTTTCCTTAGTACAACTTGGCAATTCGGACTGTGTTGAAGGAAACAGCTCTGCTGGCTGCTTATGCTCAACTTTCTGCTGTCCTGTGCTTTGCCTACATTCAGCCAATGCTTCTTTTTACTGACAGGATAGTAGACATAGGACAATGTTAGCATTCCCTCTCGCTTCTCTACTCCTGGCTTTCCTATATTACCACTTTTGAGAATAAGCAGAGAGAGGTCTTTATCTGTAATGTATAAGTGATATATATGCAAAGCACTGTGATGACTTTTTTCCTCCATCAGAAATTTTTCTTAGTGACTTTACTAGGTGTTCCAGCTATTAACTTCCTTTTCGGAAGAATTACCAAACTAGAAAGTCCTTGGAAGGTATTACTAATTTATACAGTTATTCATTTTCTTCATTAACAACATCGGTGAGGTTTATAGTTAATAAAGTTGGGGTAGATAGAAGGTACTTTGAATTCAAAGATATATGTATCATTTTCTTCTAATGGGGCTATTATTGAAGTTTCTTTTAAGCAGAACTTAACAAGGCATAATGTTATAAAATATCAAGTTAGAAAGTAGATATTATTACTTATTATTGCCTATTTTGTATTAAAAATTAGTTACTGCTAGTGTGAAAGTTGAAGTCATCATGCTGAAGTGTTTTGTACCCAACATTTACTTATTAAAGAATGTGCTGAGAAATGTTTAAAAGTTAACATTTGTCCATTTTCTTGGAGGCTCATTCTTGTCGTTCATTTATTTCAGTGCTAAGCCAACAGACTTTGATTTCTTAAAAGTTATTGGAAAAGGCAGCTTTGGCAAGGTAAGAGTGTGTTTATTTTCTCCTTCAGTAAATAAGTACTTAAGGAATGCATGCTTTATCCTTGCCAGGCCACAAAGCCTGTTGGTGTGCAAGACAGGGAGTTAAGATGCTTTCTCTACCTTCAAAGTACTGACAAGATAATTAGGGAGATAAGGCATCTACTTAAATTCTAACATAAAGTTCACTTGTTCAAAAAGTATATGTTGAGCGGCTGCTATCTGCCACGCATTGTCCTGGGCCCCGTTTAGATAATACTGAGCAACACTGACATGGTTACTGCCTTTGTGACGCTTACAATCTAGTGGGGAAAATCGTCAAATAAAAATATGCAATAAAATAGATAATTGTAAGTAGTAATGGGGCTGTGAAAGAATTGAAGCATAGAGCAAAGTGACAGAAAACTGTAGGCGGGGGGGGCGGGGTTGGGGGGACGGGGTCATTAATTGCTACTCTGATGGGTGGGTCAGTAATTGCTACTCTGAAGAGGTCTATTGAAGCTGAGGCAAAAGGACAAAAGTGAGCAGCTGTGTAAATAATAGTTGGGGGAGAAAGGGCTCTGGAAAGACCCTATTTCTCCTCAGAAGTGAGTGTCAACTAAGTCATTTAACTTGACAGTGTGGCCACCAGGGGAAGACAAGGCCACAAGTGTCATAGATGGTGTTATCAGAATCATAAAATATATTTAAATGCTTTTTTTTTGCATTATACTTCAATCTGCAGTCAAAATAAATATGTATGTATTTAATTATAGTTTGCTATATTCGTAGCTTTCTGTATCTCTGGCTTGTTTTCTGAGTTCCCTAGATACCAGAAACTGTGACCATGCAGTTAAACCCATGTGTGTTCATTAACTCAGCAAATATATATTTTGACCACCTGCTACATGCTGGGCAATAGAAAGATAGAAATAGATCTGCTCTCAAAATGCTCACATTTCCTTGAGGTGGTAGAGATACTCTGTCATTAATAACAAAAAGCATTATCTTTTGGAAACTTCATGTTTAGAGTCTACCAGGATTGGGTTCTTGCATACAATGTGAGGTGTAGGGTCACAGTTTATTTGTTCCCTGTGGATAGCTAATGTATCCCACATAATTTATTGCAAAGACTGTTCTTTCCCCATTGATCCGCAGGGTAGCCTTCGTCACATCTCCAGTGTCCATGTGTGCATGGATCTACTTGTAGATTTTATGTTTATATTTGTTTCTAGATTGTGTATTGTGTTTCGGTAATCTGTCTGTCTATCCTTGCACCAATACCACATTGTCTTGACAAGTGTAGCTTGATTTCCAGCAGGACCAGTCCTCCCTCCTTATTCTTCTTCGTGAGGCTATTCTTAGCTCTTTGCATATCTATATAAATGTTAGAAATTAGCATGCCAGTTTCCACAAGATTCTGTTGGATTTTGATTGGGATTGCATTGAGTCTATAGGTCAATTTGGCAAGAATTGTCATCTTCACATTACTGAGTCTTCTAATCAGTAACCATGGTATATCCTTTTGTTAATTTAGTTCATGTTTATTTTTTCTCAGGATTGTTTCATAGTGTTCTGTAATGGGCTGGGTTGCATGCACTTTCAAGGACCTAATTACACATCTGTAATTAGATATTTATTCCTCTACATTGCATTTTTATGCTGATTGAAACTTGTTATTTATTGAAGCTGAATTATGCAATACCTATGACACATTGGTTCTACTCCTAGCTTTACATCCAACAGAAATGCATGCACATATGCACTAGGAGAGGCATGTGCCAGAATATTCATAACATCGTTATTCATCAGCAATTAAAATGTCTGTCAACAAAAGAGTGGATTAAATTGTGTAATGCAGTAGTCTACATAGCAATAAAAATTTTAAAAACTATACGGCACGCCACAACTTGAATGGGTATTAGATAATTTAGAGTGAAAGAAGTTAGTCAGAGACAATGCTACATGATTCTAATTTAAAAATTTTTAAATGATAATATCAAATTACTGGTGTTATTACGACTTGAGATGGTGGTTACCTTTGAGGAAGACAGGGATGAGTAATTTCTGGAATGGGGCCAAAGCGGGGAATTCAGGCTACCCAAAATGTTTTACCTTTTGACCTGGATAGTGGTTACATAATGTGCTCATTTTGTAATAATTTACTGAACTATAATGATTTGTGAGTTATTTTACTTATATGTTGGTTAATAAAAATTAAAAATCTTACAAAATGATTAGAAACCAGCAAAGAGCAGTAAAACAAAGAGAAACAGAATACACAAAAAGAAGGAAAAGCAGAAAAATGCAGATTTACAATATGTTTGAAAAACAGAAAAATATATATGATAAGCTAAAATAAATAATGGCAATCTAACACTTAGTCTTATCTTTTTTCCAGCGAGTGGTCTTGGTTTCACTTTTTCATTTGCACCTTTTTTGTTGTTGTTGTTGTTAATCCTAACCTAAGGATAATTTTCTATTGATTTTCATAGTGTAAGGGAGGGGAGAGAGAGAGAGACATCGATGTGAGAGAGACACATTGATTGGTTGCTTCCCTCACTTGCCCCAACCGGTGGGGCTGGGATCTAGCCTGCAACCGAGGTACTTGCCCTTGACCGGAATCGAACCTGGGATCCTTGAGTCCACAGGCTGGCGCTCTATCCACTGAACCAAACTGGCTAGGCCTGCATATTGTTTGTTAACCATTTGTCTGTTCTCCAAATCTACAATGGGGGGAAAAATACCTACTTGAAGGAAATCAGTACTTCCTAATTGCCACATTATTTGAATTACTATCTCAGAATGTACTTGAAGACAAACCAGTGAAAATAGAGAAGGAAAAGTCAGGCAGGTGTGAGGTGCTGAGAAAAGGAAAGGTGTAAGAAGGAAAGAACGTTCAACAGGGTCAAATATTGCGGAGAACAAAAGAATGGGGCATGAGAAGAATGCCACCAGTTGAGCGCGGGCCAATTTCACCCTGAAGATGTTTTGACTACATCTTTTTTAATAACAAACATTTTTTTTCAAATTAATAGACTTCATTTTTTAAAACAGTTTTAGATTTACAGAAAAACTGAGTAAAGAGAAAAATATAGAAAGTTCGGAGATTTCCCAAACTATCCCCTAGTCTACACCCACAATTTGCCCTTTTATCAATATCTCACATTAGTATGGTGCATTTGTCTAATGAATGAACCAATGCTGATGCATTACTATTAACTAAAGTTTATCATTTATTTAGATTTTGTTAGTTTTGACCTTTTTCTGTTCCAGATCTCATCTACCATACCACATTACATTTAGTTGTATGCTCCTTAAGTTCCTCTTAGCTGTGATAGTTTCTCAGACTCTCCTTGGTTGTGAGGACTGATGGGTTTGAGAAGCTCTAGTTAGGTATATTGAAGAGGTCCCTCTGTTGGGATGTGTCAGATATATTTCTCATGTTTAGACTGGGGTTATAGGTTGGATGAGGAAGACCACAGATGTACGAGAAGGGAAGGAAGGCCCAGCAGTGTCACTGTTGTGCCATATCATCTTAGAAAGCTTGGGAATGTGTCGTTGAATAGTTAACACAACTTGTGGGTCATCTTGAATTTCTTAAAATTACTTGCAAAATCTTGAGTATATGTCTACCTGTGTTCTGAGGCCAAATCCTCTTACGTTTCTTCAGGTCCTTGAAAGTGCATATAACCCAACTCAGCTATCCACGGTGCCTCTTCCTCTCAACTCTTCTGAATGTGAAGCCTCTAAGAGAAACCTAAAAGTTAAAACAAAAATTTATTTTGATCATCTAGAAACCGTTTTCTTCTCCTTTTTTTTTAATGTAGCCATGAAGTTTATAGCCTCAATATTTTCTAAGGACACTCTTCAACTCATGGTTGGCGCGCGCGCGCGCACACACACACACACACACACACACACACACACACGGGCATAAAGATCTACAACAGTTTAGATTCTGCTACTTAAATTTAGTAAAAATCTCAAACATCAGCACACAAAGAAATGGTGCCTGGCTATTCAAATGATCATCCTTTTTTGTTTTATTGAAATGCTTAAGGAAAAGTGGGTTTATAGAAATAAATTTAGTATTTTTCAAAACAACCTTATATTATCTAGGTCAGTGATGGCGAACCTTCTGAGCTCAGCGTGTCAGCATTTTGAAAAACCCTAACTTAACTCTGGTGCCGTGTCACATATAGAAGTTTTTTGATATTTGTAACCAGAGTAAGACAAAGACTTATATTTTTGATATTTATTTTATATATATTTAAATGCCATTTAACAAAGAAAAATCAACCAAAAAAATGCGTTCGCATGTCACCTCTTACACGTGTGTCATAGGTTCGCCATCACTGATCTAGGTCTTTTGTAGATTTTTTGTACAATTTCAGTATTGATTTATTTACAAGTGAGTTATTGCTGTTAAAGTATTGACATTTCTAATAGTCTGCACAATCTTTAATTAAAACAGGTTCTTCTTGCAAAACGGAAACTGGATGGAAAATTTTATGCTGTCAAAGTGTTACAGAAAAAAATCGTTCTCAACAGAAGAGAGGTGAAATAAAAGAGCTTTGTTTCTCCTAAGCCCCTCTTTTCAATTAACAGAGCTATTTTATTGTGTATAAGACAAGTTGATCCTTTACCTTTTTTTTTTTTTTAACAGCAAAAACATATTATGGCTGAACGTAATGTGCTCTTGAAAAATGTGAAGCATCCATTTTTGGTTGGATTACATTATTCCTTCCAAACAACTGAAAAGCTTTATTTTGTTCTGGATTTTGTTAATGGAGGGGAGGTGAGTTTTATAATTAGTTTTATAATACTGATACTGTTTAGGAAAAATTGAATCAAGTCAAAGTTTTTCTTTCCTTATGCATTTTTGGAAGGTTAGTCCAGCATCAACTGCTATTTGTCGAGTAGCAACAATATTTAAGGTGCTGGCTAATAAGCATGATGCAAGCTCAAAGCTCTTCTTAAATCAGCTTATGGTGTAGGTGGGGAGGTTCATGAAAGAAACTTAACATGAAGTTGCAGTCTTTGTGATAGTTTTGGCACTCCTATAAAGCAAGAATAACATACTGAAGCATTAGAATAAAACATGATTTATAATTTAGATAATTGTTGCTTTAATACTTGTATATAAATACTACTATAGCCTGTCATTTTCTTTTTTTTATTGAATTTATTGAGGTGACATTGTTCACAAAGTCATACAGGTTTCAAGTGTACAACTCAGCAAACCATCATCTGCACATTGCATTACATGTGCCCATTGCCCAATGCAGTTTCTTTCCATCCCCATTTATCCCCGCTTTGCCCGCCTCCACCTCCCCGCGGCCCCCCTTGTCTCTGGCTGTCACCACACTGTTGTCTTTGTCTATGTGTTTTATGTGTGTATGTTTTTGTTCACCTTTTTTCATCCAGCTCCCAAACCCCGCTCTCCTGACAGCTGTCAGTCTGTTCCGTGTAACCATCCATGCCTTTGATTCTATTGTTTGTCAGTTTATTTTGCTCATTGGATTCCACATGTAAGTCAAATAATATTAGCCTGTCATGTTCTAAAGTGTTCAAACTATCAATCAGATGAGAGGAACCTCTAATAAAGGGTTCTGTGGTGGACTCAGTTTCATGTTATACCCCATTGGTGAATAACAGTATGTTTCTTGGTGATTCGCAACATGTTTCCCCATGTTCAAGACTTTGAGCAGTTTGCCTTAAACAAAGCCAGGATGTCTTTTTTGTTGTTGTTGTTGTTAATCCTCACCCGAGGATATTTTCCCATTGATTTCTAGAGAAAGTGGAAGGGAGGAGGAGAGATGGAGAAATATCTATGTGAGAGAGATATCAATTTGTTGCCTCGCAAACACGCCCTGACCGGAATCGAACACGAGACCAGTAAGTCTGCGGGCTGACACTCTAACCTCTGAGCCAGACCGGCTAGGGCTAGCCAGGATTTCTTTAAAAATACTGTTTTACTACATAGTCCCCTTGTTTGTTTGAACCAAATCTGTTAATAATATTCCCCAAAACTCTGGATCAAAGGGATATTGAAATACATTTTGGGAAATGCTGCTGTTATTATAATAATTATAATAATTATTATAATAATAGCTAACATGTATCGAGTATACTTATAGGCTCAGCACTCTGATTCTTTGTATTATTTTATCTTCAACAACAATTTTATTTTATAAAACAAAGAAACTGAGCACAGAGAAGCTGGCTAACTTGCTCAAGTTATATGGTCAGTAAGTATTGGAGCCAGGAATTGAACTCAGGCTGTGTGATTCCAGAATCTAGGCAGCTGGCCACCCCGTTTTCTCTGCTTCCCAAGTCTCTTGTCATTCTGATTTATTTGATCTCTGATCTGTGAATATCTCTAAAAATTACGTTAACTGGCAGGTATTTTCATATCTTTACAAAGGGATCTTCCATTTCCTCATCTCAGAGAGAGAGAGAGAGAAAGAATATTTTAGCCTTACTGTAGTACACATAACTGTAGAATAAAGGAACAAGAAGGAAGACCAATTTCTATTCTACAAACTGACAGGTGATCAAACACAGCTAGATCATTTGAGGGTAAGATCATAAAAAGAATCATTACTCAATCCCCTGCATCCATGACAAAAATGCCTTGTACCTTCTCAGTGTAGAGCAAAATTATGAATCGCCCAGGCACCCTGATTCAGAGATAAATGTGGCCCCACATTGTACCCCCCTAAAAAGTTGGTATTTTCGTGTGTGTGTGTATGTGCGCGTACGCACGTGCTAACATATAATGAGTTTATTGACGGTGTGGTACTTAGTAATTATTTTACATGCATTATTTCAATTAATCATCACAACTTTTTTTAAATTGATTTTTCAGAGAGAGAGAAACATCGATTTTTGTGTTTGTTTGTTTCACTTATTGATGCATTCATTGGTTGATTCTTGTATGTGCCCTAACCAGGGATCGAACCCACAGCCTTGGCATATGGGAACAATGCTATCACCAACTGAGATGCCCGGTCAGGGCTCATCACAACTCTTTGAGATAAACACTCTTATACCCATATTATAGATAAGGAAATGAAGGCTCAGAGAAGCTAAGTAACTTTCTCAATGCCACAATGTTCTAGTAAGTGTCAGACCCTGGATTTAACATAGGTATAGGTACCACTATGTGTCTTTGAAATGTCATGCGAGGCCTCTAACCGCAAATGAGATCCTACTGCACGTTTCCTGCTTTGCCTGTGGTTTCTTCATGCTGCTTTAAGACTTTGCTTCTGAGTTCCTTTTTCACAATGACTGCTCATAAATTTAGTGGCAAAGGAGGAAAGAGGCGGGCTTGTCTTCTGAAAAGGTACTCTTGGCTGAGATAGGCGAGAGGGGGAAGAGAATGAAACAGAATGTTGGGGTGGATGGAGGCGGAGTTGAGTGGGGCAATAGGTAGAAGAGGAATAAAGACAAGGAGAGCCCTAGCCAGTTTGGTTCAGTGGACAGAGCTTTGGCCTGCGGACTGAAGGGGCCCCGGGCTCGATTCTGGTCAAGGCATATGGAAATATGCCTTGGTTTCAGGCTCAGGCCCTGGTCGGAGCTTGTGCAGGAGGCAACCAATCGATGTGTATTTCTCTCTGGCTCTCCCTCTCTCTTCCACTCTTCCTAAAGATCAATGGAAAAATATCCTTGGGTGAGGATTAAAAAAAAAAAAGACAAGGAGAAGAGAGAGAGATAGAAGGAGTGTACTTTCATTGTGTGTATCCTATTATTTCTATTATTTTCCCTAATATTCATACTGACATTTTAACTTTGACATGTGATATTTATCATTGTATACTACTTCAGATATGATTTGGAGCCAGGTAGAGTATAAACAAATAAGTTTTATGGTGCTGGGCATATAAACGAGCCTTTCTGAACCTCAACTTTCTCATTAGTTTCCTACCTCAAAATAGTTGGATGGATTAAATAACACGAGCATATAAAGTCCTTAGCATAGTGCCTTTGATTTAGTGGGTGGTCAGTGTTAGCTGTTATTAGTGGATGGTCAGATTTTCATTTGGGGTGATTTTCATTAGCATTATATTGGAGAGATGTAATCAGGTTATCATTAAATATAATATTACAGTGGTATATGCTACAGCTAGTAAAAACCGTGGTAGGGATAAAAAGGAAGTAGTTCAGAAATAATTAGAAGAGAAGAACTTATTCTGGGTTGGATGCAGGGGCTAAGGGTAAAGGAGCAGTACAGGCGAATCCCAGTTCAGCCCCCGTTTATCTACTCTGTCAGGATCTGGCACTGATCTTCACTCTCACCTTTCTTTTTCTTTTTTCTTTTTTTTAAATATATTTTATTGATTTTTTACAGAGAGGAAGGGAGAGAGATAGAGAGTTAGAAACATCGATGAGAGAGAAACATCGATCAGCCGCCTCCCGCACATCTCCCACTGGGGATATGCCCGCAACCCAGGTACATGCCCTTGACTGGAATCGAACCTGGGACCTTTCAGTCCGCAGGCCGACGCTCTATCCACTGAGCCAAACCGGTTTCGGCCACTCTCACCTTTCAGAAGAGTTTTAAGAAAAAAATTTTGGACAATCTTGGAAAATCAGAGAAGCACAACAAAAGGGAAGAATCAGAATTTGAACCCAAATCTGATCAGCTGTGAAACCTGACTCTCCCCTGTATCTTGTTGCCTCCCATGGGTAGAGGGCTGGGTAGAAAGCGATATCATTAAAGGAGAGACACAGCAGGAGCAGTAAGTCTGTAAGAGAAGACAAGTTGGATTTATTGGCTTATGAAATATTCAAAAAAAGAGCAGCATGTCTTTGCAGTAGAAGCTCCAAACAGAGGTCTGGGTTAGAGATGTCCACGTGAAAGACCTCCACATTGAGGTGGTGGTTAGTCATTTGATTGGATTTGGTTACCTGGATGGTATGCATACAAAGAATAACAGTGGAGAAACCCAGGACAGAGAAACCTTGTTAATCCCTGCAGTGTAAGGAGCCAGAAAGGAGAGGAAGTAGAACTCTCCAAGAGGTAGAAGATCTAGGGAGAGATAATTATCTCTCAGATCATTGTCTTAGAAGCCAAGAAACGTAGAGTAAGTTGAGCAAACGTCACCCAGGCAGGTAACCTAATGAGTAAAGGATAGACGGGTTATAAGAAATAAATTCAGAATTAGGAAGTATAAGAAATGAACTGGAGAGTGCAGTTACTGCTTAGCTCTAGCCATTTGCTATCACATTGGAATTTAGGCTCCATGATGCAGAGCTCTCTTCCCCCCCCTCCCCCCCCAAAGAAACCAATTTTTACCAAAAACTTTTTCTAGTTTTTATATGTTACTATTTAATTTAGATTTTTCTAAAAACAGTATTTGGCTCAAACAAATTATATCTGTGGGTTATATTTGTTCTGCTAACCACTAGTTTCCAATCTCTGAATAGTGTTTGGTGTTTTTCCAAAGGAAAGAACAGTCAAAATAGGTCCAGTAAGCCACTGTAAGTACATGGCAAGGTCAAGATCATTGGTCTGCACTGGTGATCTTTTCCAGAGTGGTTGCCTGGAGTGGTGAGGACAGTGCCACTTGAGGATTGAAGGGTAAATGGGAGATGAGTAAGTTAGCAGGGTAATGAAAGATGTGTGGTTGAGGAGAGACCGTGATTGCTAAGTTGGGGACACACACAAGGGAGAGTCACAGTTCTGTGCTTTGGTGCAAGGTAACACCAAAGTAACAAAAACAAGCCCTATTTTTATACTTATAGAACATATTTGTTTCACTCTGTGAATGATCTTAATTTTACAGCTGTTTTTTCACTTACAAAGAGAACGGTCCTTTCCTGAACACAGAGCAAGGTTTTATGCTGCTGAAATCGCCAGCGCATTGGGTTACTTGCACTCCATCAAAATAGTGTACAGGTGAGTTTTTTAAATATCACATAAAAAATGTCTTCTTCTCATTTTATTTCAGCTAATATTGACGTTTGCTTTTCTTTCCTTTTAATTTGATAGAGACTTGAAACCAGAAAATATTCTTCTGGATTCTGTAGTAAGTATTGTCTTTTAAAAATCTACTATTTCTCAGTTTTTGTTGCTGTTATGCGTAGTGGAAAAAAAGCCAGCTGCAAAGATTCAACACTGCTTAATTCCATTTTATATAACATGTTTGCAATGAAAGAACTATAGAGATGGAGATCAGATTAGTGAGTGCAAGGGCACAGGGATGGAGGAGATAGTGGAGTGCAAGCATAAAGGGATAGCACCAGGGATTCCTTTGTTCCTTTGGGATTGATGGATGCCAGATTGTGGTGGTAGATATACGAATCTGTACATCTCTGTTACATAGAACTACACATACACAAATGCATGCATTACGAAATAGTGAAAACTGAATGAGGTTGGCAGTCTGGTTAATATTTTATCAATGCCAGTTTCCCAGTTTTGATATTGTACTACAGTTATATGAGGTGCCAGCATTGGGGGGAGCTGGGTGAGGAGTACATGGAACTCAGTGTATTATTTCTGCAGTTTGCCTGTGGGTCTGTCATTATTTCAAAATAAAATGGTTTTTTGAAATTGTCAGTTTATGTTCATGCATTGTTTTATCTTATTGCCCTTCTATTTCTCAGGGACATGTTGTCTTAACAGATTTTGGGCTTTGTAAAGAAGGAATTGCTATTTCTGATACCACAACGACATTTTGTGGAACACCAGAGGTAAGAAGGATGTCTCATTTGTCATTCACATAATCATGTATAAAATGAAGAGATGAATCACAAATTGCATATACAAAATTTGAAATCAGAAAACTAGAGTAAAACCTATCATTTTAGCTTCTGCCAATTGGAAATATCTGATAATCATTCCTTCTGAATAAAGTTTATTGATAGTTGGTATTTTTAACTGTGATAGTGCGATACCACCACCAGATAACCCACCAAAGATATAAATTATGCTTGTTTTTATTGTTTAACTTAGACTTCCTTTTTTGTTAATCTTCACCCCAGGATATTTTTCCATTGATTTTTTAGGGAGAGTGGAAGAGAGAGGGAAAGACAGAGAGAAACATCGATGTGAGAGAAACACTTTGATTGGTTGCCTCCTCCATGTGCCCTGACCAGGGCCCGGGCCTTGAAGGAGCCCTTGACTAGAATCGAACCCAGAACCCTTTGGTTCACAGGCCAACGCTCTATCCACTGAGCCAAACTGGCTAGGGCTACCTTAGACTTCTTTAAGCATTTGATTTTACTTCTAATGCTTCAAAATAAAATCACAAATCAGTGATGAAAATATCCTAAAGTTGTGATAATGTTTGCACAAGTCTAAATATATTAAAAACCATTGAATTGTACACTTCAAATGGGGAAATTGCATGGCTTGTGAATATCTTAATAAAGCTCTTTTAAAAATAAGCTGAAGCAAATATGGCAAGAGATTGGCATTGCCTAATTTAGGTGAAAGTTTTATTGGTTTCTATTATATTTTATATTTTTATGTATGGTTAAAATATTTTATAATAAAATTAAGTGTTTATTTAACAGAAGAGAATAAGACAGAGGATGTGGGGGGGGGTGGATTCATAAATCAGAATTTATTAACCCAAACATTCCATTCTCTAAGCATATTAGCTAGCAGAAATGTATCTTTCTATTCGAAATAATAGTCCTTACAATTTATGTTAAAGCTTTCTTATTCTCTCTCTCTCTCTCTCTCACACACACACACACACACACACACACACACACACACACACACACACACAAATTTTAATGTATTTATAGTGATCTTAGGTGCCAGGTAGTATTTCATCATTATTGCCAAATAATAGCAGATATTGTTGAAAATGTGTGATAGACTAGCTCACATGACACTTGTAATCAAGATCAGAAATGTAATTAAAAGTAGTTGTAAGCAACAATATGTACTTTAAAATGTATTTTTTTTTCTTCCTTTCTATAATCTAACCTTGTTCTTGTGTATTGTAACCATTCTATTTTGGTCTATGTCTGAAGAAACATTTTTTGTGAATGTATATTGATGACATAGTTAACAGAAGCTTTAAGTCCTGTAGGTTTTAGAAAGGAACAAGTTCTTTTGTCATCTCAGTCTTGATGTGGGCAGAAATTATTAAACCTACTTTCAATTTATTTTGCCATCTTTTTTTTTAGCATATGAAAAAGCTTAAGAAGAAATCATTTCCTTATTTCATATGGAAAAGGAAAAAATATTTTTTGGAATCTGAAATTCAGATTAACTATCTTATATTTGTGAAATGGTTATGAGGTTAAGTGTTTTATAACTTAAAGTGTAAATAGCTGTGTAACAACTTAAACATTTGTAAATAATATGTTAGAGAATTACAGTTGTAATTCCCTAAGAAGAATGCAATTCATTCTTTTTCTTTGATTGAAAAAAAAAAATGAATTATAATGGCCACATTAGGAATCTTTTCTTTGGGAGAAACAATTATGAGCAATGACCAGAGGAATTTTTAAGATAAATGAATCTTGTAAAATAGTTCCTCCTCTTCCCCTCCTCCCACACACGCAAAGTACCTACTTTGTATTACTGTTCCTACATTCGCTGCCCTTTTCTGTTTGTCTTAACTGCATCACAGTTTCTGAGGAAATGTTTGAGTATGTGTATTTTGAAAAATGTCCCAATGGATTTGGAAGAAGAATCACTGGTATAAAATGAAATTACCCAATTTAAAATCTAGATATGTTTTTAGCATAATAGTAATACCTAAAATTTGTTAAATTTTTCAATTATTTCCAAACTTTGTCTTGTTTATTGAGTTGCACTAATATTTCATCTTTTCTCTAGTACCTAGCACCTGAAGTGATCAGAAAACAGCCCTATGACAATACTGTAGATTGGTGGTGCCTTGGTGCTGTACTGTATGAAATGCTGTATGGGCTGGTATGTATTTCTACTCTTTCATTATTTTCCCAATATATTATAATTGATTTGCATTTTCTCTTTCTCTTTCTCTTTCAGTAATCTTGTGGACACTTAGATAACATTAATAGAGTAGTAGTAACATGGTAAAAATGAATCCAAAACCATGTATGCACAAAAAGAAAAACTTACATTTTGTTAATAGTTTTTAAATGTAATTTTTCTATCAGAGTAATTACTGCTTCAGATATTCTCCTCCCTCTCTCATTTTATTGAAATCGACACATAGTTGTAATATTAAAATTATCCACTTTTATTCAGTTTACCCTAGTTATCATTCTACCTAATTTCAAAAAGATGGAAAGAAAAAAAGACGTTTGTATTTATTAGAAGATAATGCCTTTTGGGCTTTTCCTTGTATTTTGTTTTTATAGGATTTAATTAATACACTGCTGCTCCACTTTTTCCATCATTGAGAACCATCTCTTCCATTCACCGTATATACCATGTCTTAAGATTTCATTTTTTTTTTAAAAGGGATGTTTACTATGTAATGTTTCCCCAGCTAGAGCTTCTGATTAACATGAGTACATTTGTTTTGCTACATTGAGTTAATACTCCAACCTAAAGCAAACAATTTAGGCATTTTAGTGGGTTTACATATCCTTGTAGCAATAATGTACGCTTTTATTTAGCCTTTTGGAAATAGTTGGAATCTTTTCTAGGCTCCCTTTGTGGTCCCATGAGTGTCCCGTGGCCTCAGGCTGGGAACCATCCACTCATCCCCCTTGGTGCTGCCTCCACTAAGCTAAATAACACCATCATCTGAGACCTGAGCTGGGGCTTGTTATTTTGTTCTGCTTTTTGTTGTGTATTCCCCCTCCCTCCTCCCTGAAAACTGGGGAGCTCTTAGTACATTTAGGAGCATTTGTCTCATGTTGCTAACTTTGAATGATAGATCCTCATGACCTCCAACACTGTCTCTTCTTTGCTCTTGACGAAGATCTACTTGTTAAAAGATCTAGTTTTCCGGTTATGCCAATGACTTAGAACACCTCAAACCCACTTTATACCTTACTTTAAGTGTTGGATAGTTGCCATTAAGATATCTCTGAGTCCTTTTAATTTCTTTAGACAACTTTGAAAGCATAAAATATTATCATTGAATATAAAATGCAGTTGATTCGAACGGGAACATTTGAAACATATACTGGTACTTCATTAATTAACTTATATTAATTATATTAAAATCAAGCTAGATTTTAAAAAGTAAAAAATAAAGTTTTTCTTCCTGCAGAGTACACCCATAATGCCACAGTACTTAGGAAGGAGCATGATCTTCAGGTCTTCATCTTTTCAGGCAATCTCTGTTTTAATTTATTTATTCCCAAGTCTCAAGAAATTATTTAATGTTGGACCTCTGTTTCCAATAATTCTGTCATTATGCCCATGATGAGGTTGGTGGTGGTTTTCTTTAAAACAGATACTGTTGAAACTTTTATACAATTGGCACCTGTGTTATTGAACAGACTGGCCCTAATTCATTCAATACACATGCATTAAGCTCTCTGTGTGCTGGGTTTGAAAATCTCTTTGCATTAGAAGGCCACACTGCACCCAAAGACGCCTGTGTATTTCTTTTGTCCAGACCCAGTCTGCTCCCTATAGATCAAGGCCAAATCCAACTATTTCAACCCAAACATTTTGGCATAGTTCAGTTCACACTAACTTTATTTTACTTTTTTTTTCCCCAGCCTCCTTTTTATTGTCGAGATGTTGCTGAAATGTATGACAACATTCTGCACAAGCCCCTAAATCTGAGGCCAGGAGTGAGCCTCACAGCCTGGTCCATTCTGGAAGAACTCCTAGAAAAAGACAGGCAAAATCGGCTCGGTGCCAAAGAAGACTTTGTATGTATATCTCTCCCACTCTATTTAAGCTTATTTATCATCTGAAGATAAGGCCTTCTTTTATGTGGTATTTGATGGGATGAATACAGCTCTTAAAGAAGAGCACCATGAAAACGCATAACTTGTCCCAACAACTTTCACCAGTGTTTATACGTACAGAACTATACAGGGTCTGAGCACTTGCATCCTTTCAATTGATCTCTGTAACAGTACCATCCTCTCCTCTTCGTCTGTCACATCAGCTTTCACACTTATTATTTATTTGATTTTTATTTATTAAAATTTTTCTCCTCGCCCGTCTTTTTAAAAAATTTTTGATTACCTGAACTTTTAGATCATGTTGTTTAACAAGAATCTAAGTCCTTCCTGACCACATGAGGCGGTGCAATTTATCTTGCACCAACATGAAATCACTTTTTTCCCCCTGAGAATTTGGTGATACCTCCTTGAGATAGTTATGGAGTCTGTGGGTTTGGTTTTTGTTTTGTTTTTTTAAGCAGGGTAATTAGATTGCTAGTGTAACTTGTTATCTTAGTGTGTCAGTATTCAGGAACTGTTGAGGAATAGGAACTTGTAAGTTCATTTAAATTTCTCAGAAATTCTTTGGGGCTGTTGGCCAATTTGAACTTGAGCTGTGAATAACAAACTTGTCTGCTACTGATCTTCTCCTCCTACGCGTCCCAATTCAGCAGACGGCTCTGTCAACAGTTCTCTATCCAGCTGTGATTCCCGTCTGCTGTTTCAGTCAGTCTTGCTAATCCTTCACACCTCCATGCCCCGTGGTCCTTTTATTGAATTCAGAAATCGCAACCCTGGATGAATTCAACTGTCATCTCTGGGCTGCTGTTCATTGGTGGAGAAAGTTTCACAACTGGGCTAAACTTCCAGTGTATGTGTGTGTGTGTGTGTGTGTGTGTCTACACTAACAAGAAATCTTTGGACACCAGTAAGGTGACACAGTTTTTAAGTAAGTGTTTATAATGAGATGTTTATAGCCACTCACGAGGCCTTTTTGGTCTTCTGGGGAGGAGACGTGGAGGAGGAGATGTCTGTGATTCTAGCAGGAATTATTACACAACAAGATTTCAATGAGTGTTTAGAAAGAACCAAATAGGAGGAAGCACTTTGTGAGGTAAAACTGATCACACAAATTAAAACTTAATACGGTGGAGGGAAACTTGGTAAGTATGTCTAAGTTAAGTGTTCTTCACTCTGAAGCATTTGCTACTGAAACCGGCGTTAACACAAAAGAGTTCCTGGTAGCAATTTTAAGGTATGTATGTGTGTGTGTGGAGGCCTCCCCACAGCAACAAGCAATTCTCAGACACCAGAATTGATAGTGTCCATCCTGACACTGTCTTCTCAGAGGCAGAATCCCATTCCATGAGTAAAGGGCTCAGTCCCACAGGACAGCCCTCCATCTCAGGTACCAGTCACAAGCCCAGGTTGTTACCTGTGCGTCCGACAGACGGCTATAAATCAGGGGTTCCCATGACCCCTCCTTTGGTTCAGTTAATTTGCTAGAATGGCTTACTGAATTTAAGAAAGCCCATGCACTTACTAGTTTACCGAATTATGATAAAAGGGGTATGGCTTGTTTACCTCTTGAGCTTTACCTCCTGTGACCGTCCCATTTTCCCCTGTTCTGCAACCATGGTGGGCTCTCATTTTCTTGACCAAGCTAAGCTCTTTGCCACCACAGGGCCTTCATATTCTACCTGCAGTGTTCTCCATTCTTTTTTTTTTTTTAATTTATTGGGGTGACATTGGTTAATAAGTGTACAGTTCTATAGTACATCATTTGTATGTTGCACTGTATGCTCACCACCCAAAGTCTAGTATTCCTCTATCACCATATATTTGACCCCTTTGTCCTCTTCCTCCTCCTACCCCCCATCACCTCTGATAACCACCCTTCTGTTGTCTGCATCTCTGAGTTTGTTCATTTGTCGCCGTTTTGTTTTCTTTCCCACATACCTCACTCTTTAGCTAATTCTTACTCATCTTTCAGAATTCTGGTCAGACATCACTTTCTCTAAGAAATCTTTTTAAACCACCAAACTAAGTTAGATCCTACTTTATACACTTGTGTGGCCCCCCTACAGGGGGAAAAAGCTGGAATCAGTTCATTGCCAACTTTTGATAGTAGCAACTCAGAGCGGAATACTTTAAATTTGTAGTAAAGTTCATCATCTCGGTTTTACCTCTGTCCTACAGTGTAAAACGCCCTTGCTTAGTATCTTACTTACCCCCCCCCCATTCAGATAATAATTATTATTATTTGTACCTATGTAGTACTTTCATCTTTTTATACCACTCTTATTTTTATATTCTCCATTTATCCTTAAAACAACCTGTTAAGTATCTAAGGCAGAAATGTCAACTCTGTTTTACCTATGAAGAAACTATGATAGTGAAGAGGATAAAGTGTGCCATGTGTACTCAGGTAGTCTTTCTGCTACACCACTTTGCCACATAAATAACATAAACATCTATCTAAAAAAAATTATTGAGGAACAAAATGGTAATGGTTTGGTTCCATAAAATTCTTCAGTGAGTACTTAATATATTCTTCAGCATTAGTTTAAAATGTATTTTTTTTTCTTTAATATTCTAGCTTGAAATTCAGAATCATCCCTTTTTTGAATCACTCAGTTGGACGGACCTTGTACAAAAGAAGATTCCACCGCCGTTTAATCCTAATGTGGTAAGTATATATCCAAGTCCTTCCTTCTAAACTAGTGAAATGTAGAACTGTAGCTCATCATAATTTTAGGAAAGATCTCAAAATCTAACCTGAGTGAAATTGAATCAGTACGTAAATATATGTGAAATATGTCACTTCAGGATGACCAGTAAGATTATAGTTTTTATTGGACTGATAAAAAAAAATCTTTCAGTACAATAATTGTGAAGTATTTGTAGATTGACATATTTCATTTAGCTCATTCAGGACTGACTGTTTCAGACATGGCTCCATTAGGGACAATTTCTGCTCCTAATTTCTAGCGTTTGCAATAAGAACCTTGGATCTTAAAGAATAATTTAATTTTTCTCTTTAAATTAAGAGTCCACTGAGTTTAGTTATTTGCAAATATATGTGTCATCCGATACATTAATGAGTTAGGGATTCCTCCTAAGCAACTCTGGAAATGGCAACAGTGTTGACGTCAGAGTCAGACACCTCCAGGTTTGGATCCCTGCTTGTTCTATGACTAATAAATTAAACTTTTTAAAGCAAGACCCACAACTCGGAAGCCATAAGAGAAAAAAATTGGTAAATTTGACCACATAAAATTTAGAAATATTTGCATGAAAAAAAACTGAAAATAACAAACTGGGGGAAATTTCCTTAGTACATAAAGCATTCTTATAAGTCAATGAGGGGAAAAAAAAAAAGACCAAGCATGAACAAAGGACAATTTTGAAAAATAAATACAGGTACCTTTTAAATATATGAAAAGATATTGAAGGAATGCAAAATAAAATCCTTACAGGTTTTTTTCACCTAATAGATTAACAAAGATCAAAAAGTTATCTATACTAGAATAAGGTAGATATTCCCATTCACTGTTCTCAATACTTGTATTCTTTTACTTAACCCTGACAACAATCCTATGAAATAGTACTGTTATTTTACACCATACTTCTGATGAGTGAACTTAAGCACAGAAAAGGTTAAGTAACTTGTCCACAGTTTAATGAAAGTTGCAGAACTGGAGTTTGAAGACAGAGCCTTCCCTCACTCTTAACATAAGAAATACGGTATTATCCCTGACAGTACTAGCCATGAGCCATAAGGGCATTCTCAAAATATTTATAAAGTCAGGCAAGAGAACATTTATTGAGCACCTTATACATGTCAGATTCTGTGAATTTTATGTATTAATGCATCAAATCCTTACAAGTTTAACAGACAGGTGGCAGGATTCTTATTTTACACAAGAGGAGACAAGCTTTCCTCTTACAGAAGAAATAGGGTAGGTTATATAAAGAATTCTAGCCCTGGCCAGTTTGGCTCAGCGGATAGAGCGTCGGCCTGCAGACTCAAGGGTCCCAGGTTCGATTCCGGTCAAGGGCATGTACCTCGGTTGTGGGCACATCCCCAGTGGGGAGTCTGCAGGAGGCAGCTGATCGATGTTTCTCTCTCTCATCGGTGTTTCTAACTCTCTATCCCTCTCCCTTCCTCTCTGTAAAAAAATCAATAAAATATATTTAAAAAAAAAAAAAAGAATTCTAGCTAGCAAAACTCATAGCCAGAATTCAAACCTTAGTTTTATTTCAGAACCCCTGCTTTCTAATGTTATATGTAAGAATTTGGTGACATTTTATATATATATATAATTTCTAGTGTCTATTTTCCTCTGTGGTGGAATTTCTCATGTAGAAGGATAGAGCATTCTGAGTTTTCCTGGCTTCTGCTCTGCTATTTGTAGACCTACCAGGCTAACTATATCCTTAGCTTATAATAACTGCTCTGAATCCCTATCTGTTCACCTCAGTTAGACTTGGTGAATTGAACTATTTTTAAAAATATATATAATTTTATTGATTTCAGAGAGGAAGGGAGAGGAGGAGAGAGAGATAGAAACATCAATGATAAGAATCATTGATTGACTGCCTTCTGCACGCCCCCTACTGGGGATTGAGCTTGCAACCTGGGCATGTGCCTTTGACCAGCATTGAACCCAGGACCCTCAGGCTGATGCTCTATCCACTGAGCCAAACCGGCTACGGCGTGAATTGAACATTTTAAAGCTTCCCCTTTCTCTTAGAGCAGAGCTAACTAGAGTTTCAGGGATGGGCTTTAACGGTGAATCACCTCAATTTGCAACCCAATTTTATCCATACATACATTGGAAGGGGGATAGGCCATTCACTTGTGAAAGAAGATTAAGAACCACTGCCTTTGAGCCTAAGCAGACACCGTGCTTCCTGCTTCGTTTTCTAGTTTCCTGGTCCCTTTAGGCCTTTGGAACTAAGGGTCTCATCACAGAATGCTTAGTGACCTCTGTGGCACAAGAGTCACCTTTCACAGTTTTACTTACAGCCCCTCCATTCCTTCATCAAAAGGCTTCATTTGCCCTAGCCAGTTTTGCTCAGTGGATAGAGCATCGGCCTGTGAACTGAAAGGTGCTGGGTTCGATTCCGGTCAAGGGCACATGCCTGGGTTGTGGGCTCAATCCCCTGTGGGGGGCTTGCAGGAGGCAGCCGATCAATGATTCTCTCTCATCATTGATGTTTCTATCTCTCTCTCCCTCTTCCTTCCTCTCTGAAATCAATAAAAATATATATATATATTTTAAAAAAGGCTTCATTTACCCAAAGTTGAGAAACTGGATGGGCAGGCATTTAATGGGAGCTCAAATGCAAAATGCTGTTCTGAAAACCTACCTGAACCCTTTTTCTAAACTTAGAGGTGATGAGTAGAGAGCAGGGGAGTCGTTTGCAGGGACTGAGATTTATATTAACATTGGTAAGGACTCTGATGCTAGCTCTCCTTACCCTTCTCTCTCCTCCCCCCACCCAACAACAAGTACCTTACCTGTTAGAAGGATCTCACCTAGGTAATAAAAGCAGAAAATGTTCCAAAGCAATGATGAAATAAGAAGACAGCTGAAATTGCCAGGAATCAATATACACATCCATGAAGGGTTTAATGAAGAACTAAATTCATGAAAAAGCTAAGGTGAATAATAGTATTTTTTTTTTTTTTTTTTTTGGTGTTTTAGGCAGGACCAGATGATATTAGGAACTTTGATGCAGCATTTACGGAAGAAACAGTTCCATATTCTGTGTGTGTGTCTACTGACTATTCTATAGTAAACGCCAGCGTACTGGAGGCTGACGATGCATTCGTTGGTTTCTCTTATGCACCTCCTTCAGAAGACTTATTTTTGTGAACATTTTGCCATCCAGGAACCATTGAGCAAATATAAACCTATGTACAGATGAGACTGAAATTCCTGTTTGTGTGAATATATTCAAATATGTTTAGTGCCTCTTTTTTACTTATAACGTTAACAACTATGAAAAATGTATTTTCTGCTGTATGTAAAAAAATAGTGCATTTCAAAGAGCTAACTTTGGAATTAAAATTTGTATTCTTGTTTATTAAGCTTATTTTTAAACAGAAATTTTAAAAGCTATTGTTCTTAGCATTAACCTATTTTTAAAGAAAACTCTTTTGCTAATGACTGTTTTTTTCCCAAGTTTACACTAACACCTACCCAAGATAGACTGTTTTTCAACAGCCTATTTCAGTTCAGTTAACATATATTAATGCCTTTGTAACTCTACTTTGATCTTTGTTCTCAGATCAGAACTATGCAATTTGTATGTGGTTGTTTAAGAAGAAACCATACCTGTCCATAATAAATCTCTGCTTGCCATAATCAGTCTTGGTAGGATTACAGTGTAAAAGCATAGTTAACACATTGGCTGCTAATTAACACTTTGAGTAACTGTTCATTCTGCAGGTCAAATTAAAAAGTAACAAAAGGAGGCCCTGGCTGGGTAGCTCAGTTGGGTAGGGCATTGCCCTGATACACCAAGGTTGTGGGTTCAATCTCCTTCAGGGAATAACAAGAATCAACCAATGAATACATAAAAAAGTGGATCAACAAGTCTCTCTCTCTCTCTCTCTCTTTCTCTCTCTCTCAAATCAATAAAAAGGAAATCCTTTGCTTTTGAAATACCAATTTAAATTCATGAATTATTTTTCTTCTGGAGTAAAAGTAAATATTTAATAGTTGACATTTTAAATATTCCCAAACATCTGAAGAGTAATAAAGTACTGCTGGATTTATTTTTTTTTTTAGGTGGTGCCAAAATGAATGTATCTGTCATGTATTTATATTACAAATACATTCTATTTATGTTCTTTTGGGCCTTTTGAATGTTTAATATACTGTTAAGTAGGTCTAAATCTTGGTATTTAGTTTTGCAAATAGCTTTTCAAAACTGTCTCCCTAATTGGTTGTTAAGTGAAAAATATTGAGCTTTCTAGAATATTTACTTAATTGGGAATTAAAAAGTAGAATAGCAAATTCGGGATTAATATAAATGTGCACAGTTTTACTACAGTTTTACAGAAGTTAAAAATAATTCAGATAGATGCCTAGCATCTTATGTATCTTAGAAAACGTATGGGAAATTGACCTTAACGTCATACTAAAAACCAACTAACTTGTGTACTTGTAATTGTAAAAGAATGCTTATCTTGGAATTCTGATTTTTAGTTTAGAGATTTTGTAAGTCATGTAGGAAACATTGTGAAAGAATTTAGTGACCCAGTTTAGATGCTTCAAGAACAATCATTCTTTCCATGTGTTTTCTCTTGAGAAAGAAATCACAAAAGCATTTCACACCAATACCCTTTGGTTTACAGATGTTCAGCAGAATGGGGGGAAGGGGGTGTGCTTTTCTTAGATCAATAATATTTGCATTCAATACACTGAATCTTCCTTTAGAAGTAAGACTTTAATAACAACACTGTAAATATTTGTTTTATTTGGTACTACTGTAAGTTCTCCTTTTATACAAAGCTCTTTGCTTATAAAGCAAAATAAAGACTAGTTTCTTGTATGATTTTTGTACTCAGCCACTCCTTAATTAAACTGCCAAAAATTCAAGTGCAATATTGTATATTTTTAAGAACAAATTTAAAATAGAATGTTGCTGTTTTTTGGATCTCAAAAAAAATATAAATCTTACAGAGTGTAATAAAACTAGCAAAAAGATTCATGATCATCTAATGCCTGTCATTATTTTAAATTAAAATTGGTGATAGTTACAATATCATTAAAAAATGAATTTTACATATATATATATATATATATATATATATATATATATATATATATATATGGAAGACAAGTAAAATTTTACCTGAATAGTTGGACATGTAAAAATTACTAGATTATTCCATATCCCAAGGTGATAATTCTTTTATTTGAAACCCTAAAGTGTACGCAGGTGAGTCTCAGGTGGCTTGAATACCTTAACGTGATATGCCAAGTTTTGGTGTAAATGAAATCCACTTAGGGCAGGGATTGCTATGTGGCTTTGTTTGGATGCTCAAAAGGATTCGCTGCTATAACATGATAGGCTTCCTTCGCTGCCACCTTGTTCTTCTTTACTCACCTGATACTAAGAGAAATTGCTCTCCAACTTCCCTGAAAGCATTTCAATTGGAGATTTGTGTCATTTACTAATATTTAGCTTTTTTGTGTCTTAGCCAATATTGTATAATCATCCATTTATAATGCTTTAAACATATTCCTCAGTAGGTGAAAGGTTTCCTACACAAAAACACTTCTCATTTTACTATTTCTTTACATTACACTGATTTTTGTGGAGATAATTAAGTCAGAAAGAAATATAGCTGTCTTAAAATGTTACCTTTTAGGTATTCAAAGTCAAAATAGTGGAGAATAATTTAAAGCGATGTTACACAAAGAAAAAAGCCAATAGAGAAGTATAAGCTCAGCATGATATAGCAATAAAATAGCCAACCAAAGGGTCCTATACTAAAAAAGTTAATTTTACATAATGTCTTGATAATGATGGGTCACCATATGAATCTTGAGGATTAGTGTAAAACAGAATAACATCACTCTACATGACCCCACTTATTGGAAGAACCAGACACGGTGATTTTAAGAAACCTTGCATGCAAACATGACTTGGGAGTTTTTGTGGTAAATTCTCCTTTGCAGGAATATATATCATGGATTCAGCATTTCTTCTAATGTATTTTCATAATGGTTTTTATTAGGGGACAGAGATTTCCCCTTCAATATTAGTTAAATCTTTGTGAGCAAGTCTATAATGAGTTGTCAGCATTTATGTGTTTTTATGTTTGTATTAACTCATGGAATCCAGAGGCTTATATACAGAAAAACTCCCACTCACATGGTCAAATTTGATCATGTTGGATTTGGTAGGTCTTCCCAGATGGTAGGTATAGCCTTGCAGTGTTGAATTTTTTTCTTCTGCCTCAATGATAGTAATAGTGCAACAAGAACAGTTTACTTTGTTTACTGATACATTGATGCTGAATGCTAGCAATTTATTTATTAAGATATCCCCTAGCAGTGTGCCTTAATCAGATATCAAAAATTAGATATCAAAAGCAAATAAACTGTTCTTGTTTGCAGATGAGTATCTTTGTAGAAAATCCAATAGAACTTCTAAAAGTTCTGGAACTAATTGATTACAACAAGATTGCATCATACAAGGTTAATATATAAAAATCACTTTCTTATATACCAGCAATTTGAAATTAACACCATTTACATTAGCAATCCCCCCAAAAAGGTATAAATCCTAATAAAATATGTGTAAGATCTATATGAGGAAAACTACCTTCTCTCTGACAAATTTGCCTATTCTTGACATTTCATATAAACAATCACAATATTTGGCTTTTTGTGTCTGGCTTCTTTCGCTTTGCATAGTGTTTTCAAGGCTTATCCATGTTGTAGCACGTATTAGGACCTCATCCCTTTTTATGGCCAATTGACTCCATCCACACTTTATCCACTTTTTTACTATTAACAATCCGATGGACATTCTTGCATAAATTTTTGTGTGTTTCAAATCCTCTCGTATCTATGTATATGTATACTATGTGGCTGGGGATTGTTGGGTCATCTAGTAGCTCTATGTTTAGTCTTTTAAGGCAGCCCCCGGAATGTTTACCAAATTGCACCATTTTGCATCCCATTAGGAAAGTTTTTATTTTTTTCAACAAACATGGGCACTGCCGGCCTGTGATAAAAGGACCACCAGTGGTTTCTATCTTTTTTGCTTTGCTTTGCTTTGCAGGGAGAGAGGGGGAGTGACTGGAGGGGCGAAGCGCCCGTGGGCCCGGTTGCCCTGGTGACAGGGAGGCGCTGTCCCGGCAGCCCCCGCGCCGCCGCCAACGGACCGAAGCTGCGCGCGTGCGCGCTCGGGCTTCCCTGGGTCGCCGGCTCGGGCGGCGCGCGGCTGGCGGAGGTCTGTGGGCGCAGGAGCGGGGGGCCCGCGTTGCGGGGCTGGGGCCCGCGGTCCGGAGGGGGGCGCTGTGCGTGGGAGGGGCCCTGGACCCTGGGTGCGAGGCCGGAGTCGCTTCGGCGGCGCTGGGTGTGAGGTGATGCCCTGCTGGCGCGGCCCGGAGCGAACACCCGCCCGCTCCGGTTCCGAGGGAACCGGCGCTTGGGTTCTCTAGACTGTGAGGCGGCGGCTAGAATTTGATCCGCGTTCGCTTCATCGGTGCTTTCCGCGCGCTTCCACGTCTTTTTCTCCACTTTCCCCGCCCCCGCCCCGGACCTCTGCTTTCCCCGCGGGTTTAAGCTACTGAGTCCGGCCGGAGTCACCGCGTCCTGGTGCTCGTCTGGGTGCCTGTCTCCGATGAACTGGAACATTCTCCTCCTCTTCTCCGGGTTCGGTGTTTGGGTGTGGAACATCCACAAGCGGGCTGGTCACCGGGTCCGGCGTGAAATTATCGACGTCTGGAATCCATCTCCTCTGCGCCAGCTCATTCCTGATGCCCCAGATCGGACCGCTGTCCATCTGTCAGGACGGTTTCAATGGCTGGAAACTGTGGACTCTTCCTCTTTCCAGCCCATTTCCCCCATGGACAGCGGGCTCTGGCTCCCAAAATAACCTGCGGATCACTTGTTAAAAACGTTCCTGGCTTTTCATCGCCTGTGTGATGACCACGGGCTTCAAAAGTTTTTATACTCTGGTTGGGTCTCACCCAATCATTTCATTAGCGTCTGGAGCAGCGGTTCTCAACCTGTGGGTCGCGACCCCTTTGGGGGTGGACCAACCCTTTCGCAGGGGTCGCCTAAGACCATCGGAAAACCCATGTATAATTACATATTGTTTTTGTGATAAATCACTATGCTTTAACCCTTTGCATGCCAACCAATATCCTAGGAACGATGTTAAAGTTGCCAAGGCATTTTTGCTGATTTTACAGCAGTTTAGGAAAAAAATTATGAATCGCAAGTAAATGAAGTTACATATTCAAAAACTTAAGGAAACCTTTACTACATTGACATGTTTAGCAATAACATCATCACTAATAAAAGCAGACTTAGAACTGGACGCCATTTTGAAGCTTTGATAGTGCTCCCGGCACTCTAGGGGTTAATTATGTTCAATTTGTAGCAGTGAAAATAATCCTGCATATCAGATATTTACATTACGATTCATAACAGTAGCAAAATTACAGTTACGAAGTAGCAACGAAAATAATTTTATGGTTGGGGGTCACCACAACATGAGGAACTGTATTAAAGGGTCGTGGCATTAGGAAGGTTGAGAACCACTGGTCTAGAGGCCCTGTGCACAAAATTTGTGCAATGGGGGGGGGGGAGGTCCCTCAGTGTGAGAGGGTGCAAGCTAGGCCGAGGGACCCCACCAGTGCAGGGTCAGGGATGGGGGGATGCGGAAGGTTGGCCAGCCAGGGAGGGACCGCAGGAGGACTCCAGGGCGTGTCCAGCCCGTCTTGTTCAGTCCCCATCAGCTGGGCCCCAGCAGCAACCTAACCTACCAGTTGGCGCATCTGTCCCCTGGTGGTCAGTGCAGGTCATAGCCAGTGATTGGGTGGCCTTAGCCTGTCATTAGCATATTATGCTTTGATTGGTTGAACGGACGACCAGACACTTAGATATTAGGCTTTTATTATATAGGACTAGAGGCCCGATGCACGAAATTCGTGCAAGGGGCTCGGCCCTCACCGCCCCGGCTTCGTCCAGAAGGTCGTCTGGATGGTTGTTTTGCTGTTTAGCCGTTCGATCAATTTGCATATCATGCTTTTATGATTATAGATAGCCTCCCTTCTTTCAGCCCCAGAAATCTTATGTCCTAATGAAGCACGCATGTATTGCCCTGAACACAGCATACGCTTTAAGGTATATTATAGGAACGTATGGCCACAGAGAAATGGACTCTGAAGTTTCCCCCTACGTAATAGCGGAAAGGACAGTCTCAGTTACTTTTCTTTGAAAAGTGGCCTAAACTCCAAGTAGTAGGAGGCCTAAAAACATCTTTTACTCATTTGTATCCCCAGTGCCTAGGACAGTCTGGTATCCAATAAATAGCAAATGCCCAATACATATTTATTTATTTATTTATTTATTTATTTAATATATTTTATTGATTTTTTACAGAGAGGAAGGGAGAGGGATAGAGAGTTAGAAACATCGATGAGAGAGAAACATCGATCAGCTGCCTCCTGCACACCCCCTACTGGGGATGTGCCCGCAACCAAGGTACATGCCCTTGACTGGAATCGAACCTGGGACCTTTCAGTCCGCAGGCCGACGCTCTATCCACTGAGCCAAACCGGTTAGGGCAGGATCCGGCCTAACACAAGTATTGGCAGATATTGTTTCCAATTATGTTTGCTGTTCTTTGAATTTTACATTCTCCACTCTTGTTACTATGGTTTAATGTTTTATGTTGGTCACTATTGAAGATTTAAAGCCAGAAGAGGTTTTATCATCTGATACAACTCTTTCATTTTGATTTTCCCCTAGCAGCCTGGAAATGCTGGGTCTAGTTACTAGACTCTAGTACCAAGTTCTCAGATTTTGTAGGTTAACTACACTTTGTAACTTAGATTGAATTTATGAAATAACTTTTGCCACTTTCATTTTTTTTTAAACAACACCTTCAAGAGAACCTCATCATCTAATATTTATTTCAGGCAGCATTTTTTGAATACCTGCTTTGTAAAGAGACGTTTGAAGAAAGAAATAATTAAGTTTGAAAGAAATAATTAAGTTTGCAATCTTGTAGAGACCCTTATAACCTAGTGTTGATAAACATGTGATTTGGCAAAAGAAAACACAGTTTTGTTTCCCTTTGGATAGGGATTTCTTAAAGTTGGAAATTTTATGTTGTTTTATCTCACTGCCAATGTTAAGTTGCATAGCCTGTAAAGTTTTATTAGAGGTCTTCAATGTACATTTTACTTAATTTTATTTCTAGGTTTTGTCATCTGTGGTCTTTACCAGCCATTGTGGTTTAATCAATTAGTAACAGAGAAGAATCATTAAAGAGGAGAAAATGTCAAATCTAAAAATGAAAGAGGCAGCCCTTATCTATCTTGACAGAAGTGGAGGGCTCCAAAAGTTTATAAATGATTGCAAATACTACAATGGTATGTTTAGCAAAGGTAACTTTATTTTAGAAACTTTAAAATAAATACCTACATATGACTATCCTCATTTTTATATTTGTGTATTTTTACAGATTCAAAACAAAGTTATGCTGTCTATCGATTCAATATTTTAATAAACCCCTCTGACATTGTTGAATTAGATGCTGAACTTGGAAATCACATTTTACACCATCCTGTAAAAGCTGCTGAAGTTTTTCAGTCAGTAAGTTACAAAAAGAAATAATTTTATGCCACCTGAAATTTTTGGTAACTTTCTTTTTTGTTTGAAATCACAGGTCTGTTTTATTGCTGTTAAGACTCTCTCATTAATTGGACAATTACAGACTGAAACTCAAGTAAGTTTTAGTTCAATTAAACAAAGATAATACATATACAATACTTTTAAAATGACTTGAAATAAATATTTTATATTCTTTTTTGTTTATTAAAATGAAATTTTCTAAGTTCAATAGAATATCTTACATACGCTTCTTTGTTTCCTGTATTATCACCTATACCATTAAACATTTTGATAATAAAATATTTCAAACACACCCCAAAATAAAGGGACTAATATGACAAACCTGCATATATCTGTCACTCAGATTTAATAGTTTATAATATTTTGCTATGCCTGCATCATCAGCATTTTTTCCGAAATATTTTAAAACAAGTCCCAGATACTCTGTTATTTCACCCCTACATAGTTTAGTATCAACCTCTAAAAATTGTGGACATTTTTCTTATATAACCACAGTGACATTGCCACCCCTTATAAAAATAGCAATAATTTCTTGGTATCATTATAATATTTGGTCTGTATTTAAATTTACCCAGTTGGGGCCTCAAGAATGTCTCACAGTTAATGTGTTCAAAACAGGGTCAAAGCAAAAGTCTACACATTCTAATTGGTTTTTACATCTCGCTAAATCTCTCTTAGTCTAGAGCCATTTTTCTCCCCCTCCCTTCTTATACCATTGATTTTTTAAAGAAACTAGTTAATTGTTCTATAAAATGTCTCATAATCTCTGTTTAACTGATATGATCTTGTGGTATTTGACTTGTCCCCCTATACCCCATATATCTGGAAAATAGAAGTTGGCTTTAAAGGCTTGCTTAGATTTAGATTCAACTCATTTTGACAACAATACATCATAGTTAGTTTCATAGTTCATATTACACTTCATTAGGAGAACTCTGCGACCTGTTGTCCCATTTTAGCAATGCCACAATTCATCATTGAGTTTAGGTGGTGTCAGCCAGATCCCTGCAATATACAGTTTCCCTATCAACTTCCACCTAAAGGTTTTTGCAGCCATTGATGATCATTACCTAGAATCTATTATTTCATTAAGATTGCAAAATTGTGATTTTTCTATTTTAGCATCCTTCAGAATGTATTAACTGAAATTATTCTATAATAGAAGTTTTCTTTCATCACCTCTTTGGTTACCCTGAAATACAATTTGTACAAGAAAGGCAGAATAAATATTTGATTATTTCCATTTATGAATTATCAGAGTAATGAGTTGAAATCTAGCCTCTAATGATGACCAATAGTTATTTTTGTTTTTGTTCTTTTTTGAAAATAATTGTGAGGAACTCATGAATTTTTAAGTATATCTGATATGTTTCAATGAATCTTTGTCATTCTTTTTGATGCTTTTATTATCTGACCTTAAGTCTTTGGGTATCCCTTAAAGTTTGCTCCTATCCCCTTTGGGCCCATCCCATTAGTTGTTGTTTTTTAATTGATTGATTTTAGAGAAGAAATGGGGGGGGGGGGAGAGACATTGATTTGTTGTTCCACTTATTTAGGTATTCATTGGTTGATCCTTATGTGCCCTGACCAGGATCAAACCTGCAACCTTGGCATATCAGGACAATGCTCTAACCAACTGAGCTACCCGGCCAGGGCCATCCCATTAGTTTGGGGATTTTTTGTTGTTTGTTTGTTTTTGTTTTTTTGTGTGTGTGTTTTTAAATATATTTTTATTGATTTCAGAGAGAAAGGGAGAGGGAGAGAGAGATAGAAACATCAATGATAAGAGAATCATTGATTGGCTGCCTCCTGCATGTCCCCTACTGGGGATCGAGCCCGCAACCCAGGCATGTGCCCTTGACAGGAATCGAACCTGGGACCCTTCAGTCCACAGGCCGACGTTCTATCCACTGAGCCAAACCAGCTAGGACTCATTAGTTTTTTAGAGCTCCCTTGGTTTCTAGCACAAGGAGATGTACCAGGTCCATCTGGTATATTTTCTGCCCCAGACCTGGAATCAGCCATTTCTCCTTAGGACCTCTGGTTCCTTTTAGTGATAAATTATATTTAGCAATCACAATCTGGGCAGTAGAAATGTTTTATATCTTTCCAGTGACTATATCCAGGAAATGTGTATTCTTTAGGGAAAAATATTAGTTAAAAATTATATTTTCGGCAAAACCGGTTTGGCTCAGTGGATAGAGCGTCAGCCTGCAGACTGAAAGGTCCCAGGTTCGATTCCGGTCAAGGGCATGTACCTGGGTTGCGGGCACATCCCCAGTGGGAGATGTGCAGGAGGCAGCTGATCGATGTTTCTCTCTCTTCGATGTTTCTAACTTTTCTATCTCTCTCCCTTCCTCTCTGTGAAAAATCAATAAAATATATTAAGTAAAAAAAATTATATTTTCAATTAAAATGTAAGATTTTAAGGGTTTTGCATCTTTAATTGTATATTTAAATATCATTTATGTTTAAAATTTTTATTTCTAATAACACTAACAAATCATTTACTTGATTTATCCTACAAATATACATACATTATAACGTAAGTCCAATTGGATCTGCAGTTTTTATTAATACAATTTTTATGTTCTTATTAGATTAATATCATGCTGAAGTTAACACATTTACCTTCTCTGCCAAGTTATAGTCTTAATTTTTGTGAGTTTCAACTTGATTATACATCTCAAAGATTTTATATGATGCAAGGGATTGTGATTGCAATGACAACTGTAACAAAGTATACACAAGGAGCAAGATTTCTTTGTTCAGATGAAGCATGCCCTCTTTCAAAAGGTAAATATTAAAATGTAAAATCAAAACATTAAGCAATTTATTGTTTAATCCTAAATCATGTTTACAATTAGTTCTAAAACATTCACAGAGTAGAAAGCATGTTAGAAAATTTGGTGTCTCTCAGTATTTATAAGTTGAAATGCATTCATTTTCCCCCTCTCGTATACCAACTTAACAGGTGCTCTTGTATTGCTGAAGTACTTGTTCTCACATTGTTTCATAAGTGTTCATGCTGTTCCCACTCCATGCAATATCCTCTCTCAACCCTTTGGCTTAACTTCACTTTAGTCCTCCAGGACATCTTTCCCATTCATCCTCATCTCTCAATTGGGTGGGATGCCCTCCTCTCCTCTCTGTAAATGAATAATACATACTGAAATTATGTTTCTTAATTCCTACTATTGAAATTGTGTGTTTAAGTATCTATACACCAGTGCCTTAGCACAGTGTTTAGCAAGAAATAACCATCAATAAATGTTAATTGAACTGTTCTGAACCCAGATGCAAAATTGAATTAATTATACTTTGAATTAGATTAATTTTAAAGAACTGAAAATGGATAGCTAAATCCAAAAGCAAATTTAGCTTACTTCTGTTCTCTTCTTTTCAGGATTTCAGTATATAAGAGTGCATGCGCCTGGTGCTACAGAATCTGCAACAGTAAGAAATGACTTTTTATGTAATCTGTGTTCTTCTTCACTTCAAGAAGACAGAAAATTTAGAGTGCTTGGTGGTAAAAAACGCTTTTACATTTGTAATTTTAATTTTCAATGTAGTGTCTAATATTTTAATGTGGAAATTAAGTTGAATAATACTCTAATAACATTCTTTTTTTGTTCTTTGTGTTAAGATAAACAGATAGTTGAAATAATTACTGCAAAGGCACTTCATGCTTTTCAAGGATATTCTAATACCCAGCCATTTAGGTTTCAGTCGCTTACAATTTTCCTAAGAGGTAAGTTCTATTTGAACTAAAAGCAAGTTGCTATAAAATATATAAAATATGTAATTGAGTTACTTATGCTTTTATATTATAAGTGGTACTTCTACACAGTTGTCCCCCTTTATCTATGGTTTCACTTTCCATGGTTTCAGTTACCTGTGGTCAACCATGATCTGAAAATATTAAGTGGAAAATTCCAGAAATAAACAATTCGTAAGTTTTAAATGGCACACTATTCTAAGTAGCATGATAAAATCTCCCGGGATGTGAATCATCCCTTTGTCCAGTGTCTCCATGTTGTACACGCTCCCTGCCTGTTTGTCACTTAGTAGCAATTGAGGTTATCATATCAACTGTCAAGGTATCACAGTGCTTGTGTTCAAGTAAGTAACCCTTATTTTACATAATAATGCCACATTCACTTAACTTTTACTTATATTGTTATAATTGTTCTATTTTATTAGTAGTATTGTAGTTAATCTCTTCCTGTGAATAATTCATAAGTTAAACTTTATCATAGGTATGTATGTATAGGAAAAAAACAGTATATATAGGCCTTGGTACTATCTGTACTTTTAGGCATCCCCTGGGGGGTCTTGGAATGTATACCCCACAGGTAAGGGGAGACTGCTATAGATTAAAAATAATAGGTCATCTTATTCTTGAGTGTTTTAAAGAGTCATATTTAACTTTATGTCAATTATTTATTTAGTTATACAACATTCACTTAAAAAGATATTAGGACTTGCTATGTCGCAAGCACTATACTAAGGCTCAAGGTCGTGATTATTTTATTTATGGGAATGATCTCCCATCATTCTATGTGTGTGTCCTATGTAAATATCAGAGTTATTATTTTAGAATATAGGCTTCATGAGAGTAGAGACTTTGGTTTTTTACTGCATGTAAGGTCATACAGCTAGTACATGGCACAGCTGTAATTCAAACTCAGGCATTACAATTTCAAAATATATGCTTATTAGTGGCCCAGTGCATGAAACTTGTGCACATTAAAAGGGAATTAATTTAGAGGAAATATTTTAATACTGCTATTTGCCCTTTCTCTATAATAAAAGTGTCAGAGATGAAAGAAAATTAGTAAAATGTATATGAAAATCTTCCTCCTGTCAGAGTCTGGGGCATGCCGCAGGACCCAGAGTAAAGTCCCCGCCCACCCGCGTGCGCCTCGAAATCGCACAAAACCCAAACCCGGCCAGCTCCACCCCCGTCAAGCCCCGCCAGGCAGGGGGCGCAGCTTTAAGTCCCCCAGCCCAGTGCCAGGTGGGGAGTGCGGCCTGAGGTCCCCTAGCCCTGGCCAGGGCGGGGGGCACACCTTGATATCCCCCGTCAAGCCCTATCAGGTGGAGGGCAGGGCCTGAGGTCCCCCATCAAGCCCCGCTGGGCAGGGGGGCGTGGCCTCGGGTCCCTGCTGATCACTCGTTATGGGAACCCCACCTCCACTGTGGGCGCAGCCATCTTGTGATGGTGTTACATGTGAGGGTCAATTTTCATATTACCTCTTTATTATATAGGATAACACTTCATTCTATTATATAATATTATATATTACATATAATCCATATATTACAATATCCTATATAATGAAAGGGTAATATACAAATTGACCCTAACAGCCAAACAACCAGAATCGACTGGTCACTGTGATGTTCACTTACCACCAGGGGGCAGACGCTCAATGCAGTAGCTGCCCCCTGGTGGTCAATGCGCTCCCACAGGGGGAGCTTGCTCAGCTACAAGTTCCTGCCTCCATGGCAGCGCTAAGGATGTCCGACTGATGGCTTAGGCCCGATCCCCCAGGGAGAAGGCCTAAGCTGGCGGGTGGACATCCCCCGAGGGATCCTGGACTGCGAGAGGGCACAGGCCGGGTTGAGGGCCCCCCCCCCCCAAGTGCATTAATTCTCGTGCACCGGGCCTCTAGTATAAATATAAATGGCTATCCAGCTTATATTTTAGTAGAAAACCCTTTCTTCAAATAAATTCTTACATAGAACCTAAATATATTTTTTAAAATTACGTGAATAAAGTTTGACTTTTTGGGGTTCAAATCAGAAGAGATAACCATTTCCTAGACTCCTTGCCTTCATCTTGACCTTTCCTTGACTTCAGGACACATCCATCAAACTCTAAGATTCCATGACACAATTGAAAAACTATTCATTTTTATTTTCCTTTCATTATTTTCTGTATCATTTAATTCAGTGGTTCTCAACTTTCCCAATGCTGTGGCCCTTTAAATATAGTTCCTCATGTTGTGACCCAACCATAAAATTATATTCGTTGCTACTTCATAACTGTAATTTTGCTACTGTTATGAATCGTAATGTAAATATCTGATATGCAGGATGTATTTTCATTGTTACAAATTGAACATAATTAAAGCATAGTGATTAATCACAAAAACAATATGTAATTATATGTGTTTTCCGATGGTCTTAGGCGACCCCTGTGAAAGGGTCGTTCGACCCCCAAAGGGGTCGTGACCCACAGGTTGAGAACCGCTGATTTAGTTGTTGTTGCTAGTTTGGTTGGTTGATTTGAAGTTTTTATTTTCTCAATTCTTGAGCCTGAGTCTTCTCTTCCAGGTCTACAGGGTACACCAGTATGCTCTCTGGAACGTAAAAAAAAAAAAAAGAGCAAGAGAGAAAAGGATAAAAATGATGATCACTATTTGATCTTCCTCAGAGAGAGAAGTTAAACCTTGTTTTGCTTTATAAACCTGTCTTTCCTAGCTTTACAGCTACCCAACTTCTAACTGTAATGGAAGATTAAGATTTTTGGTGTATGTTTTTTTAAATAATGTTTTTGAACTTGTGCAAAATTTTTGCCCAATATGTAAGTGTGAAAGAGGAATCTAGTATAATGCAAGAGGGTAGACTTTGGAGATAGGCAGACCTAGATGTGAATTTCAGTTTTGGTAATTTTAGAACTCTGTCCTTTAAGAAGAATGACTTTAGCTTTGTGCAAGACACTTAACCTCTCAGTTTCTTCATATATAAAGTGGGGATGACAGTATCAATCTTACATTTTACAGTTGGGTAATGTATAGAATAGTACCTTGCCTGTATTATAGACAGTAATAGTACCTTTTAAAATTATTTTCTCCCTTAATAAAAGTATTATTTATAATGTTATTTTTATTAACATTTCTTGTCATTTAATGTTAAGATATTTTATCTTAAGTAGAATGATCTTGTTTTTCCTTTTGATCATATATAGGAGACTACCTAGTTACTATGTAACATGCTTCTTGAAGTTAGTTCATCATTGTCTATAAGTGTCAAAATTTATCAGCAATAAAATTGCCTCAATTTGCATCATTAATGCCATTCTATATGGATATTATACTAAACAATAGTATCCTTTACAACTAATTCAACTACTGAATTGTTACTAGTTCTAGATCTTTGAACCATATGATCATGTACACGTTTCATTTAGTGAACACATTTTCTTTTGCGTTTAATAATTTTAGATGAATTGGTGAACAAAATGAGTATAGGAAATGAGTATAAAATTATTGGAATTCCAACCTGTGTAAAAACTTTACAAACTTCTGTCTGTATAGAGGCAAACAGCATCACTTTTTGCAATCCAAAAGGTAAGGAAAGTGCTAGTATCATATATTAACAAATATTTAAATTTAAATCCATTTGTTTAGGAAATAAGTATTGGCTGCCTGTGTGCTAGGCACTCTTCTAAGCATGAGGGATACAGTTGTGATAGGACAGTTAAGGTTCCTACTCTGAAATCAGATGGTAGACAGTCAGTAAACCTATAAACTAATCAATAAGACAATTTCAGATAATAAATGCTATGAAGGAAATAAAATGGGATAATATAGAACCTTTCCCATATGAAATCTCCTTTTTTTTTTTTTTTTTTTAGCTAAACCTTATTTTGCTTTTGGTGTTGTTGTTTTTTTATAATTAGCAATGAGAAAAATAGTTCAGGGTACCAAGAGTTAGAGATTAGTCAAAAGGTTTTTCTACCCTAACATTTATTTTCTAGCCTTAACTAGCTAGATCTTAGCTTGTGACCTGAGAGAGCCCAATAAACTATCATCCTTTTCCTCATTTGAATTCTGAACCAATTCAGATATAAGACAAAAGAGAAAGGCAGATGGGGGTCAAAATATCAGCTATCTTACAATTTCTTTAGCAATTTCAATATAATTAAGCATTAGGTAAATGAAAGTGGAGAGCAGACCTCTTTTAACTTGGCACACAAATATTTAAATGTAGCAAGGGCTAGTTAAATTTTGAATAGAGTTAGATTTTTTTAAGAATCCCTAGATAACCATCTGCAATAAGAGAGACCTAAGTAGACTTTAAATGCAAGTTGATTCTAGATACCGCTGCTTATCTTGAAGAGAAAGTTTCTTAATAAAATTAAAATGTTGAAGAAAGAAAGGCACTAATGCACAATGGACATTTTAGTGATCTTTTAAATGTTTTCTGCTGTGAGGTGTTTCAAGATTTATTGATTTAGTAGCAGAACATGACTTATATGTAGGTGGAAAAGTATGCTTTCTCATGCTGAACTCCAGAATTAGGCAAATTTAACCATTCAACTGTGGTAAAAGCTACACTAAGGCAGCCTTCCTTGGTCCATGGTCAGGGGTGAGTAGAAGAAATCAGTGCTCTATGATGGTAGCCTGTCAGAGCACAGTTCAGCACAGGTGCTCTGAGTTCATATATTCTAAATTCTGCTTGACTATGCCAACTGTGGGGGCAGGTTCCTTCTCAAACCCTGCCCATTGCACTAACTGTCTGGGCCAAACCCCTCTGCCAGGGACTGGACCTTCTTGGACACCAGGTGACAGACGGAGAAGCCATGAGAAGTTGTGGATGTATAAGAATGAGTCTTTCATATAGAAGCCAGTGGCCATATAGCCATCAGACAAAACAGTCCTTCACAGCAAAGTCCCATACAGGTAGCCGCACACCAGCTGATAAACCAAATACATCTTTCTCACAAAGCAGCATCAATCTCTGTACTCACAGTTATCTGAGCAGCTGCACGCTGCCCCTAGACTCACCACGGCAACTGAGCTCTCTGCCTCAGCAACTTCCCCGACCACTCCAGGCTTTCCTGCACACATAGGAGCTACATCCTCTGAGCCTGCCTCAGCTTCTCCCCAGTACACTGTGACTGGCGGGTGAACATGTATTATATCACTTAGACCAGTGGTCGGCAAACTCATTAGTCAACAGAGCCAAATATCAACAGTACAACAATTGAAATTACTTCTGAGAGCCAAATTTTTAAAACTATATATATAGGTAGGTACATTGTTATTAACTTAATTAGGGTACTCCTAAGGCTTAGGAAGAGCCACATTCAAGGGGTCAAAGAGCCGCATGTGGCTCGCGAGCCGCAGTTTGCTGACCACGGACTTAGACAAAAGAGGCCTCTAGTCAACAGTTACATCAATCATTTTGGCTACAGAAAGGCATGCGTGCACAGTGTACTGTGAGATCACTGTGGCCTTGCACCTGCATATGGTATGTTAGTCTTGAACATTCTGATTAAGGTTCCCATGTTTAGAGTGGCCTTGGCCATCTGGTGTACTATCAACAAGGCCTCCACACTCTAATTAGCTTTGGCTATCCTGTGACTCTGGCATGGTTCCCACATAGCCCAAAAGGAAGGAGAAAGTGACTAGGTTATACATCCACAGCTATTCTTCAAAACTGACCAATTCGATTAAATCACTCATCCTGTCCAACTTGCGGGAGTTGGACAGAGTGAGGAAGTGGAGGTCTATAATGTTACCTTATAGTATAGTACAATGCTTTCAAAATACTAGAGTATAAATCTGCCCTTTTAACAGCAACTGTCAAATATTTCCCATTCTGCTTTTTAGTCAAACAGAAGCAAATACTGTAATACAGGAGCCCTGTGATCTGGCTTTGCTCAGATAGGTCTTAAAAGGAAAGGAATGAAGAATTTGCTTGCACCCCGCCACCAATCTCTGTGGACACTTGGGGTGACTGCTTCCTTTCGTGGGATAGAAATGATAGACCAGAGAGACCTCCAGTCATAATATTATCTATAAGAATTTTAATATGGCATCATTACAATAACTGTAATCTGGTGATAATATTTTAGATAAATAGAATTAGACATCTATCATGTCATTTTCTTGTTTTAAAACCCTTTTAAACATGTTATTATTTACTTTCAGTTCCTTCAGGAATTAGCGACAATTTCAGGTGTCTACTCTCTTTGACTTCCAGCTCATGCTGGAAGTTTACAGCAATACTTGCCAATATCTTTGCATCACACATTGTTCCTCCCGGGACTTACAATTTTCTCAAGCTCTGTTTGCTGATGAGTCTAGTTCAGACAAGAGACTCTAACAAGGAACTGGAAGATTGCCTGGATATTTTAATTATAACAAGTGATACTCTACTTGTAGACAGGTAAAATATGTGATATGAATTTTTTCACATAATAAATTGGTCACAGATTTGCATAAATCTTTTCCATGAGCATTATTAAAAGACAAATATTTAGGACTTACCTGGGCAAAAATTTAAACACTTATCAATGAAATTTAAAACTTTTAAAATATGAATTGGGATGTTTGTTTTCAATGTTTTGAGGATCTAACCGTTCAAAGTTTCCATCTGTTTCCCCACTCAGACCTTTACAAATAAATGCATCATTCTCAGGCTTCCTTCCTCCCCCATTCCCTGCCTTAGTGTTCTGCTTTTGTACTTTGTTTTTATTTTTTAAATAATCTCCCCTCTGAGAGCCAACAAGCCATTTTCTTATTTTTCTTTAATATTCCACTCAGTAACACTGACTCACTATACCCATATAAGGCTGTCAAAAGTGCCCAAATTACTGTTTTGGGAGTATCACTCTAACATTGGAATAAGCCTTTACTCAGCATTTTGGGGCTCCTCACTAGCAAGTACCCCTTTTTAAAAGTTACTTAATATTCAGGAAGCGCCCTAACCGGTTTGGCTCAGTGGATAGAGCGTCGGCCTCCGGACCGAGAGGTCCCAGGTTCTATTCCTGTCAAGGGCATGTATCTTGGTTGCGGGCACATCCCCAGTAGGAGGTGTGCAAGAGGCAGCTGATCAATGTTTCTCATCAATGTTTCTAATTCTCTATCCCTCTCCCTTCCTCTCTGTAAGAAAGTAATAAAAAAATATATTTAAAAAAAGAAGAAGAATGAGAATTTTAAAAAAATATTCAGAAAGCTAGGAATATGCTTCTTATATTAATATCATATATGCCATTATAAAGAAAAAAATCAAATATATAGAATGATTTAAAATTAAAAGAGCCCGGCTGGCGTGGCTCAGTGGTTGAGTGTCAACCTACGAACCAGGAGGAAACATGCTCGGGTTGCAGGCTTGATCCCCAGTGTGGGGCGTGCAGGAGGCAGCCGATCAATGATTCTCTGTCATCATTGATGTTTCTCTCTCTTCCTCTCTGAAATCAATTTTAAAAATATGTTTAAAAAAATAAAATTCAAATATTTTTGCTGAAATTAAATTGCAATGTAAATGTGCTAACTGCTACAGATTGCACAAATTTAATTGGAAATAAATTTTGGCATCATTTACAGCTTGTCAAACACTTCTATTATTTTTCTATGAAACTCCTTGATCATTTTTCACTTTTCTATTGTTTATTTCTTTTTTTTAAGGACTTAATTTTTTCAAATCTTCACAAATCATATCTAATTTTATTTTGATTTTTAGAGAGCATGGAAGAGAGAGGGAAAGACAGAGAGAAATATTGATGTGAGAGAGAAACATCGATTGGTTGCCTCGTGCAGGAGGCAACCAGGGCCTGGGCCAGGATGAACCTGCAACCGAGGTATGTGTCCTTGACCAGAATTGAATCTGGGACCTATTGGTCCCAGGTCAAAGCTTTATCTACTGAGCCAAACAGGCTAGGGCAAGTTGTTCATTTCTTATTGATTTGTGATACCTCTTATAAATTAAAGCCTTTGTCTATTTTCCTTTTGTGATTAACCTTTGACTTTTCCTATGGCATTTGAGGCTGTGTGAGAGATTTGGGTTTTTTTGTTTTGTTTTGTTTTGTTTTTAGGTAACATTTATATATAGTGAAATAATCAGATCTTAAGTATACAATTTGATGAATTTTGACAAATCCATACACTCCTATAGCCATCACCATAAGTAGATATAGAACATTTCTATCACCTCAGAAAGTTCTTTCACTCCTTCCAAACAGTGCCTATCTCCACAGGTGATTTCTGTCACAATAGATTAATTTCCTATTCTTGAACTTCATATAAGTAGAATCATACAGCGCATACTCTTGTATCTAGTCTCTTTCACTCAACATGTTTTTGATATTGACCCAGTTGTGTGTATTAGTAGTTTATTGTTTTTATTGATGAGTAGTATTCCATTATATGACTATACCAGAATTTGTTCATCCATTCTTCTGGTGGTGAAGATTGAGGTTTTGCATGTTTTATTAAAAATAAAGCTGCTGTAAACATTCTTGCACAAGTCTTTCTATGGACATGTGTTTTCATTATCTTGGATAAATACTAAATTGTGGAAATGCTGTGTCATAAGATAGATGTATATTTACCTTTATAAGACAGTGCCATTTTTCTAAAGTGGTTGTACAATGTAAGGTTACAGTTGTTTCTATCCTTACCACTGAATCTCATCTTTGATGTTTCTATCTCTCCCTCTCCCTTCCTCTCTGGTGTTGTCAGTCTTTCTCAATTTAACCATTCTAGTGTATGAAATACTATCTCATTATGATTCTAATTTGCATTTCCCTGACGACTACTGATTTGAGTTCTTTTTCATGTGCTTTTTGGCTACTCATATCTCCTTTTAGGAAGTGTCTGTTCAAGTTCTTTGCTCACTTTTAAATTGGGTTGTTCTGGATATTCTTCCTTTGTCATATATGTGTATCATGAACTGTTTCTCCCAGTCTAAAACTTAGATATCTTTGATGAACAGACTTTTTAGTTTTGTTGAAATCAAGTTTATTACTTTCTTACATGTTTATGTTTTGTCAGTTCTGTTTAAGAAGTGTTTGCAACCCCAAGGTCATGATTATGTTATTTTATGTTTTCTTCTAGAAGCATTGTAGTTTTCACTTTAAAAATATATTTTTTTATTGACTTTTAGAGAGAGAGGAAGGGACAGGGAGAAAGAGAAACATCAATGCCATCAATTGGCTGCCTCCTAACATGCCCCCTACGGGGGATCAAGCCCTCAACCTTTTGGTGCAAGGGATGACACCCAACCAACTGAGCCACACTGGCCGGGCTAGTTTTCACTCTTACATTAGGTCTGTTATCTATTTCAAGTTAATTTTTGTATATGGTTTGAGGTAGGAGTCAAGGTTAATATTTTTGCTATATATTTCTCTAATTTTTGTATACCATTTTTTGGAAAGACTTTTCTTTCCTCGTTGAATTGCTTTGGTACCATTGTTGAAAACCAATTGAACTGGATATTAACTAGTTATAATATTGAACTGGGTATAAATCATTTTGTTACCTGACAGGGACCAGCCTGTAGTGTGTAGGTTATTGACTTCGTGTAGGAAAGAGTTCACAACACTAGTCCAAGTGATTTTGAAAGTACGTTTATTAAAGTTGGGGACAGTGAAACAAAGGAAAGTTTTAGGATAGAAGAAGCAGCAGGAGAGAGAGCCTAGGACAGGTGGTGCTCTGCTTTGGTTCCCTAGAAACTTAGGAAAGAAGTGAGTCAAGTCAGAGCTGTTGTTAGCTCATTCAGAAGTTAGCCAAGGCAGGATTGCTTTTAGCTCACTGTAAAGTCAGAGAAAAAGGGGGCCTTGGAGCCCAGTCAGTGCGGGTCAGTGGTTGAGTGTTGACCTATGAATCAGGAGATCACGGTTCGATTTCAGGTCAGGGCATGTGCCTGGGTTTCCACTGGAAGCAGCCAATCAATGATTCTCTCTCATCATTGATGTTTTTATCTCTCCCTCTCCCTTCCTCTCTGAAATCAAATTAAATTTGATTGTGTATCTGTTACACATTATGATTTCTGAAAACCAAATATTAAATAACAGTAATGAATAATTTATTTTTCCCTAGGCTTTTGAATTACAGTATAAACCTTGTGCCCCGTGGTATACGTCATCCAGTCTCTACTGAAATTTTTCCTACTCTATTCAGGAATAATTATGGAACTGGAGCGGTTAGCATTCAAGCTGGCAGTGCTTTGCTAGCTAAAGGTGGTATCTGCTTTATAGGAGACTTGGCGTCATACAAAAAAGATAAACTTGAACAGCTTCAATCAGGTAAACATTTTTTTCAAAATAATTTTCACCTGTTTAACTTATAGTCTCATCATTGTCAAGGAGTTACTTAACAGTTAAGAGTGTATTGTACTTGTTTTAGAAACTGAAAATTATACTAATTGGCATTTTTCATTTAATCTTTATAAATAAAAACAGAAAATTTTAATGGGCAAAATGCCTTTACTCTCAGTTTGTATTGAAACAGATTTATTTCCTTTTCTTATCTGATTGCATTAGGTAGGACTTCCAATACGATATTGAAAAGCAGTAGTGAGAAGGGACACCTTTGTCTTGTTCCTGGTCTTAGCAGGAAAGCTTTGTTTCTCACCAAATATCATGGGAAACTTAAGTATGATGCCAGCTATAGTTTTTTGTAGATGTTCTCTTTCAAGTTGAATGAGTTCCCTCTACTCCTAATCTACTGAGAATTATTTTTTAATGAATGAAAGTTGGATTTTATCAAATACTTTTCCATATCAATTGATACAATAATTTGATTTTCCTTCTTTAGCCTGTTGGTATTATGAATTACATTAGTTGATTTTCAAATGCTGAACCAGTTTTGCATACATAGAATAAAGCTCACCTGGCTGAGGGGCATAATTTATTTTTGTTAATCCTCACCTAAGGGTATATATATAGATAGATAGATATAGATATAGATATAGATATAGATATAGATGATATAGATATAGATATAGATATAGATATAGATATAGATATAGATATAGATATAGATATAGATGGTTGTTGTTGTTATTAATCCTCACCCAAGGATATTTTTCCATTGATTTTTTAAAAATATTTTTTTATTGATTTCAGAGAGGAAGGGAGAGGGAGAGAGAGATAGAAACATCAATGATGAGAGAGAATCATTGATTGACTGCTTCCTGCATGTCCTCCACTGGGGACCGAACCTGCAACTGGGGCATGTGCCCTCGACTGGAATCGAACCCGAGACCCTTCAGTCCGCAGGCCAACGCTCTCTCCACTGAGCCAAACCGGCTAGGGCTCCATTGATTTTTAGAGCGAATAGAAAGGAAAGGGAGAGACAGAGAGAGATATCGATGAAAGAGACATATTGATTGGTTGCCTTCTGCATGCACCCCAACCAGGGCCAGGGAACCTGCAATCAAGGTACGTGCCCTTGACCGGAATCAAACCTAGGACCCTTCAGTCCATGGGCTGACGCTCTATCCACTGAGCCAAACCGGCTAGGGTTATACATATATAATTATTTAAAAATTTGTTCATCTTGTGATGGACACTTGGGCCGTTGTTAGTTTGGGGCTATTGTGAGTAATGCTGCTATGAACATTATTATACAAGTATCTGTATAATAATGCAAAACAATCTAATGTACTTGTGTCTTTACTATCTAAAGTTTAGACAATAACATTCTATATAACAATATTTTTTATTGATTTGTAGATATATAGACCAAAATGAACTTAATAAATGGGTAATGTCTTTTGACTTAGTTATGGAAAGCAGAAGCATTACAGTGTACATCCCGGGAAAGAAGTTTGGGGATGATACCAATCAACAAACGACTTTTCCCATTCAGTGCAGTTTTTGGTCTTTCATTGATATGGATTCATCTTCAAGGAAAAATATGCAGAAAACCAACACTCTAATTGGTCAGATGGTAAGATATATGCATATTTTATTACTAGCGGCCCAATGCAAGAAATTTGCGCAAGGAGCTCGGCACTTGGCCCTCGCAGCCGTGGCAGCTTGCCTCGGCCCTCGCAGCCCTGGCTTCGTCCAGGTCATCTGGAAGGACATCCAGAAGGATGTCCAGAAGGTTGTTTGGCTGTCCAGTCTAATTAGCATATTACACTTTTATTATTATAGATTAGAGTTGTTCAGGGAATTTAGCCACATATTTTAATCTTAATATTTTTGTTGTTCTTAATGTTTTGTTATCCCATTTCTATACTTAATTGGGTATTAGAACTAAATAATGACATAGTGTGAAATTCTTTTATGTTATTTAGTCATGCCATGCAGATGTCTCTACTCATTAGAAATTTTTATTTGAATTTAGTGGAAGTTTTAATGAATAATGTGTAAATAAGTATTAGAAAATACTTAATAAAGAGCAGTTTTAAAAAATTAGTCACTACAAAGTTCTCAGGCTATTCAGGAATCACTTTAAATAATAATTAGTAATAGCAAATCATAATTATTATAGTTATCAGTATATAATTTAATGTAAGCAAATTTTATAAATATATGAATAATTCAAATAATTTAAAATTTATTTCCTAAGTCTTTGTGAAAATGCCTGAGTTTAATGTTTGCCTTTTATGTTTTTGTTTGATGTAGGATTGCAGCTTGATTCCAGCTAATCTTGTAGAGGTATTTGGATTATTGATTAACTGTAATGAATCATCTCCTTGCCACCCATTTCTTCCTACTGTGCAACATACTTTAAAGAAAGCCATTGATCCTGAAGGGCTGCTTTATTTAGCTTCTAAACAGTTCACAACAGAAGATTTTGAAAAGGTAAAAAGAGAAAAAATGATTACCAAGAATACTTGTGCTAATGTTTTTCAATTTAAATTCAATTCTCTTTGAGCATTCAGTTTTCTGTTTTTAGGATTCATTTGTTCCAACTTTCTGCTAACTTTTCAACATTTTAAGGACATTGCATAGAAAATATTTAGAATTATAGTTAAATAAAAGGACATAGGTATTAGCATGCCCATCCTAGATATTAGCATGTATAAGGACATAGATATTTAAAAAGTTGAGTTTATTCTTTGCACCACTGTCCAAGTCACTATAGCTTAAGGAATCTCAATAAAAAAAATCAAAATAGAATATTTCTATAGAAAATTATGATGAGAGGCTGTATAGATATACTGTTATTTACATTTTACAGACTATTCAAAGGTATTTTCTTTAGATGACTGCCTTCAGCATTCTGACTTTAGGGAATATCAATCATGACTCACTAAGTCATTTTAATGTCCTGACATGAAAACATTTGTGGCATATTCAGAGAACCTGAGAGTAGATGATATAAATTTAGTAATGATTTTCATTGTTATTAAAGACACTCAAATATTTATAAGTGAAACCCTTTTAATAGTAACTCTTCAGAAATCTGTCCACAGTAGAGTTAAAGTATCTGAGTGGGATAGATAAAAGGGAAAGAATATTGGGAAGTTGTAATGCATGAGTCATTAAATTTTGTTTTCTTATCTGCCTTCCTTATAGGCATATTGCATGGGTAAAAGGTTGAAGGGTGAGGTGGGCTTAAAAATGCATTGTGAGCATTGTTTATTCACATAGAACAGAAAAAGAACAATATTGATAATACAATAAAGGTCTTTTTGTTTTTTGTTTTTAGTATAGAAGAAAAAGTAGTTTGTCTGTAGGAATTAATATAGATGCACTAATGATCTGGATAAATTTTCACCCAGTTTTTCCATCAAAAACAAAAATATCTATGGGTTTATTAATTATTCAGGACTTAATGAATACTATATATATATGAGCCTACTTCTGATTTTTTTAAATTCCCATGGAAACAAATTTTCTTTTTTAAGTATCATTAACTGAGGTATAAATAACATACATGAAACAACTAAGTGATCATTTATATGCTAAACTGGGTGGCACTGACTAAGTATTTTAGGATTTCAGAAAGGAAGATAGCAAGTAGAATGTAAGAGTTGGGGACATTTCATAGAGGAGATGAGACTTTGGTAGGGGCTTAAGAAAAGGTAAGATTTAGATGACAGGAAGAATGGGCATGCTAAACAGAAATAAGAATAGGAGCAAAGACATAAAAGTAGAAATGAATATGCATGGAAAACTATGAGAAGACTTGCCTGACTGGAGCAAAAATTGTATTATGGAGTCACTGGGATTGGGATTTGGCAAATTTACAATAAGCCTTGAAAAGTTCAGGCAAAGGAGTTTATAGTTGATTTGTCAGACTGGAAAGAACAGTTATAGACTTTACTAGTGAAATAGTGAAAATGATTTCCCCAAAAGATAAATCTGCCTATCACACAAAACAGATTGGATGGAATATGTTGCAGCCTGGGCTGTCTAGGAGGTGAACTGAAATGGAGTTTAGTGTACAACTGTTTATCAGGGAGTGCTCTCCTATCAATACCCGTGCAAGGGAGGAGGAAGCAGGATTGGACAGAGAGGGAGTCAAACCGTGATAGAGGCCCAGAGATTGCCTTTGCTGGCCCCACAGTGAGCTCTGGAGCTAAGGAGACCCATCAGAGGTGTCCTTTTTTTTTTTTTTTTTTTTTTTTAAATAAATAGAGGGTTTTACAACACCCTCCCCCACTTCCACCTCAATGAATCATTTGATATGGGTTGTCCTGAGACAATCCCTGAAGAATACTGACAGCTAGAGGTGAAATACTGACAGCACTTCCAGAAGCTGGAGCAACAGTCTTTTTCTGAAGGGGGATATAGGTGGCACGTGACTGGGCCTCCAAAGGGTAAATAAAACCTAGAAGGGCTACTGATGTAGTTAATAGTATTATCCAGTTCCAAAGGTCTGGAGGGAACTGTGGAGTATCAGGAAATAAAGAAGACAGGACATATTCAATTCAGAACATATCCAAAAGCTTTTTTAAAAAGTTATCTTTAAGATATAAAGATTATAATTAATAGCAACATTTTTATGGTTAATTTTTCTATGAGTTTTAAAACCAGAAAACAACTAAGATTGTTGAAAAGTCTGGAAATTATGTCATTGAATAAGGACTTAAGAAAATGGGAATCACTCGGAAAGAAAAAAAGCATAAAACACAGAGAAAATATTGATAATCATGTTGAAAACTTATTCTCGGCCCAAAATCTTACTGAATCTCCAAGGCCCACATTCATAGTAGTTAACACAATGCCTCCCACATTGCTAGTGTTCAGTTGTGTTCTTTAAAAGGAAGAAAGGGACGAAAGGAGGGCAAGCTCTAGGGCCGATGAGGGAAAGTTATAAGGAAATAAACTGTCAAAGAATTGAAGCTATTCAAAAGGAAATGAGCTTCTGAGAGAAGCCCTCCCAGTGAAAGGCTCTGAGTGAGCCTTGATTCCATTGGAAACAAAGACTTAAAAGTCATTCCAATACGTTGTACAGAACATTTTAATCTTACAAATATAAGACTCTGATTTAAAATGCTCAATGACTTTGGGATGGCCCCAGATATTTAATTTCAATGTAAATAAAATATGTAAACTTTAATAAATAAAATGACAATATACTTTGCATTTTTGTAATATAGATTATATAATAAAGTCTGAGTCTCTTAAATTTTTCACACTTTTAATTTAGCTGCTGGCTTTTGCAAAGAATTTGAATGTAGAATTCAGCTTGGAGGCAGAAAGAATGGTTCATGGCTATTATCTAGCAAGTCGCAGAATCAGAACAGATTCTATATGTGGATCAAAACTGTCAGCATCTGCATTAAAATATTTGTAGGTATTCACTGTAAAATTTTAAAGCCAGTATTAACTTTTAAATGATGTGCTTAATTAACTTATTTATCTATTTCTTTTGTTTTTTTTGTTTAATTGCTGGTTGGTTGGTTTATAATTTACCTTGTTCCAAGAGAATTTAAGGTGAATTAACAATTCCTTTTGTTATATTGTTACATCATTTGAACCTCCAATTATTTATTTTCACTAAATTAATTTTTATTAGACCCCTGTGTAAGATGTCTGAGAAAAGTATATGGATTTCATATACAAATGTTTGTTTTTTAAAATGTGGCTGTTGATATTTGTCAGGAAGAAGAAATTTCCTTTACACTTCTGGCTGGTCTATAATTAAATTGACATAAAACATAGTAACAGCCCTAACCGGTTTGGCTCAGTGGTTAGAGCATCAGCCTGCGGACTCAAGGTTCCCAGGTTCAATTCCAGTAAAGGGCATGTACCTTGGTTGCAGGCATGTACCTTGGTTGCGGGCACATCCGCAGTAGGGTGTGTGCAGGAGGCAGCTGATCGATGTTTCTCTCTCATCGATGTTTCTAACTCTCTATCCCTCTCCCTTCCTCTCTGTAAAAAAAATCAATAAAATATATTTTTTAAAAAATGAGTATCTATGGCATTCTGAACTAAGGATAAGTAAGGTACCTTGAAGCTTCATGGGGGAGGAAGGTCACTCACAGGATAATCAGTAATTACGTATTTGCCTGTCCTAGAGACAGGTTGTAAAAAGTTACCTCTGAGAATAACTCTGATCATGGGCAAGGCCCCAAATTCAAATTTCTTAATCACTGTTAACAGTTTTTGTCTATTCTTCCAGAAATTATCCATTCAAATACTAGCATATACAAATATGTAATTTAAATATATGAGGTATAATAATACATATTTACTTGAGTATGTTATATATTTTAGTTGACTATGTTATTTAAACATTCATATACATGTATATTATAATATATAAATATATATTCATATGGATACTCTATTTTTGCCCAAATGGAATCATGCATGGAATATATAGTATACTACCACACTATCATTTCATAAATATTTACCTCATTCTGTTTTAATAACTGCATGACAGTTTTACTGTGTTTTGATGTGACTGTATCATAGTTTAAATATCCCCTATTGCTAGACCATTACTTCATTTGATATAGATTAAAGTATAATCTCAAAAAAATTATAAAGTAAGACCAGGAGTAAAGTAATCCATTAAATAAATAAATACCTTGTTATAACTACAGTATAAAATAAGACAAGTGAGGGACCGGCAGGAAATGTCAAGTATGAGTCTAAAAGAGATAAATATGTTTAATTTCTCCCAATGGTATATTTATCTTCATAGAGCTGGAAAAAAATGCTAAAGATAAGACAAAGTAGAAATCAACTGTGATGTTTTATAATGGTAAACATAATTATATAATGCTTTCCTTTTTCTGAAGTAATATTTATACTCAAATCAGTACTCAGTACTCAAAGCTTAAAAGCTTTGAAAGTTATGTTTTCTCATTATGTTTTTTCTCTGTAGTAAAAAAGATGTTTTTTATTTAAACTCATATAGCCTCAGTTTACATTTGACTGTATTGATCCAAAAATAAAACAGTTAATTTTAATATGATAGCTCTACTTTTTCCCATTGTAGAAATAACCCCCAGGAGTGGAGATGGGGGTTATGAAGTAGCAAAGTAAATGAACCACTAGTCAGAAGAATTATAAACCTTGAATTTTTCTCCTACTTAGATAGACAGGTACCTAATAACACCACCCTAGCTTTTCTAAAGAAGTGGAGCTGAACAATACTCTCTTCTCTTTTCCTGAAAGGCTGTATACATACTCTGTCTGGTCAACATTTTTAGAAGGAGCTTGGGTGAGACAGCAGGATCATGATAATCAAATTTGTAAATGAACACCTCTGGAGGGCTCTTCACAGGTTTGAATGAGGGTCTTAGTCTAACAAGAAGAAAATTAATAGGATAAATGTCCTCAGTTAGATCTCAGCCTCCCCAGTACAAGTGAATGGATAGGAAAGGGTGATAAGGCTTACTATGAAAAAGACTTGAGATTTCATTCTTTTGATGGTTCATGCGAGTAAACAATATAACATGGTTGTTAATAATACTGTGATTTGGGTTGCATTAATAGAATATAGTAAGCATATTAGCATAACTAATGGACACAGACACTGGGGTGGTGAGGGCTTGCCCAGGGTGGGAATGGCTTGGGTCGGGGGCGGGGGGCAGTCAATAAGGGAAAAAGGAGACATATATAAAACTTTAGACAATAAAAAAAAAAATAGAATACCTGGTATAATAAGGAAATGTTAGTTCTGCCTCTCTCTATTCAGCTAGTCAAATCATACCTGTAATCATTCTATACTAAAAAGGAGTATTATCCAAATCTGCCCACTAGCCAGAATGGTGAAGGGCCTGAACATTATGTCTTATGACATTTTAAAGGAACTAGGGATATTTATCTTGAGAAAAGAAAACGTGGGCCAACTAGAAAAGTTGTATTTGAATATTTGAAGAGCTGTCACATTTAAGAAGTATTGGGCTTTTTCTGTAATCCCAGAAGACAGAACCAGGTACCAGTGGGTGGAAATTACAGTGAAACCAATTTCAGCTCACATTTATATAATCTTTGTGGGTGAGTCCCAAGATTTTCAATCGCCTTATTTTTGAAATCATAAAACTCCTGGGAATTGTTATCCCCATTTCATACCTGAACTTCAAAATAATTGCAAAATTAAATAATTTATACAGTGTCACACAGGTAGTGAGTTCTGGAGATTTGGCCCAGTTTTTCTGATTCTCAAGTCCAACAATCGTTCATGTATATTATACACGCCTAATGAGAGCTTAAGGGAAAATTTTCAGGTAATCAAAGGTAGTTTAAAAAGAAAGGCATGGCCCGGCTGGTTTGGCTCAATGGATAGGGCGTCGGCCTGCGGACTGAAGGGTTCCAGGTTCGGTTCTGGCCAAGGGCACATGCCTGGGTTGTGGGCTTGATCCCCAGTAGGGGGCGTGGAGGAGGCAGCCAATCAATGATTCTCATCATTGATGTTTCTATCTCTCCCTCTTCCTTCCTCTCTAAAATCAAATATATATATATATATATATATATATATATATATATATATATATATATATATATGGATTGCCTTATGATTCCCAGTGAATTGTAGAAAAAGTTCAAAAGAAACTAGACAATAATTAGCCTGGGTGTTGTAGAGAAAATTCAATTAATTTGATGGAAGTTTGAACTTTAATCTCAAAGTTCTCTTCCAACACTGAAATTTCAAGATTCTATGAGGACTTCAAATAGATGCAGAACTGGAAGAAAATATTAAGGATGTATCTATAAGAGATATCTAGTTAGTATCCCAACTGTGTGTTTATCTGAACAGAATTTGGGGAGAGGGGTTATAGAATAATAACAATAAGCCAGGGTGGAAACCAACTCTTTGATAATAAGTCAGGATACTTGCTTGTTATAGAATAGTCTGTTCATCTTGGTAGGAAAAAAATGCTTTGGAAAGAAACTAAATTATTTTTAGACATATTTTTTATTGATTTCAGAGAGGAAGAGAGAGGGAGAGAGATATAGAAACATCAATGATGAGAATCATTGATTGGCTGCCTCCTGCACATCTCCCACTGGGGACCAAGCCCACAACCCGGGTAGGTGCCTTGACTGGAATCAAACCCAGGACCCTCAGTCTGCTCTATCCACTGAGAAAAACCAGCTAGGGCCTAAATTTTTTTTAAAGAAAGAATATGCTAATCTTTAATGTGTGGCTTATGGTCACATATATCTTGGTTTGTTTCTGCCTAAATATATATCATCTTTATACTATCAACATACTTTGATTGGCTTCAATTTTCTTTTGTAGAATTTCCCTATCTGAAGCCCATGCTCGACTGAACTTAAGGAATAAAGTGCTTAAAGAAGATGTACTAATTGCAGTCTTATTATTTGAAACATCTCTCACATTGAAATATGGTAAGTTTTTAAATTATTAATGATGTGTACAAATAATTATATTTAAACATATTTTTACTCTGTTAAATTAAAATGTTATAATATTTCAAATATTTTAAAGATTAATAAATTTCTATCAGGTAAAGCCTTTTTTAATTTGAACATTTACTAACTGCTTATAGTAGTATCATTATCTGATGTTAAGTTCCTTATTATGCATAATTGTTTCTGTACTTGAACTTTTGCATTAAGTAATTCTAGAAAAAATGTACTTAATGCAATACATGAAATGATTTTAAATTTATCTTCCTTTTAATATAACATGCAACATTTAATAGTCATGCAGTCCCCCACAGTGGAGTTAGGCACATAGCCAAATAAAATGTGATTATCTTAGCACCTTCTCTGAATTGCTAGTTATAATACTACTAGAGGCCCGTACATGGATTCATGCACATTGAAAGGAAATTAATTAGAAGAAATGTTTTAATATCGCTATTCGCCCTTTCTGTATAATAGAAGTGTCAACCAAATTCACAATCCACAGTGATAGATGGAAACACACACATGTGATTGGTGCCAGCAAGAGCTTTATGTATATAGATAAACTTACTTAATTAGACCTGCTTTCTGACTTAGCTAAACTTTTTCCAGCCCATTGAAGCACCCCAACTGCTCTTTCAGGCAATTGTCAGCAACACAGCAGTAAATATCAGCACAAAGCAGATTATTGTAGATCACTCAGGGAGAACAAAGGGTGAAATATTTAACTGTAGCAGTGTTTGACTATATTCTGCCCAGTGAGAAAACCTGAAGTCATTTTCAAGGTCCACCATTTCTTACTTCTTTTCAGTTGGGTCAAGTTTCTAAACTTTCTACATCTCTGTTTTCTGGCTAATGAAAAAAAAAATAGGATTCTACTAAGTCTCCTATCTGCCTACTCTAGGACTTCTATGAGGATCAAATGAGATGAGGCACGTGAAAATGCTTCACAAACATTTGGTTAAAGTGTAAAATGTTTGTACCTGGCTATAAACCAAGTAGTGTTTCTGGGCTGAAGAAACGTGAAGGAGGCTAGTTGTTGCTAGGGAGAGGAAGCCGGGTGTTGCTACGTGAGGTCATTACCCGGCGCCCACAGCCACCATTTTCGGGCTGGACTGGGCTGTGGGCCACATTTTATGCAATGGGGTCTTGGCAGCGTTGGCTGCGATTTGGTGGGGTGTCGCTCCGGGGTGGTGGTGGGGCCTGTGTCCCACTTGAGGGAAGCCGAGTGTTGGTTTGTCAGCGCCAGGTCCGTGGTACCTGCCAGTGTGGGTCATGGCAGCTCCTGTGTTGAGTGTCTGCCCCCTGGTGTTCAGTGCACATCATAGCCGGTTGGATGGTCAGAGGGACACTTAGCCTTTTATATATATACTAGAGGCCCGGTGCACAAAAATTTGTGCACTCTGGGGAGGAGGGGGGGTTCCTCAGCCTGGCCTGTGCCCTCTCCCAGTCTGGGACCCCTCGGGAGATAACGACCTGCTGGCTTAGGCCTGCTCCCGGGTGGCAGAGGGCAGGCCCAATCCCTAGGTGCAGCCCCTGGTTGGGCTCAGAGCAGGGCCGATTGGGGAGTTGGGGCGCCGCCCCCTGTCATGCACAGAGCAGGGAGATTGGGAGGTTTTAATGCCACCCTCAGTCAGGCTCAGGGTAGTGCCCATTGGGGGGTTGGGGCACCGCCCCGTTACACTCAAGGCAGAGTTGATGGGGAGGTTGTGACGCCACCCCCTGTCACGCACAGAGCAGGGCCCATCAGGGGGTTGGGGAGCTCCCCCCGTCACGCACAGAGGAGGGCCCATCAGGGGTTTGAGGAGCTCCCCCCTGTCACTCACACAGTAGGGCCGATCAGGGGGTTGGGGCACCGCCACTGTCACACTCAGGGCAGGGCTGATGGGGAGGTTATGGCTCTACCCCATCACACACAGAGCAGGGCCCGTGGGGGGGGGGGGGGGCGGGTTGAGGCGCCGCCCTCTATCACCCACAGAGCAGGGCCAATCGGGGGTTGGGGCGCCTTCCCCTGTCACAAACAGAGCAGGGCGGATAGGGAGGTTGTGGCCCCGCCCCCTGTCACACACAGAGCCGCAGGGCAATCAGGGGGTTTGGGCGCTGCCCCCTGTCACGCTGATCCCGGTGCCGGGAGGCCTCGTGGCTCCACTGATCCCAGTGCTGGGAGGCATATTACCCTTTTACTATATAGAATAGAGGCCTGGTGCATGGGTGGGGGCCGGCTGGTTTGCCCTGAAGGGTGTCCTGGATCAGGGTGGGGGTTCCCACTGGGGTGCCTGGCCAGCCTGGATAGGGGATGATGGCTGTTTGCAGCTGGTCACACCCCCTTCAGGGTGGGGGTCCCCACTGGGGTGCCTGGCCAGCCTGGATGAGGGGATGAGGGCTGTTTGCAGCTGGTCACACACCCTTCAGGGTGGGGGTTCCCACTGGGGTGCCTGGCCAGTCTGGGTGAGGGGCTGAGGGCTGTTTTCAGGCTGGGACTGAAGCTCCCAACTGCTCCTTTTTTTCTTTTTTCTTTCTTTATTCTGGGCCAGCTTTAGCTCTGGCTCCAGCTCTCAGGCTTCCGCTCCTGAAAGCAGGTATCTGGTTTGTTTCGGTTCTCGAAACTCTGTATCAACTCCAGTTCTGAGATCCCAGAAAGCTGGTTTCTGGAATTTTGTTTAGTGTCTGTATTTGTTACAATGTTTGAAACTGCAGGCTCAGAGGCCTGCAGCGGCAGGCGGGGAACGTTTGTTTCCTCCGTCACTAAAGCAAGCAAGCCTCATGTTAGTTTCAAGCTGCCTGGCTGCCGGCCGCCATCTTGGCTGACAGTTAATTTGCATATTGCCCTGATTAGCCAATGGGAAGGGTAGCGGTCGTACGCCAATTACCATGTTTCTCTTTTATTAGTGTAGATATAGTCTCTCTCTCTGTATAGATGACTATAGCATTTAATTATTTGAAATGAATGGAGCTTATTATGGTTTTGCTAATAAAAACCTAAGAGGACTCAATGTAAGAGTAAAGAAAGTTATATTCACAGAATGCTTTGTTGAATTAGATGAGCCATTATTTTGATAAGATAAACTATGTTTCAAACCAAACTTTAGTTCCAATCCTGGGACTTAAAAGGATATTTTAACATTGACTTTTCTGTGTGTATATGTATAGTGCTTAAATTTGCTTTAAATTCAATTTATATTGTAACTTTTTGCAAAGATCCACTAGAACAGTGATTCTCAACCTTCTGGCCCTTTAAATACAGTCCCTCATGTTGTGACCCAACCATAAAATTATTTTTGTTGCTACTTCATAACTGTCATGTTGCTACTGCTACTGTTATGAATTGTAATGTAAATATCTGATATGCAGGATGGTCTTAGGTGACCCCTGTGAAATAGTCGTTCAACCGCCAAAGGGGAGTGTTTCAGGGAGGGAGCAGGTAGTCAGCTGTATCTAAGTACAATTAGATTTGGCAGTTTAGAAGTTGTAGGTGGCCATGATCTGAGATAAGTCAATGGAGTGGAGAAGGAATTGAAGATATGAAGAGAGTACACGTACACAACTTTGAGACATTTGACTGTGAAGATGAGGAAAGAAATGGGTGTTTTCTGGAGAAGGATGTGAGGTCCAGGATGGGATTTTTTTTTTTAAATAAATCTTTATTGTTCAGATTATTACATTTGTTCCTCTTTTTTCCCCCCCATAACTCCCCTCCTCCCAGTTCCCACCCCACCCTCCGCCCTCACTCCCCACCCACTGTCCTCATCCATAGGTGCACGATTTTTGTCCAGTCTCTTCCCGCATCTCCCACACCCCTTTCCCCCCAAGAATAGTCAGTCCATTCCTATCTATGTCCCTGATTCTATTATGATCACCAGATTATTTATTCACTTGATTCTTAGATTCTCTTGTTGATAGATGCATGTTTGTTGTTCATAATTTGTATCTTTACCTTTTTCTTCTTCTTCCTCTTCTTAAAGGATACCTTTCAGCATTTCATATAATACTGGTTTGGTGGTGATGAACTCCTTTAGCTTTTTCTTATCTGTGAAGCTCTTTATCTGGCCTTCACTTCTGAATGATAGCTTTGCTGGATAAAGTAATCTTGGTTGTAGGTTCTTGGTATTCATCACTTTGAATATTTCTTGCCATTCCCTTCTGGCCTGCAAAGTTTCTGTTGAGAAATCAGCTGACAGTCGTATGGGTATTCCCTGGTAGGTAACTGAGTTTCTTTCTCTTGCTGCTTTTAAGATTCTCTCTTTGTCTTTTGCTCTTGGCATTTTAATTATGATGTGTCTTGGTGTGGTCCTCTTTGGATTCCTTTTGTTTGGGGTTCTCTGCGCTTCTTGGACCTGTAAGTCTATTTCTTTCACCAGGTGGGAGAAGTTTTCTGTCATTATTTCTTCAAATAGGTTTTCAATATCTTGCTCTCTCTCATCTTCTGGCACCCCTATAATTCTGATGTTGGTACGCTTGAAGCTGTCCCAGAGGCTCCTTACACTATTTTCGTATTCTTTTTTCATTTTGCTTTTCCAGTTGGGTGTTTTTTGCTTCTTTGCATTTCGAATCTTTGACTTGATTCTTGCACTCCTCTGGTCTGCTGTTGGGTGTCTGTATAATATTCTATATTTCAGTCAGTGTATGCTTAATTTCTAGTTGGTTCTTTATCACAACATTGAGGGTCTCATTAGATTTCTTGAGGATCTCACTACATTTATCGGCGGCTTCTAGACAGTTCTTGAGAGACCTTAAAAAGTGTGGTTTTGAGCTCTATATCTTCCATTTCTGACATTTACGTCCTGTTTCTTTGCCTCCGCATTTTTTTATCTTTTTTTGGTGCACCCCCTAGTGGTCTTTGTGCGCAGTCTTGTTGTAGTTAAGCCTTGATTGTTGTCAGCAATACCGGGGCGGGATTTTTTTTAAAGATAAGAAGATAATAGATCTTATGATGTCCAATAGAGAGTAAATAAATGATACTACAGAAAGAGGAGAGCAAAGGAATGAAGTTCTTAAAAAGGTAAAAAGGGATGGGATCCAGAGCACGTGTGAAGGTACTGGCCTGTGATAGAAGAGTCACTTCATTTTATAGGAGGGAAGACAATGGATACAGAATCAGATAGGTCTGTAGATTTTATGATATACTCTATACAATGTCATCAGCTAAAAAAAGATTTGAAGGGAGAATCCTATCTAATAATAGACAAACATGGTAATTGGCCATCCCTTCGCTACGCCTCCCACTGGCTAATCAGCATGATATGCAAATGAACTACCAACAAAGATGGCGGCTAATTTGCATAGTGCAGGCAGGGCGGCCAGCGTGAGCCGCCATCCGGGCCCCCTTGTGCCGCCTAAGCCCCGCCCCAGCCAGGACCCCCGTGTGCGGCCCTGTGCACGCCAGGGTTTGGCGGCGAGATTGGCCCAAGGAAGCCCTATTCTTTCAGGAATATTCCTGCAACGGGCTTCTAGTGGAATATAATAGTCATTGTGAGGAATAGAAGAGCAAGTGTGCTAGAGAAACTCAGCAGGGTTGACAGGCAATGCATGTACCCATTTGAGATTTCTGTGATTCATATAAAGTAAAACCTAGAAATGCTAACTACATTTGTGATTTTTCAGTCTAGCAGCCTGAATGCAGACACAAAGTAAATGGTTGGGTTCATACAGACTTGAGGTTTTGATAGATAAGCGTGGCAGAGTGTTGCACTGGCAAGGGAGGGACTCCAACTGGTTGAAAGAGGGAAGTGAATTGAAGGAAGATTGGAGGTCTCTGAGATAGAAGTATAGGAGATGGTGCAAGGGAGCAGGACATTTGAATTAATGACTTTAAAGTTTCTGGTAACATCAGTTTCCTATAACCTTGAGAATGTGCGTGGTGAAGGTAGAGGGAGAAAGGTTAGGACACAGGGAGGTCAAGAGCTAAATGGGTCTTTCACATGAAAATAGTTGAATGGCAGATATTGTGGAAAAGATGAAGATTGTGAGCCAAGGGCTGAGAGTTGGTTGTTGACTTGACTGGATGGGGAAGGGCTGACAAAGCCCAGGTGGAATTGAGCATTAAAGGAAGAAAGATTTGTATCAAGAGGAAAACGGGCAAAAATGGTCTGAAAACAGCAAAAGGGCAGCAAGTTAGGCACTGACTCAGTCTTATGATATGAGGGCATGTGGGGTGTTTGAGAAAAGCACCTTCACCTTAAAGAGCCACAAGGAAAGCAGTGTTCTCGAGAACAGCAGGTTTCAGGTAAAGTAAAGCAGGAAAGGGAGCAGTCCCCAAAGTCTGAGGCTATAAAAGTGTTTACGGATGACAGACAGCTCTAGGAAGGTAGGCATTGTCAGCTTGGCTAGCAATTGTACTCCTGGCCAGGCACATTTACAGGTAATCATTCAATGAAACAATTTAAGAGCTTAACTCCTATGTAATAGTTAAGATTTTTTAAAAATCGTGATGAAATATACATAATATAAAACTGTCTTGCCCTAGCCGGTTTGGCTCAGTGCATAAATGTCAGCCTGCATACTGACGGGTCCCAGGTTTGATCCCCGTCAAGGGCATGTGCCTGGGTTGCAGGCTCCGTCCCCAGTAGGGGGTGTGCAGGAGGCAGCCAATCAATGATTCCCTGTCATCATTGATGCTTCTATCTCTCTCTTCCTCTCCCCTCCTTTCTGAAATCAATAAAAATATTTTTTTAAAAAAATTCTTAATCATTTTTAAATGTACAGTTCAGTGCTGTTAAATACATTCATATTGTTGCCACCATCCATCTCATTTTTCCAAACTGAAATTTCATATCCATTAAACAATAACTCCCAATTCTCTCCTTCCCCCTATCTCTAAGTACCTCATATAAGTGAAATCATATATTTGTCCTATTTTGCTTGGCCTAGTTCACGTAGTATAATTAATGTCTTCAAGATTCATCCATGTTGTAGCATGCAGTAGAATTTCCTTTCTGTTTAAGACTGCCACATTTTGTTTATCCATTCATCCATCAATGGACACTTAAGTTGCTTTCCACCTTTGGCTATTGTAAATAATGCTGCTATGAACATAAGTACACAAATATTTGAGACCTTGTTTTCAATTCTTTTGGGTATATAACCAAAAGGGAATTGTTGGATTGTATAGTAACTGTGTTTATTTATTTTTATGAACTGACATACTGTTTTCTATAAGGGTTGCATCATTTTACATTCCCACCAACAGTGTACAAGAGTTCCAATTTCTTTTCTTTTTAAAAAATGTTTTTAATTGATTTTCAGAGAGGGAGGAAAGGAGAGGGAGATATATATAGAAACATCAATGAGAGAGAGAAACATCAACATCAATAGGCTGCCACCTGAGCGTCCCTCGCTGGGGATGGAGCCCACAACCCAGGCATTTGCCCTGACCAGGATGGAATCAGCAACCACCTTGTGCTTAGATAGATCTTCAACCACTGAGCCACACAAGCCAGGCCTTTTGTTTTGTTTCTGAGAGTAATCATCCTGTGGGTATGAGGTGGTATCACATTATGGCTTGATTTACATTTTTTAATTATTTTTTAATCCTCACTGGAGGATATTTTTTCATTGATTTTTAGAGAGTGAGAAAAAGGAGAGAAACATCAGTGTAAGAGAGACACATTGGTTGACTCCCACACGCACTCTGACCAGGGCTGGGAATCGAACCTGCAACTGAGGTATCTTTGATGGGGAATCAAACCAGTCAAGGGTTGACTCTAACCACTTAGCAAACTGGCCAGGGCTCCATTTTTCTAATGATTAGTGATGTTGAGCATCTTTTTATGGGCTTATTGACCATTTGTGTATCTTTGTGGAGAAATGTCTACTCAAGTGAAAAGTGTTACCTTTTCTCTTTTGATGTATACAAATTTTATTTCAATGTGGTTTCTCTCTTTTGTTGCCTGTGCTTTTGGTGTTGTCCTAGAATACATTGCTGAATCAAATGTTATGAAGCATTTCCCCAGTGTTATTTTCTTAGGGTTTTGCAGTTTTAGTTCTTGGATTTATTGAGTTAATTTTTAATTTTGTATATGATGTAAGGGAAAGGACCAACTTCATTCTTTTGCAAGTGGATATAATTTTCCTAGCACCATTTGTTGGAAAGCCTGTCCTTTCCCTATTGAACCCTTGTTGAAAGTCATTTAATGATATATGTGAGGGGATATTTCTAGACTCCTATTATATTGCATAGGTTTGTCTTTATGTCAACGGTTCTTAATAATTGTGAAATGTGCAATGTCTTTAGCCTCGATCAACTTAACCTTTATCAAATAAATACTAGTGTTTCCCTACCTTCCAATACCCCACCTACTTACACCACCAGTCAGCTTCAAAAGTAGAATGACTAGTGCAACATAAGGCAGATTTCTAGTTTCCAAACTTTAAAATGTAAACATGTCTTCCATTGGTCCTGGTACCAGTGTGTAAATTTACTGAACATTACTGGGTCTCAAAAAAAGTCAAATTCAAGTGCTTATTGACATACCCTATTAAATAGGTCAGAACTTAATTATAAAACTTTCACTACTCTGTTGAAAATGTTATTTCATATTTAGTATTTTAAACAGTATTTCTCATTTACGCTTTTTTCCTTCTTTTCTTAGGGGCCACCGTATTTTGTGTTGCTCCAAATGCAGTATTTCCATTCGAACTATATAATGAAGAATATTTAGAACAAAGGGATATCTATTTGTCTCAGTGCCAACAACAGCTCCTACAATTTATTGCCACATATGGACCTGGGACAGCTGTTTTCGCTAGCGATGAATAGGCAATCTGAGGAAAGTTTTCTTCATATCTACTTCAGCAGTAGGAATATGATATTGAAGTAATGCTTCAGGTATTGTGTATAGGAGTTATATTAGAATGCCACCTTAAAAATATAAAATATGGTCTCTTCAAATTAATTGCTAATAGAATACACTAATTCAAATCTCAAAGCCAACAGCAGAAATTTAAAACTTAGGAGAATCTTATAAAAAACAAAGAAAAGAACAACTCTGGCTAGCCCAGTATACCAGTGGGCAAGATAAAAATACTGAATGTTGCAAGTTAAGCAATGTAAAAAATGGTTAACTACTCCTATGTAGTTCCCTCCACTTGTCACAAGATGGCAATAGCACTTTAAATGAGAGTACCTTCAAATTAAATGGCTTTCTCTTGCACTTTAAAACTGACACATTGAGAAAATTAACAATTTATATAACCACATCTCAAATTTAAGGACTTTTTATGTTTTACTAGATATTGACATGTTCATTACATAGTTTTATGGAGTCAGGAAAAGCCTTGAAATTTCCATTTTTGTAGAAGCCAGGTTAAACAAAAAGGAATTTAAGTCAAATCAAGCAAGTAATTGGTTGTTTGTTTAAACCTAACTGGTTATAAAGAAGGTACTAGAAGGCAAAGAAACCAACTTACATCTTCATTTTTAGAGGGCAGATACCTGCTCTGAAAAGGTAGACACCATGAGAAAATACACTTTTTTTTTTTAGGGAAGAGAGGGGGAGATCAGAAAATATACTCCTTATAAAATCCCCAAATCCTTTTCATTTTTCAAAACTTTAATTTTACTCACTAAAAAGAAGTCACCTGAAATTTGCCATCTTATTAACCAAGATACCACCATACATTTATTCTTTAGAAATTGGTCCGAGTTTAACCATAAAGTGGATAGTTCTCACTCTTGATATGACTTTTACAAATCATTCACTATTTCCTACTCATTCAACAATACTGAGTATCTACTGGTGCCCATTTTCAGAAGGCAGTTGTTTTTATTAAAAAGTACATAGTACAATCCTGTAATGTCAAGACCTTATTTTTCTGGTTCTGATATGGCCAAATATTTTATAAAACTAAGACCCACAAAATGCCCTCTATTTTACAATTATAAAGTGTTATTTAACAGGGGAGTGACTTTCATGTTACCTCTCATGCAGATTCTAAACGTTGCCGTATACATTTTGTACTGTTTACCTTTCCATCATGAAATTATAATCCTAAAAACAAGGTATTATGAGACTCAGTAGAGGAAAACAAGATTTAAATTTTCACCCAGGTAGGAACTGAGTTCATTCTTAGAATTTTCATAAATTCTGAAGTCCTGGAAAGACTGGACTGCCCAGCCACCATTTTCCTTAATTACTTGTACTAAGATTGTGATTACTGTTTTGTTCACGAAGAGAAAAACAAATTAAAACTTGTACAAGTGAAGCCTTTAGTTGTGAGGGGCAATGCATTAGGGAGTTTCCGACTATATTCCTCAGCCATGGAATATATTCCAAGACCCCAAGTGGATACCTGAAAGCATAAATAGTAGTATTTTCCCTATATGTACCTATGATAAAGCTCAATTAATTAGGCACAATAACAGGTCTAACATAACACAAACTAGCTAACAGGTAATGTACAGTGCAGCTACACTGGATAAAAGAATGATTCTCATTTCTTAGAACTGCGTGCAATTGTAAAATTTAGGAATTATTTCTGGATTTTCCCATGTAATCTTTTTGGACTGTGGGTAACTGAGGCTATGGATAACAGGATTGTATCATTCAAGATAGAACAGGTTCTGAAGGGAGGGCCTCTAGTATAGTGATTAGGGCCTCTCCAGAAATCCCCTTAAGGCAGCGGTTCTCAACCTGTGGGTCGCCTAAGACCACCCTGCATACCAGATATTTACATTACGATTCATAACAGTAGCAGCATTAGTTATGAAGTAGTAACAAAAATAATTTCATGGTTGGGTCACAACATGAGGAAATGTATTTAAAGGGCCAGAAGGTTGAGAACCACTGCTAAGGCAAGAAAGGATATAAGAACTGGAGGTTCTAAGAAATCTCCCCAGTTGCCTGCCACCTCAAGGAGAATCACTTTCCACAAATAAGGGAATTATTAACATGCTATCCTTCCAGTATGTAAAAAACAAGTCCGACTAATGACTATGAGAATCGAGTGGTTTAAAGACTTGATGTTTTAAAGAAAACAGGTTTTAATGCCCATCAATTAAAAGTATTCAAATATGTGTTTTCTATAATAATTTTATTGTGATTTTTCTATATAATTTTATTGATCATTGTTAAATAAAATATTACTTTTCATCATTTGTTCCAGTTCTTATCTTCTTGACCAATTCTTTGTTTTTCCTTCCCAAAATGTCACAGGCCACACCTGGGGGGAAAAAAAAAAATCAGAAACCAATAGTGAAAATCATTTTGTACCTAACAAAGGCAACTAACTGGAAATGGTCCCAGCCCCTTTTAATTATCAATAGATGCTTGACAAATCATAATTGCTTACCTGAGGCAATGAAGAATTTTTAAACACCACAGCTAAGAACTTGTTCATTCACTTGCAGTTACCTATATGTTGAAAAGAACATTTCACTGATTTTAGTAAAAAAATTGCATTATAGCTGAATTCACATAATCAATAGATAACTGGCAACTCAGTCTTAAAATTATTTCTTCAAAGAAACCCTCAGCTGGGTAAACGGCAAAAAGTAATTTAAGTCATCATTGTGCCAGTTATTAAACCTTTCCATGTCAAAAATGTATCCAACATTTTTGGTACCGTTCAGAACAAAACCCCAAGTACATTAAAACCCCACACAACTTAACAGTGACCTTTGGTACCTTGTTATATGCAGTCGTGCTTCTGGGGAGGTTAGTCATCCTCTGTCAAGTTTTTGGAAAACATTCATAATAACCTTCATTCATCTTCAACTCATAGGCTCTGTTGCATCTGCAAATTAATATTTTGTTGTAAATATTTATTTTTACTTGCATGCTTGGCATCCTATATGCAGGAATGGTCCTGTTCTAGTTTTTTTCCTTATCAGGAACCAGTTGCCTGCCACCTCAAGGACAATCACTTTCCACAAATAAGGGAATTAACATACTATCCCTCCAGTATATAAATTCTCCTGACCAGTTTTTAAAAACCACTAATACTGAGACCATGTTGTGGAGTAATTTCTATTTGCTGTTTAACACATCTCTAATGGAACACAAGAATGTACTTGCTGCTGAATTCTACCTTTTTGGTAGTCAAAACCGATAAACCTAAAATTTAATTTCTACAATGATTTGAGAATGTTAGTCCTTCTGACTAATTAGACCTTAATAATTCCAAGCTGGAAATGGACTCATTATCAGGGGTGGGGGAAATGGCGGATAAATTTATACTATTTACTGTGGCAGTATTGACTTTAAGCCATGATGGTGCTAATGAGTACCCAGCCATTGCTTTTCTGTCTCACAGTTTGACGAGGATGAGCCAGGTTAAAGGTCAGATATATTAAATCAAGTGTGCAGACCTCCCAACTAAAAGCATTACAATGGCAAATCTAATCTGGTTTTAGAGCAGTTACATTTCGTCGGCATCATTATTGGACACAGTTCTGTAATTAAATCCCAAGTTGCCTGAAAAGTCACTGAGGTACAGCAGGGGCATGGCTAGGGCCACAGACCTTGTCCTAGCAGAGGATAAATCACTGAACCAGACAGCTACTGGGCATGATTTATGAAAGCACATCAAATGTGGGGCCCTGCAAAACAATTTATCATTTTCAGGTCTTGAAATGCTGAAATATTTCACATAATCAATACGAGGAACAGACTACTGGTTATGAATAACTGTGACTGGGGAAATTTCAGTTTAATATATGATGCATAGGAGCTACTGACAACTGCCCGGCCTCAGTAAGGATGATCTACTTTAAGCCACCACACTTGTCCTCTTAGATTGTTCCGGGTGAAGCAGTGTGTTTTAACTTTGGGGAGAGGAAAAATAACCCACACTGACTACACCAAGTCTCATCGATGAGACATTATAACTCGCTTTTTTTCAACAGGCAACATGGTCTCCCAGCAGTTAGCCAGTTTCTTCTGTATGACGTGCAGAAACAGACATCGTAAGTAAACGCCATCACCGAAAGGTAGAATAGGCATTTTAGGCCCAAGCCTCCTCTACACACTACATATTGTTCTCCAACTTCAACTTTTAGATTCTACCTAGAAATGAAGATCCAGAACAAACGCGGTAAGCAGCTCTACTGTGTCCGGACCATAACTGTTAATGTCAATAGGTAAACTGTGCTCTTAACAATTAAAAAAAAAAAAAGAGTACAAGTAAGGGTCTTACATCTGAGAGAGAAGAATCCCGCCCGCGTACGAAGGCTGTGCCGCCATTGGAGACCTGACACCTTCCAGGCCGCACAGTGACACACAGCTTCACCGGGGACACCGACTCAAGGGCCCAGAAGGCCCGGGCGGGGCACCAAGCCACTGGCCGTACCTTCCCCCGCCTCGGATCCAACCGAATCACAGGCCTAGTTTCTGAGCGGATAACAGCCGAAACCGGCGTTGACTAAGAGAAGGGTCCGTTAAAACTCGCAGGTGGTTACTCACAAAATGCGACTGAGCAGATGGCGTGGAAGAAAGCTCGTGGCCGCGCCAACTGGGGGTGAGGGCAGAGGCCGCACCCTGGGCAAGGGACAGAGACTCCCGGAATGGAGGCCCCGGGAGCAGGCCCCGAGAGCTGCAGGCCCCGAGGCGGGTGTGGGCTGCCACAAGGGGTCGGGTTCCCCGCAGAAAGACAGGAGGAACTGAGATCGCCGAGACTCCCACCTGGAAAAGCCCGGCGACGCGCCTGCGGGCGCTGCTTCCCGACCACCAACAACCGCATGGCCGAAGACAGCCCGCGCGGACTCCTCCGTCCGGCGCCGACGGAAAAGGATGCCCCCGGCCGTTGCGGGCTCTAAGGCCATCCGATGGCCCCGCCCCTTCCTGAATTAGCCCCGCCCCTGCCAGCGTCGCGCGCGCCGGAGGACCGAGCAGCGGCTGAGCGCGAGGCGGCGTGGGGGCGTGGCCTGGACCTCGCCTCCTTCCGGGGCCTCTTGGCTTCCGGTGGCGTGACACACAGACCCGGTTTATGTTGGGGGCTTGTGGAACTCCCGAGAGGCGTTCAGGGCCTCACCTCGAACTAGTCCACCGAGTATGTAAATGATTAACCTGCCAGTAATGCATCCAAGCGAGGAGACAATGCTCTAAAACGGGGCGCCCATTCCTAGTACTTTAGGTTTGCTTCGTCTTCTCCGTCACTTGGTCCAAACAAAGTGCTGGGGGTATTGGACATCCCAATTTAGATAAGGGTATCGACCCCTTCACACACACAGAAGAACCAATAACAGAAAAAAAGGAAGCTCTTGTATTTTCTCTATATTATAGCAATAGCTACTGTTACTACTTATACTGACAATAATAATGGCGGCTTAAAAAAAAGCATAAAGCAGTCAGCGAACTTATTTATGAACATGTAATTTGCTATTGATTTCCTTGCTTTGTGTTTTTTAGGCATACTAGCTGTATTGTAGGCTACAGATGTTGTGTGTTTTACAAATTCAAAGCAGGACCCTCCACCAGCGAAAGGATTACAACTGGCTTTATTGCCAGTCGTCGTCTGGAACGCAAACCGCCACATCTCAGGTATTCCTGTAGTACTCTTGCTTCTCTCAGTTATTATGTAGATTGAGCCCTTGCTGCAAAATACTAAGGTTAGTACTGGAGAGACAGACTGATGAACTTGTTGCCAGGAAGAATATAAATGAAACTAATTAAAATTGCATCAGCAAAAGACATAATTTCTCCTTTTAAAATTTAACATCTAAGAAATTGATAAAAAAAAAAAAACAATACAAAATAAATTTGTCTCGAAGAAATGTGGTACGAAAATCTAAACCTAGCAATACAAATTGTGATTTTATTCACTTTACCAAAGGATTCCTGTCTGTATGTTTTTGCTGAATGCTTAGTAGGGGTTTAAAATTGCTTGGGGGCCCAAGTGGGCACTGTATCTTCAGCCTGCCATCACAGACTCCTGGGGGAATATTTGGGATACAACCTAATTTTGCAGCCTGGCTAGCCACCTCCACCAGACCTTTGCCTACAATTGGGTGGGCAGCTATGGGAGCCACCATAACTGAAAGGTGTAGAGGAGGGTGTGAGAGAGAGGAAGGAAGTAGAGAGAGAAATATCAATGAGAGAGGGAAACATCAATTGGCCACCTTCTGCAGTCCCCTACCTTGTTTTACCTTTTTATTCCTAGCACCTAATACAGTCCCTAGGACTTAATAGATATCTTTTGAATGAATAAGTAAATTATAGGTCTGTATTGCTGATTTGGAATATTTTTCAAGATTTATTAATTTATTAATTTTAAAAGCTAGGTGCAGAAGATATTTAGTTTAATTTTTGGTTAAAGAAAAAAAAACATGTTTATATGATTGTTTATGCATAGAATATTTTTGAAAGGTTACGAAAGAAATTGTTTACAATGCATGCCCCCAGGGAGTGAAACTTGTGGTTTCTGGAGAAAGTGATATTTTTATTTTTTATTGTATACCATTCTCTACTGTTTGGAGTTTTACTACATATACGTAATTTTGTGATTACATTAAATTAAAAAAATAATTATTAAAGTACATTTTCTCTTATGTCTGCTTTCCCGTGTCAAAAAAAGACCATTTCTAAGATTTGCGCCTGCAGCCCTGAATGGTATTATGAAAAGTGTTTGGTATTCTCTATCAGTAAGGTTGCTGGTCTCCAGGTTGCTGGACTGAATTAATGCTACCAGTTGTAAACACAGCTGAAATCACATCAAGAGAAAAGTTTCATGGTTTAAATCTGATAAAGCGGTTTATCAAAAATAACATTATATGGCCTGGCTGGTGTTGCTCAGTGGTGGGGTGTTGACCTATGGACCAGGAGATCACAGTTTAATTCCGGCCAGGGCACATGCTCTGGTTGCTCAGTCACCAGTAGGAGGCGTGCCAGAGGCAGCCAGTCAATGATCTCTCTCATCATTGATGTTTCTATCCGTCTCTACCTCTCCCTTCCTCTCTGAAATCAATAAACAATTTTTTAAAAAGATTTTAAATAACTCTATATTGACATTTATTTTTAATATGTTGTTATTGGTTTTAAAGAGAGAGAAAGGAAGAGGGAGGAAAACATCAATAGGCTGCCACCTGCATGCCCCCTACTGGGGATTGAGCTTGAAACCTGGATATGTGCTCTGACTGGGAATTGAACTGGCGAATTTTTGATGCACAGGATGATGCTCAACCACCTAAGCCACACCAGCCAGGGCAAATTATAACTTTAAAAAATAGTCATTCTTTGACTGTATAACCAGGATTTCTTACCCAAGAATATGTTTTTATTGATTTTTAGAGACAAAGGAAGGAATAAAGAGAGAGAAACATTGATCAACCATACATGCCCTGACCGGGGATCAAAACTGCAACCCAGGTATATGCCCTGACCAGAATCGAATCTGCAACATTTTGGTATATAGGAGGACAGCACTCCAACCAACTGAGCCCCCCAGCCAGGGCTAGAAAGTTTACTTATTGTAGGTAGACATACATCTGGATTCAGGGCATATAGGACATTTTTTTCTTATAAGCTGTCAGAATCTATATTTTGTACTTACACATGTAAATCTCATTAGTAAATTAATACATTTGGCCCTCAGTCCTTTTTCATACTTAGTGAATGACTTGGAGAACTTCCTAGTTCCCCTAGATGTTTGCAGCAGAAAAGGAGGTTGGAACTGGAAGGAAGTTGGCTATAATCACCATATGCTTGTGCTTTCCCATGCTCAAGAGTAAGCATGTCAAAATAGAGTTAACGCAAGAGAAATGTAAATGACCCTAGTCATAAATGCATGACTTTTATATAGAAGATCCTTTTACCTCAGGCAAGATTATTTTTAAACATAATATTGACATTAAGATAATCATAGCATTTATACCTCTCGTCAAGGTCAAAGTTCCAAATCTGTGAAAAATACATTAAATTGTCAGAAAATAGGGCACTGATCTGAATGAAAGTTGATTTTTAAACACTTAAAGTACATGAACTTTACTGAGATAATTTTGGTAAAAATTACCTAAATTACTTATGATTTCTGCCCGGATCTAAAATAATGAGTGGCTTTAATTGTCAATGTGAGACACTAGGGTTTTCCTTTTTTGTTTAAAATTTAAGCATGTTAAGACTAAGCCATGCAAACAACTACTTAAATCCTATGACAAAATCTGAATGTAATGGAATGTTACTAAAATTATTCAAGCTGACCAATGGGCCCTGAGGGGAAGTTGATGAGGGGACTTCAGGGAAAGTTTTCTTCTTTGATGAAAATACATATGGGAAGAAGCAGCTTTTTTTTTCTTGGTATTACCATCTGTGAAAGAATTCCTGGCATTACTGAAGCTATTTTGTTAAAGAGGAGCTTGCCAGAGATGGCAAAGTAGAAAGAATGAACCAAGCAACATTGAATAGTCAACAAATTAACCAGCCAGGGAGCCACTCCAGCTTAGGCTTCTTGTTATGTGAAATAATAGACTATCTTACTGTTTAAAAATTTAAGAATGATTACTTAGAGAGTTAAGAATGTGGAAATAATTGAAAAATTCAAACTAAGGTTATATTATGATTTTATTCGTACCTTAGTGATGGATCTAATAAAAATCATGTCCTGAAATTAACACCATGTTAAAATTTAATAAGGTGTGGATTCTGAATGTTTCTTCTACAATGTCTTCTTATACATATGCATGATAGGTTTTCTCTGTTCCAGTGCTGTTCTTGTAAACAAGATCTAAAAACAAAACAAAATAAAACCCAAACCCTAATTTGTGGCATTTGCAGATTTCCACGGTATAAATACTCCCATTTTGGCTGATTTCAAGCTACCATTTAACAACTGGCTCACAAAATACCTGAATATTTTTTTTAAAATATATTTTATTGATTTTTTACAGAGAGGAAGGGAGAGGGATAGAGAGTTAGAAACATCGATGAGAGAGTAACATTGATCAGCTGCCTCCCGCACACCCACTACTGGTGATGTGCCCGCAACCAAGGTACATGCCCTTGACTGGAATCAAACCTGGGACCTTTCAGTCCGCAGGCCGACGCTCTATCCACTGAGCCAAACCGGTTACGGCAATACATGAATATTTTAATAATTAATAATTGGCTCTTATAACACATCATTGTCCCTAGGAGCTAGATGGAAGGATAAATGCATCTTCATACTGAATATAGTCTAATTGCTTTCCAAGTGGTGGTGGTACTATATTCTTGTAAGAACTTGCTATTTTCAGAATTTAAATATTTTTGCCAGTCTGATAAATATAAAATGATATTTACTGCTATTTTAATTTGCATTTCCCATGAGGTTGAAAGATAACTTTACATGTTTTCTTTTTAATCTTAATTTTTTTCATGTTTTTAATCATTTAGGTTTTCTCTTTGATAAATCACAGCTTTGACCAATTTTTTATTGGAGTATTTGTAATTTAAAAAATTGATTTATGGGATTTCTTCACATATTTTAGATGCTAATCTTTAATTGATCAATAGTTACATGCATTGCAAATAACTTTTCCCAGTCTGTGTTTTTTTTTTCTCATTATGTTTATGGTGTTTTATGTTGTTTGGAATTCTATCTTCTTTTCTCTGCTTACCAATATAGCTCCCCAACCCCCAACACTTCTGCATTTCTGTGGAAGGTTTCTGGCTAAAGCCAAACCCTTTAATGTGCTTTTAAAGACCCTCCTTGATTTAAAAATGAGGAGTGAGCCTGGCTGGTATGGCTCAGTGTCATCCCATGCACCAGAAGGTCCCCAGTTCAATTTCCTGTCAAGGCACATGCCCAGGTTGCATGTTTGATCCCCAGAGGGCATGTAGGAGGCAGCCAATGGATGTTTCTCACACCAATGCTTCTCTCTCTCTCTCTCTCTCTCTCTCTCTCTTTCTCACTCTCTCTTCCTCTCCTTTCACCTCTCTCTAAAATCAATTTAAAAATAAATTGGGAATGACACAGTATTTATTCCTAGGATTTTTGTGAGGATTAAATGAAATAATATATGTGAAGTATCCATCCCCCTTCTCCATGCACTTTCTTTCAGAGCCGCATATTTTTCTCACTTCCTTTTCCCTGTGCCTAGAATGCTCTTCTTATTCCTCTTTGCCTTCTCAGGAAACTCTTCCTTGATCTCTTAAGACTTGGTCAGGTTCTCATGACAGATAGATAATTTTGTTGCTGTCCCTGTAGCCATCCCCAGCCCTCTTCTCTGATAATGAAACTCTGAGTTCTTTTGTGTTATGGACCTACTTTTAGTGCTGAGCCAGTGTGTACGTCTGCTTCCCCTGCCTCCTGTGGTAGATGCTGGGACTGGCTCTCTCAGTAGCTATTCCAGTCTCCTTTTATCTGCATTTTTGTACTTCAGAGACTGAAAAGCTAAGTATTATATATTCCAGGACTCTCTTTCAGATAGGAGAATTGGGTCCTGCCAATCAAACCCATTGGTGCAAAAGTCTGAATTCTAAATTGAGTTATGTTGGGAGAAAAGCAATCTAGGAGGCATCTGTTTTGCTGGTGTATATGCAGCAAAGACAGTGTGCTTCTGGAGCCACTGTGGGGGCAGCTTCCCATTTGGCAGGCAGAATCCAGACCAGGGCAGAAGTATCAGCTGCCTTGGCAGCTCAGGTCTGTGGGATGACTTTGGAAATTTTTCCTATAAATTCAGACCTAGTTTGTTTCATTCCAATGATTCTGTAAGTCACTGATAATCTATATATATAAAAGCCTAAGCTACCGGAATGACTGGTCTCTGTGATGTACACTGACCACCAGAGGGCAGATGCTCAATGCAGGAGCTCCCACAGCCAACTTCCCCTGGCTGGCCAACCTCCTGCAGTTCCTCCCCTCAGCCAGCAGGCCCTGATTACCCGATTGGGGCTGGCCCGCAGGCTGGAACAGGGAACCGAGGGTAGGTGGCGGCGGATGTGGCCCCATTCTCAGGGGGGCTGATTGCTGGCTCCCTCCTTGGGGCTGGTGGACAACCTCCCATACCGTTTCTCCCCCCCGGGCTGGCAGGCCCCAATAGGCCCACCACCCACCCACTGCGGTAGCGGTGCAGCAGTGAGGGAAGGGGGGGGGGGGGGGGTGGTGGGGGAGGGGGCGGGGAGGAGGCGGGGAACCACACAGTGGCGGGGCGCTGATGGATGATGTCCGCATCCCGTTTCTGTTCCTTCCGCACCTGGCCCGATGACAGTCACCTTCTCTCTGGCCCAGCCCTGATCAGCCTGGCCCCGATCGGCCTGATTGCTGGCCAGGCCTAGAGATCCCACCAAATTAGTGCACCGGGCCTCTAGTCTATAATAAGCCTCTTTCTTTTTAAACTAGCTGGAGCAGATACCAAACATCCATATATCTTCCTTACACCTGAGGATGACCCTGTGACCCAGTTCTGACCAATGAGAAAAAAGTAGAAGCCTTGGACCCTGATAACTTTATGAAGTTATCACTTGTGGATTTCTTTTACATGAGGGAAAAACTTCTAATCTATTTAAGCCACTGTAGTTGGGTCTTTCTCATTAGCAGCTGAATGTAATTCCTAACTGATATAGTAAGCAACGAGCAATCTGTGCCATAGCATTAAAAAAATATTTGTGGACCAACTTATGATTGATGAATAAAGGCACTGAAGCATGAAATAGGAGTGTGTGTGTGTGTGTGTGTGTGTGTGTGTGTGTGTGTGTGTGTGTGTTTTCTACAACTTAAAGTATAATGTAGGAAGTGGTTGAGAGTAAGGGCAGTGATATAGGTAGGGGTTTCATAGGCCAACTTAAATGGTCAGGCATCACCATTAGATGCTAGCAAACCCTTGAAGGTTCATTCTCATATGTGCAATTTTGTTAGGTTACTTGAATGCAACCAATACTGAGGGCAGGGAAAACTGTTAAATCTATAAATTGTAGGTAAAAAATTGATGAATACCTGTAATAATTATTCTGATACACATTTGTGAATATAAGTGTGTCTTAAGGGAAATTTTTAAGTGTGGAATTGCTAAGTCAGTGCCAAATTGTACTTAAAAGAGCTTCCACTCCAATAGTGCAACAGTCATCATTTCCCCATTCTCACCAATAATGGGTATTTTTTTAAAAAATATATTTTATTGATTTTTTACAGAGAAGAAGGGAGAGGGATAGAAAGTCAGAAACATCGATGAGAGAGATCGATCAGCTGCCTCCTGCACACCCCCCACTGGGGACGTGCCCGCAACCAACGCACATGCCCATGACCGGAATCGAACCTGGGACCCTTGAGTCCGCAGGCCGACGCTCTATCCACTGAGCCAAACCGGTTCGGCATAATGGGTATTTTTAATTTGTATTCTTTTCCCTCCACATTCCTCCACTTAATATTATGTGGG